ATTTACGGGAAAGGGTATAATGCTTACTCTTCAAACTATATCAAACCTTCAATCGGTAAAGTTGATGTACGTGCAGTGTACATACTGCTTTCGTCAGCTATACATGTGAGTTTAATCCCGCCGGCTTCTCATGCATGGTTGTATATAGGTTGAGGCCCTCTTATGCGCGTCATCCAAGTTCAAGACACTTCACTTGTTCCTGTTTGTTTGCCCTAGATACTCTTGCCTCGCAATTTTTAACATGCTTTGGATATACATGTATTTGAGAACACACTTTTGGAGTCACTGACAGACATTCGCCACGCCAGAAAACGAGTACGAGCTGGAAAATACTAGGTGAGAGAAGATGTGATCCAGTTGGTTTGTGCCGGTCCCCGAAGGTCAGATTGACTTACCCACCAACTTTCACATCTGAGTCGGGCAGTGCTATTGTATAGGATTACCCTGTTATACCAATGAATGGGTTAACTCCGCCCATTGAGTAGACCATGTTTATTAAAAGACTTCCAGTGAATAGTCATTCTGAATCATTTGAATAGAATTTTGTGCACTCAGACCAGCTTAACTATGTCATGTCTTGTTTGATTTATATTAGTCCTGTAATGCTACTGCAGCCGATCTGCTTGCTGACTTTTCAATTTTTGTGACGACTTTTTGAGTAAATGTCAAATATCTCCGATGCATTATATTCTGGGGATCAGAAATGGACTGCCGTCGGCGTATTTTTTTCCTAGGAGGGTTGGGGCCAAGTCATGCAGAATTCAGTTTTTCCTTTGAATCGTTGCAAGACACTTAGGTTCTCGTTCACTTTTCCCCTTAAATTAAAATTATATCAAGGATAAATTTGGAGAAGAAAAACAGTCGATGAAAAAGAGCAGCGACGACGTGGATTCGAACCAGGGATATTTGTATCCATAGCTCGTTTCGCTATCCACTATGCTACTGTGGTTGCTCAACGACCACCGTACTTTAAAATGCTTTACTGTAACTGGTTTACTATAATAACAGCAATGCTGTGGATATCATTGTTCTGTTCTCATGAATAAACATACTGGCCCGATCGAAACTACTGAATTTTTCATGACTTGGCCCCAACCGTCCTGGAAATAAAAATTACGCGCGCCGTCGTTAGAGTTGTCACATGACCATTTTCTGCCTGTCTGCACGCTTTTCATCACGACGAGCAATTTACACAGACTCGCACTAAAATACATGTACTGAGCGATCAGTTTTCAAAACGAGAGAAAGGGTGAAATAAAATTTGGTGAACGAAATTGCGCAACAAAAAGCTCTCCAAAAACGTTCCGGGACCCGGCAAAAATAAAATATGATTCGCCCGATAGTGCATTATTTTAGTTCTGCACAAGCGTAATTACAAGTGATTCTCATTGTATGATCGCTCATATCGACAGCTTTTTCAGTCTTGTGCACAAATCAGATTAAAAGTTGGAAAGCACATGATATTTTGTGACGTAATTATTACGTCATAAAAACTATTTCGAATATCAAACAACGTTTTTTATGCTCATAACAACGATTGCTTGGGTATAAAAGGTAATCCCCCTCCCCTAAAAAAAAAATCGTTGTGACTGCGTCGCAATAGACCATTATCATGTCGCGGCCATCTTGATTTTTTCCCATTCAAATCAACGTAACCAAAGCGAGGCTGGAAGGAAAAATAGTCTGGTTCCTTTTTGCACAAAAACATTATCATTCAGTACTGTTTTTGGATGCAGGGAACATGACTGGAATGGTGGCAGCGTGTTAAAGGTGTATACGATTTTTTTTTAAATGAGAGAAAAAAAAGACGGGGTCCGACACATTCCGTGTGAAATCAAGGTGACATGTATTTCGTGCCATAAAGGCAAAGGTTTGCACGAACGTGTCAGATGTCTAAAGACATCTGAAGTGACAGAGCCATTGGCATCCATGCGGTAAAAGCTTTTTACTTCAATTTTCATTAGAGAGTTGCGACTCGTTATGAGGTGGGTATAACACTAGAGTTGGGCTTGTAGATTCGAAAATCTATCACGCGTCACATCGTCACTACGAATCATGGCAATCTTGATGGGTACGGCTAATGATGATTCGTGCCTGTATCCTTTGGGGCATTTTACTCGGTGATGTTGAAGTGCGTAACTTCTCCCCTCTCTTTTAAATCACCATTGACTAAGTGAATTAACTTTTCACTGATTCACTACTGAGTGTGAAGAAGGAAAAAAAAGACCACACGAGCGCTGAGTAGATCTCCGCATCACCGTGGTCAAGCGCACAGCCTTACATTTTGCTACATTTTGCTCATTTTTGAGACATGGGTGAGCATCTTAGCCTATACCGGAGACACATACCGCTATATCATTGCATTACACGTCCCCTGCTTCCAAGATGCAGGGTAGCAGCTGCATGAAGACTTTTTAAAAAACATCAGAGAGATGTTTAGGAGCACTAAAGATCGGACCCGGGTCCATTTTACCAGACTCATTATGAGTGCTTCGGATTCCTGACCAGGTCAAGTACGTGCCATGTATGAGTAGCATCTCTCGCGACATCTCGTAAAGTCTCGAATTGCGACTTACTGTATCCACCACTGCTTCGGCAGCAGTGGGCCAGATCGTCTGCTCATGACCATTTTCACAACCACGTCAAATTAATTAGTGTGGCCATGACATTTTGCCAAGTCGCGGGCGGCTAGGTGTAGACTCCACTCTAGTCTGAGGCGGGTTGCATTCCTCTCACCAGACTCAGTCACCAAGTGTTCGGATAAGTGCAGTGCAGCCTAATTGCACAGGCAATGCACGCAGCTGGCCAAAGACTCGCAAGCGGTGAATTTCCTCGCCGAATACCCATCGTGTTCCATTAGCAATGTGGAATGGTTTCGTCATGGCCAAGGTAATGAAAACGAAGAAAAAAGTAGAAGAACATCTGCAGAATCGTGGCGAATCGAGCTCACCCACACGTACACCCTGTCGAGAGCTTAATACAAAGTCTTGTATCATCGGTGGCAAAACATTTGTAGCATGCGTCGTTCATGTTGCGAATTAGATAAGCGGTTTTAGTTTTTTTAAGGGGGAAATGCAGCGTTGTACTTCAGGTCTTGGATCAGTGAATTGAGATCAATGTTTACTGCGCACCAGTTACTAATATTGTCTCTCTCCAGTCAAAAACACCTGGTTTTTCATGCTTAGAAGAAGTTCTTACTCAAGGATCGATGCGATCGTTGCTCGCATGAGATGTTTTGATATGAGTGTGCAGAACTGGAGCCAAAGAAGAGACCGCTCAGAATTCTCGAATATTCGAAATTGAAAAAATGATATTGAAATATTCGGTATACAGTGGCGTAGCACGGTCATTTTTTTTTGGGGGGGGTTAAATTTTTTTGAAAAGGGCACTTGCACATCCGTGGTGAAATGTAGACAGGATTTTTTTTCCTCCGGATACTTGGTCTCCGTAAAATAAAAAAAGGGGGGGGGGAGGGGGGGGGGGGCTGGTACCATCTGTCGATGGGGGCGCTGTACAAAACCGACGATTATGCACACTAACGGCCAATATATGGTGCTTTTCAGGGCGATACATGTGCCAAATTCAGAAAAAATGCACCCAAAACGGCAGATGCCACAAAAAAGGGCACCACTTCATATTTAAAAAAGGGCACTTGTTCAGAAAAAAGGGAACTTATTATTGTGGGGGTAAGCCCGTTGAAAAAAGGCATTTGAATGGAAAAAGGCTGTATTTCCAAAATATTGGGGGGGGGGGTTAAATACCCCCCCCCCCCCCCCCCCCCCCCCCGCTGGCTACACCTATGCTATATTGGATACATCCCTAATAAGGAAAGTTAGGGATGTGTCGAATATACTGAATATTACAATATCATTTTTTTCGATTACATGTACGAATATTCGAGAATTGTGAGTGGTCTCGAGACGATGATGACAGTGGTCCACGATTTAATTTGAATCGTACGAGTTATGTAGTTTTATTGTTTGTCAAATGCCATGCACACTTTTGTTGAAGGCCAATATCGCGTATGATTTGAGAGCTTCCATGAGAACAATTGGCTCAATTTCCCCCTTAAAATCGGTCAAATATCAGCCATTCCACTTCTTGTTCTTGGTATGATTTTAATAAGCTCTTTTTCAAGCGCAGGCGCACGCAAATCCCGATCGGCGGCCAGTTAAAGGCAGGCGCATGTTTAACGTGATCAGTGCATTTTGAAATCGAATATTTCGATTAATATTCGAAAATGCACAGCGTATAAGAAATTAAACCGATAAATTCCAAGTGGGCTTCAAGATGGTCTTGACAAAAAATATGGTTATGTCACAGTGACATTGCAAAGGGCACAAAATGGGACCCATATGGCCAAAAAAAAAGTCTCCGGTTTCTGGTATGCGCGCGCGTCGCCGTAGCCATGCGCGTCGGCAAAAATGAAAAAGTTTTTTTCAATGAAAGATGATGTCTCCAAACCGCCAAACTCACTGGTTTGACTGGAATCCTGCTGCTGCACAATTTTAACGTTTTTTTTAGATTGGGTTATGGTCGAGAATAAGCTTTATGTGGCCTCTCTGGACTCCCATATATTTGCACTAAGTTTAGTCGTGCACCATTTGCAGTCATCAGCCGACATTTGAAGCCAAAAAAAAAAAAAAAAAGTAACAAAAAAAAAAAAAGCCGCGTCGCCGCACCACTCTTGGGGCAAGCTCCATACCAGAAACCGGAGACTTTTTTTTTTTGGCCTTAACCAATGTTTTTTTGAGGAAAAGATGGTGGTGTACTCATTTGCACTAAGTTTAGTCGGGCACCATTTGCAGTCATCAGCACACATTCGAAGCAAAAAAATGAGGTAAAAAAAAAAAAGCCGCGTCGCCGCACCACTTTTTGGGCAAGCTCCATACCAGAAACCGGAGTTTTTTGGCCTATAGTATCGACGCTGACTTCAATTTTGTCCATTGCATATCTGATTGACCCTTTTTGTAATTTTCCCGTTTCACTCTTTGCACCAGGTACTGACGTCACACAGTTCACTGCAAAGAAGCGGTTCCCTTCGCAAGCAGTTCCAGAAGTTTCTGTCAAGATGAAGGACGGTGCTTTGGATCTTTGGCAACAGGGAGAGCACCTGATGTGCCCGAGACCTTGAAATACTTTGTGCCGTTGAACGGGACATAATGCACAGCTTTCACCGAGGCATGCATGATCATCATGCAAACCATACGACATTCATCACTGACTGTGACAATGACTGGCTCCTTGTAATAAATTCTTATGTAAAACACTGTTGGAGTCTAATCGGGTACAAGACGGTACCTGTAAGCCACCTGATCAACCGCTATAACAGCTGGCTTAATTCGTTGAAATGTGGTACAGATTTTCTTGCTTATACAAAATGTACATGTATATTTGTACGAAAAGATATAACTGGTATACACACCCGAGGCACTTGCTGGTGTAGACGATATGGCATCAAGTTTATGGGCGCAGAGATATAATTGAATTTAAGGGCGACAGCTAGACGTTTAGACGCCAGCTGATTGGTCACAATCTGAGGGTCAAGATGGGATGTCTTGCTAATTAATCGACGGATATCTTTTCACGCTAATTATCATAGACTTTTAGGCCACCCAGGTGAGCGTGTCGGGTCTGTGCACATGGGCGTCGCCCCCCCCCCCCCCCCATCGTTGAGAACATGCTGGAAAAGTACAGGGATTTTTTTTGGGGGGGGGGGGGAATGTGCTTTGCCCCCTTCTAGAAAAAAATCCTGGCGACGCCATGCATGGCCGGTGGGAGATCTTTCTCGTGAAACCAACTAAAACTCGCGCCAAGTGGATGCGTCTTCTTCACTAAACGTAAACAGAGATTTTTGAACAGAGTTATTCACCGCGCTTTTGAGCAGGCTGATTTTTCCATATTAAATATTACATTAAAAGGCTCGTGAAATCCAACCCCCCCCCCCCCCGTTTTCTATTTTAACTTTATTTTCAATTTTCATACTGCTAGTTTAATAAAGGATCTATTTCGGGGCTTTTAAGTTTTTTGATAATTTAATACCCATATTAATTAGGCAGAAGATTCAGTGTACTCAGTAAGAGCTGCTTCGTACGGCATCAAAGGTTGTCAGAATTGTGAATTTTGACGTGGTCAACTATTTTGGAGGTTTTTTTTGGTGCTTGGCTGTTGATTCATTACAGTCAGTTATGTAGCAAACTAAAATATTTGCAATGAGCCACTTTTTGGGTTCATGACAATATTGTACAATAAAGTCCCTAACCTAATGCCTACAGTAACGTAACATTAACATCATTGGGAGTTTGTAATGTTGAAAAAAGTGCACTTTTACAAAACTTTGAACCAAAGGGGAGGGGTCTCCTTATTTTCATAACGTTCAGAGCAGTTGATTTCTGCACAAAATATATTTCCGTGTACAATTCTTATTATTGACCCTTGTACGCATTTAATTCCATACTGACTGTAAATTTCCTTCGTCTTATAGTATATTGCTATATTGTGTGATTGTGTATCATTAAATTTGTATAAACTAATGTTTCATTGTGCAGAATTTTCAAATAATAATTGTGCGTTGCAAGGGTGGAAAGTGTTGGTATTCCATTTAGTTTTGATATGCAATATGCATGGGTATAATGCATGCAAGCGCTACAAGATCATGTGAGACTGCCATCCCTGTATTTCGCATATGCATAGCCTAAATAGCCTCAGCACAATTTTTGTTCATGGATATATATTTATTTATAAGATGGAATTTGCGTCGGGGTGATGTAAATTCAATATTAGGTTTTGCCCTTCACCGACGTATAAACACCGTATACTCAGTGTGTCACCTCCCGAGTGAAAGTGAGAAAAATTCACTCTGTGGGACTCGAACCAACGACCTCATGAATTCTAGTGCAGTTTCTACGGGCAAAACCAAATATTGAAATTACATCATCCCTACGCAAATCCAATCCCATAAATAGTTTCATTGCGGTACCCGCTGCTGTATGATTCGAACCAGCCAACCGACCCTGCAAGCTCGGTGTCGAGTGGTAAGACGTCTGCGCTAGAAAACAGGAGATCGTGGGTTCTAGTCCCACCCGAGTGATTTTTTTTCTCAGATTCACTCGGGAGGTAACACACTGAGTATACAGTGTTTATACGTCGGTGAAGGGAAAAACCTAATATTGAATGGATATCTGTTGAGAAAAGGAATTTAAGGTAAAGTAAAACCAGCCACCTTCTTTAGTAATTAAGGCCGGCTACACAGAGTATGGCAAAGAGGTAATTTAATTCCCCACCCCCAAAAAATTCCCCTGAGGAATGACGAGTTGGCAAAGGCGGAGGTAGTCTGGAGGATCAGACATTGGTGCGCAGAGCTACGATACGAACGTCTGCTATATCGTAGCATGCAAATTTATGCGACCGCGCGCCATCCAATCGGACTCGACTTAAGAAACCGTGTTCGATAAAAAAAAAATGTGGACTATGAGCTGTTGATTGGTCAATTCGGATACCATGTTTTGTAATACAACAACGGTTACGGGAGACCCGATGGAAGGCGTCCGCTGAATGGTCAAAATCTGGAGGTCAAGAGGCAGTCTTGTTTTGCATAATTAATCGCCGAATCTGCGCGACTATCATAGACGCTTGTGTGCCAGCGGCTAAGGAAGAGGAGGGGTCACGTTAAACCTTGTGGAATGAATAATACTACTTTCGATAATTCTCATTGCCCTCCAAGCGCCCCCCCCCCAGCCGAAAAAGCAATATTGCCCTTACTAGGAATTCATATCTTATCTTTGATTCAGGCCCCCCCCAAAAAAAATATCGTTGGATATTATTTTGTTATACATCCCTCACTCTCTTTTACTTCCTTTTTGGACTGAGGAATTTCAATGTTGGCTTTTCCCCCAAAAAATATCCGTTTGGACATAACAGATACCAGTACGTAGACCATCACGCCTGGAAAATACCACTGAAGTGCGATATTCGTCGGTGATATTCTCAGGTCCATCACGGGATCACTCACAGGAGGCCGACTGATCATTTGCACACATTTCTACTTCACATGCGTTCGTCATTGGTTTGAGTTAAAGGTTTACGGTAAAAAAAAGGGGGTTTTACTAAAGTTTTCTTTCTTACCACGTGTCAAGGTCAGGGATTAATGGATTTGTTTACACCCCTGTTTATTTATATCTGACGCGAGAGTCATTTTCTTTCCTTGCCTACAAGTTTCCAGCCGCAAAAGCCATCGAATCATGACCCGCTTATATTTTTCATTAGAAGACAGATAAATTCATGCATCATAATTTTGTAGTTTTGAATATAGGCCTAGAGACCTCGCAAATTAAAGAGGATACCTCAATGGCGGCACAAGCATTTCAACAATGGACACTAATTTCCTGAAATAGCGTTTTTACTAAGCATTGCCGACAATAAATTGCCGGTGCGACCACATGCACAGCCATCAACAAAGGTGGATTCTTACAACAGACTAGACCCGAACGGCGCTGATATTTTATGTCCCCAAAACTTAAAAGATAATGGAATATATTATTATGCTCCACGGAAGACACAATTTGAATGCTGAGATTACAAGGTGCGTGCAGTAAACTTGGAGACGTTTACGATGGCTGATTTTCACGTTTGCGTTTTCATTTTGCCTATACATCATTTGAATTGCGTGCTATAAAATTATACATGTTTTGCGTGATTCATGTGCACAATTTATGAGTGACGCAGTAACGTGGATGGTCATCATTTCACTTCCCTATCGTGCTCAACGAGAATTATTCAGTTATTTCTCAGTCTTTTCCTTATCAGGACCGGGTATTTTGAGTTTTATCATGACCGGGAAGGGAGCACATTCTCTGCACATTGTCTTCCCGGGTCGTCGTTTTATAAGCTTTAGTCGATTTCTCAACATTTTGGCAAATATCTTGATTTGCACTGGTATACTCAATAGGCCTGCATGACGTGATTTGGTTGCGTTGCCCCAACCATAAGAGGGCGCTTTACTACCTTTTGCCCGTTTTGGTTGAACACGGTATTTGTGACATAATTTCTTCATTTTTCAGTCAAATGCTTTCTAATTGATCAAATATTGTTTGAGTCGTCAATAACACATATGCCATACAAAGACACCGCCGGAGGGCGATATACCAATACAAAAATAGGGGTGGGGTGTGCAAAATTGTAATTTCGTCAAAATGTGAATTATTTACAACCAAATTCTGACCATATGAAAACTTTTTTATTACGAAGAACGCCCAAAAATCATCCCAAAAAACTGCAAAATTGAAAATCAGCTCTGCGGGTCAATGGTGATCATACTCGATCTTATAGCCCTGCGTGCAATGTAGTCGACCACGTGACCATGATTATCAGAGAAAATGTGTTTTTTGTTTTACTATAGGAACACGTTTATCCATGTTTTTATACAAAAGAACAACATTTATGATTTTCAATTTAAATTGTTAAATCGTTTGCTGATCAGTTGGTGTGAACACTCGTTGTGACATTTGACAAAAAAAAGTTATAGGGATAGTCCAACAAAATTATGCCGATCATCGGCTGAAGTATTCCAGATCTATTTCAAAAAGGTTTCGAAGTGATCACATTGTGCATTCGGTCCTGATAGGGTTAAATTGGTAGTTTCGACATTCGTGAAGCCAAACGTTAGGAGGAAATTCGAATACGCGTTGAAGAGAAAAAGGGAGAGCAAAGTTTACAGTCGTCGACGCGTCATGACAATATTTCAGAAAAGGAAATTTCCCCCACATTTAGGCCTAATGTGTAAATGGTTGGCATTGGTCAGACGGACGGGGATTTGTTAGCCATCCAGCAAGCCATCGAACCCAGACCTCAAAACCTCCATTCTTTAAGGCGAAGGGTAAACTGCGGCAATTTTTTTCCATTTTATGGGGACCAGCAAACGCAGAGGGCGTGTTTCCACCTTAGCGGATCGAAATCGCGTCACTTTCGCAAACTGTAGAGGGCGTGTGACAATTCCAAAAATTTGACGTGGCATTTGCGTTGTAGTCTGGTTCTACTTTCAAATATAATGCGTAATGAAGGGAGATGTAGTGGATACCCGACAGTATCGGCAAAATCTTTTTTGCGTGTGTGAATGACGTTACATCATGTTGCCACGGAATAAATAGTGCTGCGTAAAACATATCGTTTTTAATGACACGTGGAATGATTTACATTTAAAATATCATATCTTCAGACAATCTATTGAAAGCAACAAGACTGGTTTAAGCGAAAACCAAACGTAAGTTCAGTTCTTGGTTGTTTTGTGTATTGTCCGTAAACTGGGCTACCTTTCCCTTCACAGAAGTTGACATGGTTGAGTAGGCCGTTCATGGCCGTATTGTCATGTCACCTTTTGCAAGGAACAGACGGTGGGCCTATGTGGTGATTGTGAAGGGAGCAACTATAGAATGCAGGGCCACGCCGAAGCAAGGTTTTTTATTTTGCCTGGAGGCGTGGATGGAATAGGAGTAATAGATATGCAAACCTGCAAAAAAGTGCTAAGTACAGCGAAGGAATGCACTGCACTTGTCTTCAAAGCTTCTCATGAAGGATCGGAAGGGAGGGCGTGCTTGTAAATGTGTTGGGGGCACTGTCTGGAGCGGCGGAGGCGCGGAGTCTTGGAGTCGCAGAATCGCGGAGACGCGGGGCACTGGAGTGGCGGAGGCGCGGAGTCGCGGAGTCGCAGAGACGCGTACCGATAGAGGGCGCAATTCTCGGCGGAATCTTTTTGAGAACGAAGCATCCATATCCATTTTAAATGGGCGGGCCAATTAGGAAGGGAGGAGGGCGACAGGGCACTGTCTGGAGTCGCGGAGGCGCGGAGTCGGGGAGTCGCAGAGTCACTTTAAATGGGCGGGCCAATTAGGAAGGGGGGGGAGGGCGACGGGGCACTGTCTGGAGTCGCGGAGGCGCGGAGTCGGGGAGTCGCAGAGTCACTTTAATTGGGCGGGCCAATTAGGAAGGGGGGAGGGCGACGGGGCACTGTCTGGAGTCGCGGAGGCGCGGAGTCGCGGAGTCGCAGAGTCGCTTTAATTGGGCGCGCAAATTAGGAAGGGGGGGGGGGAGGGCGACGGGGCACTGTCTCTCAGTGGTGGAGGCGCGGAGTCGCGGAGTCGCGGAGTCGCAGAGACGCGCACCGATAGAGGGCGCAATTCTCTGCGGCTCCACGACTCCACGATCGATTTTCAGAGGTAGGTCGACTGCGGTTCCACGCCTCCACGCAGCCGTACGGAGGCGCGGATGTAGAGTAAAGTGGCCCTGCATTCTATAGTTGTACCAACCACAATGACAGGCCCCTATTTTGTTTTTGTCTTGTTAGTCCTATAATGTTTTTGGCAGTTCAGTGTAGTGAATTGAAGGGCCCCTCTTTTACAAATGCTTTAGGCCTACTTAGTTTTGATCATTTTTGAATGATATTATTGATAAAAAAAGATAGTGGATATATTGCCGGAGGTAATGCCGGCAAGCTAACGTTTACTAAACATGCTAAAGGTTTGCCGGCGGCAATCCATATCAACAGAGGGCGCTGTACTCTCTAAGATAGGGCTGATTAAGATATATTAAATTACCACCAACGGTTGTGTAGCACTAGCACCCTTGAGTAGTAGATAAGCAATGGATCTTATTAGCGGGAAGACCCGGGTTCGATCCCGATCCCCGCTGGCGACATTTCTAAGATTTTTTTCCCCCATCCCCCCAAAATAAGAATATTCTTCTTTTATTATTTTAACATGTCTCAAAGTAACATTTTATTGCAGAGTATTACATTTTCTTTTTCAGATTTGTGGCTCTGGAGGATTTTTTAAAAGGGAAATAAAGTCCGAAATTGTAAAATGGTCTGATTCCCATCTTGTGAATACGAAGTTACAACGATAATGTTGGCATGGAGCCAGACTAAAATTTGTCACCAGAAAATGTCTAAGTAAAAAAAAAACAGTAACTGCGCATGTTCAGTGCTTATCCGGCAAGCTAACGTTTACTAAAGGTTTGCCGTCTCCGGCAAAATATCCACTGCCATAAAAAAAACACCCTTGCCCACATGCCTTTAACTTTGAGTCTAGTCAAGGGTATTTTTTTAAGGTACTGGATATTTAGCCGGCATGGCTTTCTTTAGGTAAACAGTAAGCTGGAACGGCACTAAAAATGCATAGTGACTGTCTTTTAGGACTCCTAAATTTTTACCGTGACAAATATTAGGCTGGTTCCAAGCTAGTCCCATAAATGTAACTGAATTACTGGACTACCTCCGTATTAGAGTCACACTTTTACGCATATGGTCTGGGCATGGACGGTCCCGTTGCTAGGGGAGTACACCCGCATGCATGCACTTTTGACCAAAACTGAATGACAGGCAACAGCTGTACCAATGCACATTGTCAAAATTTGATGTAAGCTAGTGAGGATGCGATTTGCAGCATGACTGCTTTTTGCGGGGAGGTAGAAAATGCTATATTTCTACCAATTTTCCCTTTGACACCATGCAAATCAGTTTGTTTAAGAGGTGCTCTCCGTATTATTTCACCATTTGTCTATAGATCTGTTGCCATGGCAACGTACCAAGAGTACATTCAGCAGAACGAGGATCGGGATGGGGTCCGATTCAGCTGGAACGTCTGGCCGTCCAGTCGCCTGGAAGCCACCCGAATGGTGGTGCCCCTAGCAGCCATGTACACACCCCTGAAGGAGCGGCCGGACCTACCCCCGGTCCAGTATGAGCCCGTGCTGTGCACCAGGTCCACCTGTCGGGCTGTCCTCAATCCGTTCTGGTGAGACATCTTTCACAAGATCATGTCCACTTTACAATTGTTGAACACTGTTACGTTGTCTATGGTGATTTGTACAGCGTGTGTCAATAAAAATGCAGGATTAGAAACAAAAATATTAAGAATATAAACCACCCCTATTCATCATAATGTTAACGCTCTTTTCAAAGTACCTTTCCTTCTTTTCACTATGCTTTTTATCCCATCTCATTTGGACAATCCTGTCCAGAGATAGAGTACATTGAAGAAGGGTTATAAATTCCAAGCTGGTCTGATTTGTGAAATCACACATACCTAATGAAAGGTTTGAATTCAGTACAGGTGAAAGTATTTGTGGATCACAAAGAAGGACATGTGTGGCAGGATTAGGCTTACATAATCCTTTAGTCCACAATCAATGTTATTAGTCAATAATTCATGATGCTTTGAAACAATGATAGTCCAGTTATTAAATTTAAGTGATACTTATCATCAGTTGTTTCAAAGAAAGTTTTGTTCTGGTTTAATTGTCTTCAATGCATACCTGCATTGTACATAACTGGTCGTTGTGTTAAGGTCATTGAATCAGACCAACCCGCTTCAGAAGGGCTTCACAAAACTTGTCATAACTTTTGAACCAAAAGTCCAAATTCCACCAAACAAAAATCTTGTCAAAGATGAAATTATGGACAATCAAATCCTTATCAAATTAGGCACACCAGTAGCATAATTTTCTCAGAAAAAAAATCGCTTGAATCCTGCGTTTTTATTGACACATGCTGTTTAACCAGGGGTGCCAATTGCCCATGAAATTTTTCAAAACCCATGGGTTACATCACAGTAGGCAATTATTTTGCTATACCTCGGTATTAATTTTAGAAAACTGGTGAAGAAGTACATGTAGAAGTACGATGAATAAATAAGCTATTTTTGTTCCATTGCAGCATTTTTGTTGAGTTTTGCATTCTTGTTTTGCTCTCAGTACTGTAAATATTAAAAAAAAATATAATTAGCCAAAGAGTTCCTTTAATATGTGTTTCATCCACAGCCAAGTCGACTACAATGCCAAATTGTGGACCTGCAATTTCTGCTTCCAAAGAAATCAGGTAAGTTACTCAAATGTATGCTTCGAACACTGAGCTCAATTGTCAAAAATAAAATCTATCAAACAGAGCAAGTAATGGCTCAAAATTTGAGCCGCATTGTTGAAATTACATTTGTATATCTATTTAATTTGCTTGGAGGTATCGAATTTCGGGATGACAATCGGTTGGATTGTCATCCTTTGAATGTGGCAGGTATTGGAGTGCAGTATAAACCTTTTTGCAGTTATTTAAGTGAATTTTGGGGGGTGGGGTAGAACAAGGGTACAGGAGGTTGTACTTTACCCTTGTTCTACCACACTCCAAAATTAACTTAAATAATTGCAAAAGGTTTATTTACTGCACTCCAATATCTGCCACAGTACCAAGTCTCATGTTCAGAAGTCACTGGCAATAAACAGACCAAAGTAAACAGGTCTGTAATGAGCTTCCCAGGCCCTCACAATCTCTCAAAATCAGGACCCTGGCTGACCAGCAGATAAGCCTCTGATGACATTTTTTATACGCTTTCATTTGTCTGGTCACTCAAAGCATCCTGCAATATACTTCAGCTAGAGTGCATTGGCAGGGTTTGGTGTTTCCAAGCTCTGACATACATGTAGGTTGCACATGTGTACTCATTTTCATTTCAATTATTGTTGTTGCAGTTCCCACCTCAGTACAGAGGCATCTCAGAGCAGCACCAGCCTGCAGAGTTGATTCCTGCTTTCTCCACCATCGAGTACACACTCAATGTAAGTAGAGCTCCCTGCAAGTCCCTAACCCTCCTCACTCCAAAATCCTCCTGGCGGTTTTGGAGGATTCTAGAGGATTTGAGGATGATTGGTGAATGAATCACATGAGGATTTTGGAGGATTGAGGATGAATGGTGTTTGAAGCATAGGATGATTTTGGAGGATTAAGGATGAATGCATTTTGAGGCAGGACTGTCTGATGATTTTGAAGGATTTAGGTGTTGGTCATCCTTCATTTAAACACAATTGCAAAATTTTGGGATGAGGAGGATTGACGATGAATGCAATTTGAGGCAGGACTGTCTGATGATTTTGAAGAATTTAGGTGCTGTTGCAAAATTTTGGAGGATTGAGGATGGTTCTCAGCAAAAAGGGCCTAGGGGGTTAGGGTTAATCCTAACCTTCCTCAATCGTCCAAAATCAGCCAGGCGCTTTTAGAAGATTAAGGCTGTATGCCTGCATTGTTTCTGTTAAGCCATGCATCAATGTGGGCCCACATTAACTGGGTATCATGTGCACTGCTTCAACACTGTTCAATGTTTTCAAAGTGGGTTTGAGGATTTTGGAGGATAGAGGCAGTATCCAATTGTTAATGGAGATAGTTGGAGTAATTTGAAAGATTGAGGGTGCATCTCCAAAGGAGCCGAGGGGTTTAGAATTAGTCCTTGACTGGCAACATCATTAGATTTTCAGAGGTAGTCCTGTAGTGAAGTGGTATATGTGTGTCTAAAAGTTGTAGATTGGAGACTTGACTGAGCAATGAGGTCAGACAACGGCATCAGGCAACAGCCTGATCAGCTTCTATGTTTGCTTTACACGGTGATGATTCTTAAAAGCCATGATTGATAGTGCTGACATTATGTCTAGACCTTGCCACCGGTCTTAAACAGAGTGTTTAATACGGACTAAGCACATAGTTATTCCCATTCATAAATACCTTTTTGGTAAAAAAACAAATCTTTTCGGTCCAAAAACCAAAACAAGTTAAAAACTAGACGTTGCCAACAATTTTGTTCAACAATGTTACTGCATGTTTTATGAAACACCCCTCTGACTCTAAAATGGAATGTCCCTCTACAACTCCTTACCTTATAAGATGTCGCGCAGAATGCACCTGGGGCATTGCGTTGTGAATTTAGGACTATAAAATACTGGCTCACTGGTAGTATTGTGCATGCCTACGTGATGTCGTTCAACCAAGAAAACGGTAAAAGGCACTGCATTTTTAGGAGTCCAAATTTCATGTGACACTGGAAAAGTGTTTAAGACCAGCCAAACATGTCTTTATCATCCGTTTTGTTCCCTCCCCGTCCCCAAACCCAGCGTGCCCCCTCCTGCCCTCTGATCTACCTGCTAGTCCTGGACACCTGCATGGACGACGATGACTTGCAGGCCCTCAAGGAATCCCTGCAGATGTCGCTGAGTCTGCTGCCTCCCAACGCCCTGATTGGTCTGATCACGTTCGGCCGCATGGTCCAAGTCCACGAGCTGGGCTGCGAGGGTTGCTCGAAGAGCTACGTGTTCCGTGGCACCAAGGACTTGAACGCCAAACAGATTCAGGTAAGAGAGGCACTGCCCTGGTGAACTACACATCCCCACTCCCGCTTCACTTAAGGCCCTTCCAAACTTTTCAAACAAGGATCCCAGCCACTCTGGAAATCAGGGAAACCTTGAAAATGAGTCAGGGAAAACTCCCGGAATTTGAAAAAAAACACCAAAAAGCAGGGAAACTCAGGAAATTTGACAGTAACGCAGGAGGGAAAGATTTTGGCCAGTTTGGCGTACACTTGTGCAGTGTGTCCAAGTTGTGTCCATCGACTGACTGGCTATGGTGGCTTTTTAGTGTTTATGCAGCGTGAATATTATCCGTATGTTCGTTGCTTTGCTGCAACTGCCTCTTGACTTCCCAGCATCCTCGTTAAAATTGAAAACATTTCTCATGGAATTTTGGAAATATCTCAGGAAAATATTGGGGAAAATTAAGGGAAAGTTGTTTTCATAAAGTGCTGGGAAACCTGATCAAAACCTCTGTGTTGGACCTTGGCCAAAGCCTGAGATGTCAGGAACCCCTTTCACACTAGCGAGAATCCGACACGGCTTCGACATAGGTCAAGCACTGCTTTGCTGCAAGCACTTACTCTACTCGGGTAAAATTAAACTCTGCTCAGGACCAGGGTGGAAAAGCTCTACCTGGGTAGAAAATCCCAAATCAATGGTTACCCGTGTACAAACATTCATGTGAATAGTATGTCTCTGCCAAACCATGATCGATCGGACCAGGTTCCTCTCACAGTTAACCCATGAGGGCCACATCTCAGAGCCAACTTGGATTTTTAGATGAAAGTTGATGAACAAATATTAAAAAGCGGTTATTATTTCCGTATTTGTCCCCAAACCCCTTCACAAGTTGGTACAGAAATGTCACTTTGGTTTTGTGGTCTCATCCATCCACAGGAGATGCTCGGCATCGGCAGAACATCAGCCCAGCCACAGATGAGAGGACAGCAGCAGCAGCAGCAGCAACAGCCAATGAACAGGTCAGAAAGTACAAGTACTGCACAAACTCAATAATTAACCCTAACTCTCCCTTTATCCTCAAAACTTAACCAAAGGCAGTAGTGCCGGATTTGGTATGTCAAATACTGGTTGATCGAAATTGGAGGTCTCTGTGAGGTAGAGTTTTTGTTGTTGTTGAGAATTTAGGCAACCTGCCAAACTACGTCATGGGCCAAGTTCGGGCAAGGACCATTAGTCGACTAGTGGTTGATTTGTGACGTACCTTACGCCTGCGCACTGATAGCAACGTGCGAACGTCTCTAGTCAAACGCTGGTCAAAATGTCATCGCAAAACTTCTGGATCCTGGCTCTCTGCTAGCGTTATGAATGCACGCAGCTATTGGTTACCAGCGAAGCAACCAACCCCAGTAGGCTGGTTCCAAATAGTCGACTAGCGTAGTCAACCACCGTCGACTAGACAGAGTTCGGGCAAACGTTAGTTAACCATTGGTCAACTATAGTCCTTGTGCGAACTTGGCCTTGGCTGTTATTGGAGAATTGAGGTCAGCACTATATCTTGACTTCATAAATATCCTGCATTATAGACCAACATGAGCAGGCTGTCACAGTACATTCACGGAAGTCCCCTCAGAGGGCGAAAGCATTATGCCAGTTATTGTACAGAGCAACTGCCCAACGACAGATTATCTGAACAAAAGCTGGCGCAACGCTTTCGCCTTGAGATTTGTCTATACTGTTCATGGAAAGCACCGTGTCAAGTTCTTAAGAGTTGGAGGATATTGAAGGATTGAGGTATCCTACCTGTCCTCAAATTCAAGCAGTTCTTGACAATTTTGAAGGATTTAGGATTTATCTTTGTCAAAAGCTCTTTGGTGGTTTGTTAATCAAGAGGGAAAAAATACATGTAGCGTGGCCTCCACAGTACTACTGCACAGTGTTAATACTCATCAGATTGCAAAAGTTTCTCACAAAAGTGTCCAAGGGATGTGTACATCTGCTGTATGTGTATAAGCATGCTTCCCCTGCCTTTCACAGTTAACATTTTCTGTTTTCATTTATTAACATCAAGTGGTCCTTCCTTTTTTGCTCCATGTGCATATTACGCAGTTCATACTCCCTTGAGGTGAACACAAACTGTCACGGATCGTGAGTAGAGCAAGAGACTCCTATGGAAGACTTCCTTTTTATTTTCTTAACAGGACTTTGATTAGGCCGTGCCTTTAAAATGCTTCAGAATTACCATTCTTTTGCATGTAATTTGGACAAATAGTCCTTATCCCTAGACACTAGTGCAGTTTAGACAACATTTTCATCCCCTAAACCCTAACCCTTGAGGTTGAGGTCAATTGTCTTGAAACCCTTACCCAATGCAACACTGGTCAAGTGTCGTGCCTGCTGAGTGTAATTTGGTCCAACAGGTTAAAAAGAACATCCCAAAGCCAATCTGCCTCAAATTCCATGAGATGCCAACTGCAACGGGATACAACAGTGACATTGATCAAAGGGACTAGTTCCCATTGTCTCAGTCGAAGATAGTGTCCAATGATTGATGGTCGGCCGCTAAAATAAACAATAGCCGCACGCTATGCACTCACATGTACTGTGTGAAGCACGAACAGCGACCTCACACGGCTAGGCTGCATTATGCCAGTCAGTTGGTGCTGGTCGAACGCCTTGGCATTTTGCATTGTGGCCCAGTAAACTATAAGGTGGCATTGACTTAAACACCTGTTGCACTGTGCTACATCTGGCAGGGTTACCTTTAATCCTTTTGGTACTGGGACTTATGTTTCTCTATTCCTGAACTGAAATGGGACCTGTACATGAACCCCCCCCCCCCAACCCCACTCCCGGAAAAGACAGTGTAGCTAAATAACCTGCTCTGCTGGCCAAATGTTCCCCCTGTGGATTTTCTCTTTGCATCACGGGTGGAATGGAGTACCATCAAATAAATATGCTCATATCTGCATTGTTTCCTGGTTATTTAATATTGAGGATAAGTTGTGGACAAGTTCATCTTCAGAAGCCAAATTGATTCAGGTATTAGTGCCAGGATCTGTGCAACTTCTCAAGAACTTTCCTGCAACATCTATCAGCGTTGTCTGAAAAATGAAAGTTGTGTAGAACCCCACAAGTAATACATGAAACAATTGCGGATAAAGGTGTCCACAACTTACATTTATCACGGATATTTAATCAGATTTCTCCTAAAAGTGGCAAAATTAAATTCCAGTTTTTATGTTTAAATCCAATTTTGCTGTTTGTTTGTTTGTTTGAGCAGGTTCCTGCAGCCAGTGCACAAATGCGACATGAACCTGACGGACCTGTTGGGGGAGCTACAGCGCGATCCGTGGCCCGTCGGTGCCGGAAAGCGCCCTCTACGCTCAACCGGGGTGGCACTGTCCATCGCCACTGGCCTGCTAGAGGTAATGTTCAGTGCACTTCCGAGTAAATTGTGAAGATATTACAAGGTTTTGTACAAACATCTACTTGATTATATTTAAGCTGAAAATGTGTCAATGAATGGAATAGAAGTGATTCACCATACAGTGCGTTTCCAAGCATTTGCCTAACAGAATATCATCGTTAATGTTCATTAAAACAGAAAAAAAGTCAAAAATTAATACCATTAGGCAACATCTACAAAGGGATGTTGAGTTGTTCCCATGGTGCACTGTAGGTAAAAGGCATGCAACTTTTCCTTGGATCAGCTGATTCCCTCGTTTTTTACTTCTCATGAATGCCATTACAAATTGAAAAACACTGTACAAAGTCTTGTGTGGTTTGGAATTTCCTTGTTTTTTCCTAAATTCCTAGTTGCATGTCTGAGGTAAAGCAGGATCTATGCTAGACCGCAGACCTGACCTCGAGCACATGTGGACCTTGTTGGTCAAGCTCACATGCACATGTACAAGCACATGCAGAATGAAAACGTAGGCAATGCACAGGGCAATGCATCTTATTGTGTATTTAACCCTAAAAGGGCTGGGGGAGGGGGGGGGGGGTGCGGAATCCGCCCCCCTCGACTTTTTAGTCTCGAGCCTTGCGCATCTTTTGATAGCAAAAACATAAAAATCGGACCACAGGTTGCCGCACACCGAAAAAATTTCAAGGCGAAATCTTTCCTGTATTTGGCCAATTGCAGCTGTGATGAACATTCAACATGCATTTCGTGGACAACAGTCCTACATACGTGCATGCACATATGAGTTGTGCTGCTGAAACATGCAAATGTGTTGTTGGCCATGTGTGCAGTGGGTGAGGTTAGAGCAGCCTATTGCTCCTATCCTGATCTTTATTGAAGTGGTCATGCTTCGGTCTTACTTGTTAGAATCATAGCCATTAAGATGTTCAGATTTCTATTTTTTTTTCCCCCTCAGTGTTCTTTCCCTAATACTGGGGCCCGCATCATGCTGTTCATCGGTGGGCCTGGAACCCAGGGCCCTGGCATGGTGGTAGGCGATGAACTCAAGACTCCCATCAGATCGCATCATGACATCGAAAAGGACAACGCCAAGTACATGAGAAAGGCCATGAAGGTAAAACTTGAAGTAATTATATGATTGGACTGCCATGTGGGAACACTGGATGGCAATTTGTGGCTTTGCGCACTAGAGGCAGTGATGGACACAGTGTTTGCACTTCTTTATATGCACTGATTGAACCTAGTGTAAATGACCAGTTGTCAACTGATTTTCATCAAACATCTAGGGCCAACTTCTGAGACAGACGTAGCTGAGTGCCCCATACGCGCACCTGTATGGGCACCTTATGTGGCCCTCCCACTGGGGCTTTTGAAAGTGGTTAAAAGCGCCATCCTAGTGTTCATGCGAGGAGTCCATTGGCAGTGCAAACTAATTGAGCGAAGTTTCTGTGTCAGTTCTGTACATACAGAATGATAACAGCAGACTCAAGTCGAACTTGAGTCACTATTTTTTGGGCTTGAAGTAATGGCCTGAGACTTGACTTGACTTGGGAAGAAAATGACTTGTGACTTGACTTGAGTAAATTTGACTTGCTGACATTAACACTTGTGTTAAAACAAACACAGACTTCAGGCGCATGCAAAAGTCTGTTGAACAGAAAGCAAAGGACCTGGTAAACATGTAGCGAGCTAGGCGTCCTGCACGTACATGCATGTATGCGGCGATCGTCGAGGTGGTATTTGTGCGATGCATGCTGGTATATGCCATGGAGATCAGTGCCGTTGGCTACAGTTGTGCTACAAGGCACCACATTGCCCTGCTGCACATTAATGATCAGTGTAGGGAAGCATTGCGGAAGCGACATCATCTTATAACGACTGGAAAACGACTACTATCGTCAGTCCGTTATGCAGAATTGAGGCGTGGCAAGGATTCTTCCTATTCAATGAAAATGCTTGGCAAATGAATGTCAAATGTCCTTCAAAAATTCAACATTATTTTTGTAGATATTTGATCACATTTTCAGACTATTTTAAAAGCAAATAAGGTGTTGGAGAGAGCAAATTTGAAAATGGCAAAATGTTATTTTTAAATTCTCTTTACCTGATGCATGCTTAATAAACTCCATCGCGCACACCTACTGTAGACTGATTCCCATCTCTACTACTATGTTCAAATGGACTTAACCACTTCGCGTTGGGATTATTTTGACATTGAACGCAGGATTGTTTTCATGAACTCGATGCCAGACGGGTTTGGGCCGTCATGTGCGGGTAGCACACCCTGATATTTCCGGCCTCGCTCGCTGCAAGGGGGTCGCAGACAGATACTTCCGGCCTCACTCGTTGCGTCCTCACTGGTTGCGTGTTTATCCGTCATCCGTTCTGAATACTGCAAAACGTTTGCGTGTATACACTTTATCTGATGTGAACTGGTTAAAACAAAATTGACTTGTGACTTGTGACTTGACTTTGAAAAAATTGACTTGCGACGTGACTTGACTCGGAAAAAAAATTGACTTGACTTGACTCTGGGAAAAATTGACTTGCCACTTAACTTGATTTCGAAAAATTTGACTTGAGACTTGAATTGACTTGAGAAAAAATGACTTGGTTGCAACTCTGGATAATAGGCGCAACATTCTGGTTAGCAGTGCCATGATAATTGACCCCAGATTTACTGTTAATGAAATGGTTGTATTGGTCTCTGTATAGCATTATGAGGGACTGGCCACCAGAGCTAGCAACAACGGCCACACTATAGACATCTACTCCTGTGCGTTGGATCAGACCGGACTGCATGAGATGAAGACATGCTGTAACTTCACAGGGTAGGATATCTTATCATTCAACTAGATAACTAAATCATTAAATGTAATATTGTGTTGCTTAAATAATGCTTTGCACCAAAGTCTCAAAGTGCTTCACAATTATTATCCCTGTTCAGCAGGCCCAGATACCGGTTTTCTGTAGCAGCCTCATTAGGGCCCAATTTCACGGCGCTGCTAAGCAAAAAAATTGTTTAGCACAAAAAAAGCCTGGCTTATAGAAGCAGTTTACCAGCCAAAACTCCACGTGATTTTCATGCTATAGCAAACAACAGCTGAATACTAATCACTATACATCACATGGAGTTTTGGCTGGTAACCTGCTTTTATAAGCCAGACTTTTTTTGTGCTAAGCAAATGTTTGTGCTTAGCAGCGCCGTGTGTACCCTCACAGGTACTTATACTCTTGGGTGGAGAGAGGTAGTTGTAATAAAGTGTCTTGCCCAAGAACACAAGCATTCTATTCCCTGTCGGAGTTTGAACCACACAACTATTGCTCATGAGTCAAACGACATAACCATTGTCATTCCACAAATTTGCTTTCCTGATGTACAATATATCAAAGCTGTCCGTAACATAGACATTTTGAATTCAAGGTTGCTTAATAGTAGACAGGCCTGTAGCAGGATTTCAATAGAGAGTTGCATAGACTAAAGACATCAGACTGACTTGCACACATATGTTGACCAACATGGCGGACAAGGATCTTCAGAAATTCAACAAGGGAAGCGGGGGGGGGGGGGGGGGGGGGGGGGGGGGGGGGGGGGGGGGGGGGGGGGGAGATTGCAGGGTTGGGGACTGGATGTTGTCTTATTCCAAAGGGGGAGTAGTATTAACATGTATGTGTGTAATTATTTATGTTTGCATAAACATAATAATATCCACATTTAACTCCCATTTTCTGTAGTGTACACTGTTGAAATTACGTGAAACGGATGGCGGATGATCAATATCTTGGAGCTGTTGTATGATGGGACAAAATTGTTTAATTTTGTCCTTTCCAATTTTCAAAAATGTTCTTTTTGTTTGTCTTGACGCTGTTACCACCAATGAATCCATTGTTGTTTTGCCAGCGGTCACATGGTGATGGCAGACTCCTTCAACACCTCCCTCTTCAAGCAGACTTTCCAACGAGTCTTTGCCCGTGATCAGAAGGAAGAATTCCAGATGGCTTTTGGTGCTGTCTTGGAAGTCAAGGTAAGAACAGATTAGGCCAGCATCATTTACAATGTTAGTTGCTCATAAGACATCACAAGACATCACAAGATATCACAAGTCATCACAAGACATCGCACGTCATCACAAGACATAACAAGATACCACAAGGCACCACAAGACACCACAAGGCACCACAAGACATCATAAGACATCACAAGACATCACAAGACACCACAAGACATCACAAGACACCACAAGACACCACTAGACATCACAAGACATCACAAGACATCACAAGACATCTCAAGACAGCACAAGACATCACAAGACATCACAAGACATCTCAAGACACCACAAGACACCACAAGACACCACAAGACACCACAAGACACCACAAGACACCACAAGACACCACAAGGCATCACAAGATACCACAAGACACAACAAGACACCACAAGACACCACAAGATACCACAAGACACCACAAGACACCACAAGGCACCACAAGACACCACAAGACACCACAAGACATCTCAAGACACCACAAGACATCACAAGACATCACAAGACATCTCAAAACACCACAAGACATCATAAGACACCACAAGACAACACATTGCACCCACACAACACCACAGACACCAGAAGACATTACAAGCCATAACAAATCATCACAAATCATCACAAATCATCACAAATCATTACAAATCATCACAAGTCACCACAGCTCATAAGTCAGTTGACAAGCTGTTTAAATGAACTGTGATAAAGGCATTCCTTCATTATTGTTCATTCCTTGTTTCTTAAATAATATTCATAAATACCTCAGACAGTTTAGCCATTCCTATTGGTCGAGAGCCCGTCACGTGGCCGGTATTAAACGGATGATAAAGACATGGCTAGCTGGTCTTAAACACTTTTCCAGTGTCACAATAAAATGTGGACTCCTAAAAATCCAGTGCCTCTTACCGTTTCATTGGTTGAACGTTCACAATCCTCACGTAGGCATGCGCAAAACTACCAGGGAGTCAGAATTTTTTAGTTCTAAATTCAAAACGCAACGCGCCAGGTGCGTTCTGCGCGACATCGCGTAGAACATGATACGCGCGCGTCAATCTCCATAAAAGGGTTGTTTTCATCTTACTCGCCAGCTGAACACTCCATTATTTTGCAGGAGGGATGTTTCAAAAAGCATAAAGTGAATTTGTTGAACAAAATCGGGATGTTTTGAACGAATTATATGATTTTTTTTTACCGAAAAGGTATTTATGAATGGGAATAAATATGTACTCCGTCGGTATTTATCACTCTGTTTAATACCACTTAGAGTCTGGGTGCTGATAATTACCCTCGCCTCCGGCTCGGGTAATTATCAGCACCCAGACTCTAAGTGGTATTAAACTGAGTGATAAAAACCTCCGGAGCACACATTTATTCCCTTAATAATACAAAATTTATAATGTGCCCTAATCATTAATAAAATGCTCTAAGCCTTATGTTTTGGCTTGTTATTGACTTGATGACAATTCTGATATAGACCCTTTGAATAGAACAGCCATCTTCGAGGTTTTTTTTTACTTTTATGAAATACGCTAAAGGTTAACTCACATGTATACCTGTGGAACCATAGCACACATCTCAAAGATAGCTGTAGTGCTGAGTATCAATTGATTCCCCGTCGCAGTTCAACAGATCCAAATTGATGTCAGCACCCAATTTGATGGCTCAGCTTTCTATTAGCAAAAAACCCCGCTTACTGTAGCAGAAAATACTGTGCTTATAGTTCGCATATTTTACTGTTTATTGAGGAATTTGTGCTTATAAATGCTTTATTGGGTACATCCCGTAAGTGCGGATTCTGTGTTCGCCAGCGCTATTAGCACAAATGGTGATCGTAAGCGTTGATTTCTGTGGTTAGCAGAACCATGAAATTGGGCCCTGATCCGAATCAATCAATACTCTTGCCATTAATGTGAACTTCGACCTTTGATTCTCCCTGGTTGACCCTTGACCCACCGTGTCATTTCAGACCTCGCGTGAGCTGAAGGTGTCTGGCGCCATAGGCCCGTGCATCTCAACGAATGTGAAGGGGCCGTGTGTCTCAGACACAGAGATTGGTATGGGGGGAACCACACAGTGGCGATACTGCGGTCTGACACCGCAAACAACGGTGGCGCTGTTCTTTGAAGTTGTCAACCAGGTACGTTTTTCTCCTTACACTTTTTGTTGGTCTCAGGGGATAAGCCTATAGTCCTCTCTGTATTTGTCTCACTGATGTACTTACTGACTGACTGGCTGACTCCCCGACTGACTCCCGACTGACTGTCACATATGACATAGACTGGTTGTAGACTGGTAGAGGGCCGGGCAGTGCTATTGTATAGGATTACGCTGCCATGCAATGGAGTGTATACGCCTCGACCAGGCCACATTCACTTTTTCTGTGAACGTCTTGGTACCAAACACTGACTAGTCTAGTCACAGACTACCGTGTTGAAATTTACCCAATTGTTATCTGCGTGGTTGATTGAACAGAAGTTGAGGTCAACAATTTTGTGAAGGCCACATACATGAAAAGCCTTCCAGTGAATAGCCACTCTGAATCAACTGAAAAGAATATTTGTGCTCTTGGACAAGCTAAACTAGGTTTTGCTTTTTTTGTTTCTTCTGCGTAGAGTAATGGTAGATGTACAGTAGTACATGAGTAAAAACCCTGACCCCCTAGGGCCTTTTTGTTAGGAACCATCCTCAATCTTTCAAAATCCTCTGAAAATTTTGCACTTCTGTTCAAATGAAGGACACCCCAATGCCTCAATCCTTCACAATCGTCAGACAGTCCTGCCTCTCAAAATGCATTCATCCTCAATCCTCCAAAATCCTGATGTGCTAAGACACCATTCATCCTCAATCATCCTCAATCCTCCAAAATCCTCCAAAACAGCCATGAGGATTTTGGAGGGTAAGGGATTTATAATACCCACTTGTACTGCACCCGAATGTGAATGTTAATTTGAAATAAATGCAACATGTGTTCATTTGACATGAATGCGAAATTAGCCGGAATTTGAATGTGTTCATCGTCAAAGGTGCGTTCTTAGTATTACCCTTGCAGCACAGGAGAACATGTCATAGACTTGTGATCCATAGATGCTCGGTAAACAGAAGTGAAGTACATGTGCTTGGTAACCATAGTTACACTCTGGTAACATAGCAATGATGGGAAATAAATAGCCTTTGGCCTCTTACTTTATGTAGCCAGATCAATCAAATGTCTCCACGTTGATGGTAGGCATGCTTACTGTCCACATAGGGCAGTCAAGTTGGATTACAATGTAATTGCATTACTATGTCATTACATGCATTCAAGTCACGAATGGAAAGGTTTGTCAACGTACCTTGGACACTGTCTTGATTGCCTGTATGTGTCATGTTAATGCTCTTGCCTTCAGTGAAGTGTTGAAGAGCTTCATAAGGCTGGAATTTTACCTTATAGTAGCCAGGTTTTTTGGCCATCTTATACCTGGAGGGGGGGGGGGGTGGGGTGGGGTGGGGGTATTAATTTTGCCCCTCCCCCTTCTGTTCTCGGAACAGACATTTTAGTAGCGTATTTCAGGCCTGATACAAAGTTGTAACTCAATTTGGACAAAGTCTTTTGTACAGTAGTTATAATCATTACGTTTCATGCTTCTGCCGAACTGTAGTTGGAAGCTACATGGCCATTGGTAGACAAAAGCTTTTCCATTACCTTGTGTTCACTATTTGAAATTTTGCACAACACCGCACCTGCAAAACAACTGCAAGACATCAATCTATAGTGAAGGCTGGCGTGAATAAAAAATAATTTTAAAAATTGTACTGGGGACAGATTTTGGCCTGTTCCTCGGCCCTCCGAGGGTTAAAATCCATGCAATGGGGACTCAAGCATGGAAACATACTGGTTGTGGAAAAACACGGAAAGGTCTGTTAGGCTCCATGCACAATTGCTCCCTCAAAGAGGTGGCTATGAAAGACACCGTACATAATGCCTGAATAAATCCCTGTCATTGATAGGTGGGTTTTTGATATTACGTGTCATTGAATTATTCATCCCAACCCACGGCCTGGCCTCATTGCAAAAGTAGAAGTTCCATTCCATGGTAAATAGAAGTCCCAATGCACAGTCACACCATTCAGGCATAAAAGCAAGTAATGAATGTTTGACATTCGTGCAATAGAAAGAAAAAATTCATGTGGTGATGCGTACCTCTATTATTATTCTTACCATTGCACTCATAAACATTTAGCACCCACTAGAGAATACACGACCAGGTTCTTGCACATCCCATTAAAGATGATTAGTAGTGCTCACTGAATGTTGAATGCACACAGACCAGTGTGATATACACCTGCCGATGACAGCAAGACAAAGAGACAACAACAGATACATTGTTGCCCTGTTGTCATTGTTTAATTAATGAGATCCATTGTTGAGAACAGTCCTTGCATGTCTGTGTAATAGAGTGTCAAATAATTGGAACAAAAGGAAACACAGTGATAAATTATGACTGAGTGCACGCTCACATACACATGTATATCCCATGGATAAAAGGTTTTTGTCAAAAATAGCAGCCATGCCGGTTCGTAATTCAGGTGAATTCCATTACAAAGCGAATTTGTTAGTGAAACGGCCAACGTCACACTGTATTAACTGCAGTTGTTGACGTCATGAAATTTGTTTCGCTTTCACCTTCGCACAAAGAATGAACCGGCCTTTGGTGGTAGACTGGGCAACTACACTTAAATTCCCTTGTGAAAAATCCTCCATGCGTTGCAAGTAACAAGAGAAAAGAGAAAATAAAAGTTAATTAATTGTAACAGTAGTGCTGGAACAATATTAAATATTGGGTTTAGCCTCTCACCGACCTATTTTTATAACCACTGTATACTCAGTGTTGTCACGAGCATAGTGAAGCAGTCTCTTGGGAACAAGACTATCCTTCAGATGTTATTTTTACTCGCCAGGTCTTATCGGTTTTAAGTACCAGCAAAGACCGACTCAATCCTCGCTCTTATTTTGCCCTTATGATACCCCCTCTTTTTATTCCACATCTTAACCTCAGATTATGGACTTACCGATTGTTCCTTTAATTGCTTTTTGGGAATGGAGGCCGTGTGATGGAAACGTTTGGCTGTTTTGACAGCAGTAGTGTTTATTGGCCGTTTCATGTGGAAGGTTTCGAAGCCTCTTGCAGGAATTTCTTTGAGTAATTGGCCGTGCGGTTGGCTGTCCTACACACAGAGTAATTCACTCGGAGTTCAACGAATCCCAAGTGTCTATCAAGGCTACGTGTCAGTAAAATTGCTCAGTTGCCGTGAAATAAGTGGTCTTACCATAGGGCTGGTCAGACCTGCTGATCAAAAAATCAAGAAAACACGACAATCAGAATGTCAAAGGTTTGAATTCCTTGCACTGTTTCTTTGTTAAATTGTTGGTGTTTCTTAAAAGCACGGAAAAGCGTTTCAACATTTTCAAAATTTCTTTAAACTATGGTATTAGTAGAGTTTTATATGAGATTTTTGTTTCATGCAGCTACCTCCCTAGTCTGAGGATCAGATATTCACATGTGTATACATGTTTGTTTATGATGTAAATAGAGGATTTTCCTTTGTCCTCTTCCTTTTCCTTGGTTCTTACTTTAACTTTTCTGCAACAGCTCTCATTGGTTTTGCACACGTTTTCTAGGATGACCTCGATTTGGTTCCTGTCCTCGATTCACCGATGATGTTGCGCGTGTGTGTCCCCGATTTACACCATAAACAAACGCAGAGCCACACTACGAATGTCTAATATATCCTAACATGCCAGTTTTATGCGACCCTGCGCACCAGCCAATTGGTGTCGACTTTAGAAACTGGGACATCATTTCGATGATGCGACAGTGGACTAAGCTGTTGATTGGTCAATTGGGTTGCCATGTACATGTATTTGTAATAGAACAACAACGGGTTACGGAAGACCCGATAGAAGGCGCCCGCTGAATGGTCAGAATCTGTAGATCAAGATGCAGCCTCGTTTTGCATAATTAATGGCAGCATCTGCGCGAATATCATAGAGGCTTATTATGTGATGTACATGTAACTGTGTCACAACAGAAAGACACTGCACATGAAAAAAGAAGACACTATGGAGTGTGGAGAGCAGTGAAGTGTTACTGATGCAGTGGAGACATTTCTTTGTTCTCGTGTAGTAAAGTGTTCAATTTTGAAAGTGAAATTTCAAAATGCTCTTATTTTAACCAGAATTAGTTTCCTTGGCTGAAATTTGGACTTGATATCCCTTTTCTAAAACTCTTCCATTTGCGACAAATCAACCCACCTTGGAAATTCCTAGTTTTTGAGTAAAACCCATATATCTATTTCGTGAAAACCTTGTGGAGACCTATTCATCTATAGAAATTGCCCTGTGGAGACCTTTACAATGTTTTGTTCCCTATTGTGTGTGTGTCTCCACAAGGATACGAATTTGTGGTCAGGGATTTGAAGTGTTATCCATTCTCCGTAGAAGATTACCTCAAATGAATTTGAAGTGTGGGTGCTTTCTCCATTGACATCAGCGGTTTTTACGACCCTTGAAGGGTTGCAAAATGCAAAAGACTACATGTACATGTAGGAGGATTGATTAAAAACGGGCAAGGAGAAGTCACAATGGGGGTCCTTAGTCTTAATATGCTCTCAGCTTCTCCGGTTGTTTGTTGAAGTCGGTATCTCTTGCTGTTTTATTTCCTCAACAAAAGTGATGTGGCCTGGACAAATCACGGGGGAGCCAGATGGCTGTTAATTATTTACCCGATCTGCAGGGTAGATTCTTCAAGATTGAGACAGTTTCGCCGACAAACGCTCTTCTCAGTTTGATGACGTTATTTGCTTTGTTGTTCAAGAATGCGAGCACATGTGCCACTGGGACTGAGTTCTTAATGGTTGCTTTTTATCAAGAAAATTATCATCTCTGTGGTTTGTTTATTGGTCGGAGTTTCGAACTTGAAAACATATTCCCTGCTTGCGAAGCTGAGGGGCATATGGGGTGGGCATGCAATTTGTCTCTTGGATGAGCTGATTTCCGCTTTTTTTACTTATCTCGTATGCCAATAATAATGGGACAAAAACACTGCAGAGGGTCTTTTAAGGCTTGGAGTTTCCTCTAATCTTTTTGGGTGTCTTCCCAACTGAATGCCTGAGAAAACTGTTTTTACCATGTTCTTCTGTATGTGTGTGCATGGGTGCGTATGGACATTAAAGCAATCTCTTTCTGCAAAATAACTCAAGAGACTCAGCTTAGGCCAAAAAAAAGTCTCCGGTTTCTGGTATGCGCGCGCGTCGCTGTAGCCATGCGTGTCGGCAAAATGAAAAAGTTTTTTTTCAATGTGAGATGATGTCTCAAAACCGCCAACTCACTGGTTTGACAGGCATCCTGCTGCTGCACAATTTTAACGTTTTTTTAGATGGGGTTAAAATCGAGTATAGGCTTTATGTGGCCTCTCTGGACTCCCATATATTTTGCACTAAATTTAGTCTGGCACCATTTGCAGTCATCAGCCGACATTTGAAGGGAAAAAAAGAGTTTAAAAAAACCCAAAAAGCTGCGTCGCCGCACCACTTTTGGGGCAAGCTCCATACCAGAAACCGGAGAATTTGTTTGGCCTTATCAACTTAACAGAGACTTCAGTGGTAGGTTTGAGCATAGTAAAGTGCTCAAAATACTCAGGAATTTCCAAAATAGATAAACACAACAAAATAAAACAATAACTTCCCCCGCAGAGTCTTTAATCATAATCAAGACAGCATGGTCGTGTATTTAATTTCCTGTTCTGTCGGTAAGCAATCTTGCTTGTCATCCTGATTACAGTATGGACTGTATAGCAGGGGACCTGGATCCAGCAGATACATCAGGACAATGTCATTTATTTTGGCGAAGCATTTAGCGAAAACACAACATTTGTTTCATAGTAGCGACTCAACCAACAAAAACACAAACATGAGACCCACGTTGGAGTCAAGCCTGCATGCCTTGATGATAAATGTACTAGTAATTTCCGTTGAAACGTCTTAGGTTGCTCTTCAGTATGGCAATCTAAAATGGAATTGAAAGTGGTTTGTGTGATTAAGAACCAGTGTCTAGCACATGTATGTGAATGACCGAGTATCATTTCAGTCCAGTATCCGGTCTGTTAGTGTGACGTCAGTTCAGTTAAAACCACGCTCACTGGCCCTTGAGTAGCATTGGAAGGTTTTTGGAACCATTTGGAACCGGACCTCGAGCGTTTATCCAATAGGCCGTAGTAATCAGTGGACAGTGGTGCGCGCGTGTATGACCTTTTTACTCACGAACCGGATTGTTATTTTGTTTGTGGCCAAGTTGTCCTCCTTGCATATATACATTGTATACAGTATACGTTATTCATTGCATGTACATGTATACAGCAAAATCCATGTGTTTCCATGGTGGAAATTCCAAAAAAAATATAACAAAAATATTTTTTAAAAATACGCGAGGGCCTCAACCACACCAGTTGATAAAGACACCGTGATGGTGTCGCAAGCTCCTGATATGAGCTCTGTAACTCAAGTCCCAGAAAGGTATCTTTTATTTACTTAAAAAAAAAAAAAAATAGAAAAAGACAAATAAAAAAATCCAAGACTGATAAATTTAATTTCCTGTATATTGGCTTTGATTCGTTTGTCAAGGTACCCTTGCTTACATGTACGGTATATCAAATCTGACAGGATGATTAAAGTTGTCATGATTGAAGGCCAGATATCTGACAAAGGACCTACTATGTGTGCACGTTAATGTACATATTGCTTGAATCTTACAGACATTACATTACTGCCCAAAGTCACCATGCTAACAGCATTAGCAATGCTGCAAACCTAGAAATGGGGCTCACTCAGAGAGAATGCAGCTTTTTATCACAAGTAATCAATCAGCACACATATTTGAATTCCAAACGTGCTCCAATCAGCAAGGTTATGTACAAATGTGCATAGCAGGAAAGTTGACATTTAATAGATGTGTTTGTCATTTTGCTCCTTTAGTTTGCTTTAAACATAGCTTTAAACAAGTTGCACACTACCTTGTATAAACAAATGTAGGGTACATTTAATGTACCTACATTCAATCTAGTCGAGTGACACAGTACATACAATTACTGCGCCTCGAGCAAATGCAATCATGCCCATTTTTTAATGGATGAGAAGCGGTTTTCTTTATGGAGGCCCTATTTTTTTGGCTGAAATTGAATTCCATCAGAATATGGGCACAAGTAGGCCCTGTTTTCAGTTAAAAGTAATTGGGCAGTTTCACAGTGTTGGACTTACATTTTGGACAATTTCACAGTGTGCATAATTATAGTTGTAATCATAAAGTGTATTTTAATTCCGATATATCACATCAGACAGTAACTACGATGATTTAAAAAAGACAGGTTCGAAACGCTATGGTGTTGGATGTACCGTACGTGTACTTACTCAAGCTGTTTTTATTGTGTACCCATTAATTAATTGTTCAGTTGCAAGTAAGAGCTGAACTGTTGAACAGTTTTAATGAATAAACTATATTTCAATAAAATACAGAGAAAATACAGTTTCAAAATGATAAACATGTTATCATTTGTGGTATTTGGAACATTTTGAAATGTTGGCATTGAGGTTTGATCTGTGGAATTGCCCTGAAGTTAATACCTGTGTTGCTTTATTGTCATTAAAAACAAATGGCGAGATTTCCTTTTCATGGGGGAATTAAGCATGTTCAACCCAAACAGTCCCAAATCCTTCAATTTTCACATGATTTTTCCAAGCGAGGGAGTTCAGGGTTAAATATCTACAATCACCCTCTGGCCTCTTCATTTTTTGTTACTCTGCCATCCAATTTGTGTATATTACTGGTACCTCCGGTAAGTGTATCTTAAACTTCAAAGTGCTGCTTAAACTAATTGGACTATTGATGGGTATTGCACTTGTCAGGCAGAATTAGGAAATCATCGCCACAATCCAGAACATGTTGGCCCTCATTACAAATCAGGGGTTACCTGAAATGTCCGTAAACATCTCCATCAGTTATTCGCTAGGTCAGTAAATCCGTCACTGTTTTCATGAACTGAAAGGCATGCGCCGTGTGCATGCAGTTTGTGAGAACCAATCAATAAATTTGGTTTCACGGACTAACACGCGGGTGTGTCCCTGCACTTCGTAGACTAATTTTGGTTTCTTATAAATTGAAACGTATAGCATGTGGATGAAATGCAATTAAGAGAAAAACGCTTTGAAAGGTTTGACACAAATTTACTCCATCCATATATACTTGTGGGGTTACAGAAACTTTTAAAAGTACACGTATGTGGTACTGTAAAGTATGCGCGTGTGCCGAGCACTCGCGCACTACCGAGTGTCAATTCGTGGTGTCGGTGATGAATTGTCGGCATAAGACTTGCACAGACTTGCAGCATCGCAAAAAACATTGAAAATGTACTAAATTTGTATTGGCATTTGTGAACAACAGAGGAAGATTTTGTGATGTGAGGTAGGCCTATTGAATTGAACTCAATGTGAAGGTATCCAATTGATGACCCATACAGGGTGAGTAAACAAAAATGAAACCCAAATGTCGGGACCACTGTTTTAGTGAAGTTCTGCATGTAGCACTTTCAAAATCTAGGATATGAAAGCTCAATTCATAAGCTTTCTTTTAGTCCAAACTCATCCAAATCACTGATGCACTTTTCCAGTTACGGAGTTTTAAACACAACAGCCGTTTTAAAGGGAATATACATCATTTGCTTTTGCTGTAATTTTCAGAAATGGATGGAATTGGGGGGTTGGAAATATATAGCAAATATAGTTACACTGACATTTGGGTTCGAAAATGCTATAAAAACCAAGAAAAACGATCATTTTCCTGTAGTCTGGTTCCCTGACTCCATATAAGAAGAAACAGAGCAGTTTACATACATGTACATTGGGGAATTGTAAGGTCAGGGAACCAGTCTAGCTGGCTTGTACCCGTTCATACATGTAGGTGTGTAATCGATTGTAAACAAGTGCGATGGTCAATTGGGGCCAGTATTTGAAAAAAGCCAGCTTTTTCCAACGCTGGTCGGCCGACCAGCGTTGGAAATTGATGCAAAAATACCACTTTTCTTGAAAATGACAGTATACCAGGTGCCATGATTTTACAGGATGCTTAACACTGTCATTCACCAACAGTCCAGCAAGGTATTTCAAAATGATTTGGTAGTTTTATTTTTTGATGTTTGCAAATGTTGTATTTTCCCTTTAAGATTCTGTCCACGGATCACAAAAAAGTTCGGTGTTCTTTCAGCAAAACGAAAACAAATCACATAAGGATGTGTGTGAATCGTTTTCGTTCTGCTGAAAGAACGCACACCTTTTTTGTGATCCGTGGACAGAACTTTAAAATGGTGGTTGTGTTTAAAACTCCGTAACTTGAAAAGTACATGAGTGATTTGAATGAGTTTTGTACTAAAAGAGAGCTTATGAATTGGGCTTTCATATCCTAGATTTTGAAAGTGCTACATGCAGAACTCCACTAAAACAATGGTCCCAACATTAATTTTGGGTTTCTTTTTTTGTTAGTGCACATTCAAGTCGGACTCACTGTTGTTTAAAGGTAATGGACACCACGTGCAAACATTCAAAAAGGAAACTCTCAAAATATCATGAAGTATCCTACTTGATGGTGATGAAATGATAGCATCAAACGTTGTGTGAAATCAGTGCGTCTAGCATGCTGTCATTTTTGAGAAAAAGGAATTACCATCATTTCCTTGCGATGGTTGGGACCAAACCATCACGCCTTCAATGTTTATGAAACCTGTATTTGGGTCCAGAAAAATGAAGATGCATTTTCACAGTTTTCTCATAAGTAAGTGTATGATATCTACTGAGCTGAAATTTCGACAGGTGAGTTGTTTAATAACCTGCTTCAGATTTATTGTATTGTTCATCCTTGAATAAGCAAAACACAGCTCCAATTTTTCTCGGATGGTGGGGGTCACATGGTCAGAGACTTTCAATGCGCATTAGCGATCCTGACACAGTGCTGGCCAACGCTTCATGCAGGCTCCCAGCGCAGTCGGTCTCCGCAATATCTCCACCCCCGCCGTCTTCCAGATTGTCATTGGCTGCTCGCCCGCGAGGATGGTCAAGCAGTATGTCCTTGCAAGACGTTCGCACCGCCATGTCTACCCGATTCCCATTGTTCAGGACCTTGCCGGCGTTCCCAAGACCCCCGGGGCCCGGCCTCAGGATGCCCGCTGACCGCAGCAGTCTGACACCTTGACTCCTCAGGGCTTGGCGGAATGTCCTGTTGAGCAGGGAGTACAGCCAAGGGTTGATGGCGGAGCTGAGGAACGTGAGCCAGAGGGAGGTGGCCGTCAGGATAAAGGGAAAGTCGGTGTTTGCGTTGGCCTGCCACAGGCTAAGAATGGTGAAGGGGATCCAGCAAACCAGAAACACACCTGTTATTAAAAACCAGTGAAAATAAAGCGGGAATTGACCAATTAGCTATCACATTGCATTGTATTACATTGTATTACATTGTATTTATTCCTTGATGAATCTGAGAAACCATATTGTGCTGGGGGTGGTTTGGTGCAGTTGACTAATGGGTTAAAAAGACAATAGAATTGGTCCTGCTGCACATGCGTGTACTTCCTTTCATGTGTCAGTCTTAAAGCTATAGTCCATCATTTGCAGCCATCCGAAAAAGTATTATACTGGCGTATTATTGTTGAAAAACATACTTGGTTGAAAGATAGTAAGTGGACTAAACTCCCTGTGAAATTAATCTTTCTGGCAAGCTGTCATTTTGAAGTAATCAACGAAAGAAGGCCTTTCCAACGGTGCGTCTTAAGACGCACCGTAGGAAAATTTAAATTAGTAGTTCGTTTTGTTATTCGGCGCAGCGCGCGCAAGCATTGGCATGATGCACAGGCGCGCGTCGTTGCTATAATTCGTCGGATCAGTGTGCAACATCGCGTATAGCTGGAATTCAAAACAATTCAAAACATGATTCAGCAACTTTTGATTTGAAATTGAGATCCTAAAATGCCGTTTTTATCGGAATATACTGCTGAAGCTGAGCTGAAACTTCATCAGGTTAGTTGTTCAGTATCCTTCATTAGATTTTGAACACTTTTGTTGCTTCAAATGAACAAAATGCACAAATTACAAATGATGGACTATACCTTTAAGTGTCCGTCTGTCACTGACGACATGTTGAAAGGAAGAGCCCACAAGTGTTGAAATTCTGTCTAGACAATCATTTCGTTTTGTACAAAATGTGCAGAAGAGTTCTAGCATTTCTATACAAACACTGTTTTGTGTTTATAGAGTATCCAAGTGTGACTTCATTTTGAACCGGGAAGTGTAGTGCAAACGAATGGAGTAAGCGGGCGTGTTGGTTCACGGGCTGAATCACGCGCTAATGTCTTTTACACATGTAATTGTGCGCGTGATGTATTCACTTCGGTACTCTATACATGTACCAAAGATACACGTACTGCTGTAATTAATGTCCTGTTTTTAATGTACGGTACTTGTTTTTCTTTTATCAAGTACATGTACATGTACATGTGAACATTTACATGTACCAAGTAATCTTTCATGTACCGGTAGCTATAATGAATTACCACTAAATACATGCACATGTACCAAACAATATTTTGTATAGTTTATAATTAACGACCACTATACATGTACATGTACCAAACAATATTTTGTTTAGTCCATTGTGTTCATGACAGCACGCTCCACCATACACTGTGTACTAGTTTTCAAAAAGGCATTTTCAATTTTTAAGTTTTCCTTGTCACTATGCTATAAAGCGGTAAAGATGTACATGTTTGTGTTTATGTGTAATACTCATTAGGCTACGGTTGATCACCCGTGTAGGAGTGACTCTAATATTCCGATCAAATTCAACACAAGGTCTTTGAATTTCAAGTTTTTAAAATAAAAGCAATGAATCTTTGAACTCGTTTTTAATTTTTTTAAACTACAAACTATTTTATACCCAGAAATACCTGGGCGCTATCCAATCGTTTCAACAAAATGCATTCGGTAAACTTAGGACATTTGGGGAAACGAGCAGGATCCGACACCTTTTTTTTGCCGCGTCTATTTTTAGCCGTGACAGCTACCTGACTTCGCCAGAAATGTCAGAACCTTTTGGTGTGGGAACCAGACTAACCAAAACCTGACCCCTGTCCACATGCGAAGCTTGAATGAAAGCACATAATAACTGTAAATAACTGCCTGTTTCAGCTCAACTAATGCTACATTTAAAAGCCTTTGTACATGCATGCACATTTGTAAGCTTGAACCACTGCGATACGGGAAATCAATAGGAACAAAATCATGCAAGGCGTGAAGTTATTATTAAATTTAACACCTCGCACCCTGCAATAATGAAATCATATACAAAAATCAACTATTTTGCCCATGAGACCCATCTGTTGAATCACTCTGGCTTTGTAAAAGAGAAGCTGACCGCTCACTTTAAGAAAAAAAGGTCATAAAAATGCTTGGACAATTCCATGGTTACATACCAGACTAAAACATTTTAGATTCCTTTTATTGTCATGTTGATGTTGCCTTTATTGAAATAAAAAGTACATTTACATGTACTGTCTCGTTTCATTTTATCAAGCTTTTATAAAATCTGCACTTTCATTCGGAGATCGCCATAAATTATGATTTCAAATTGTTTACTAGTCATATTTCAGAGGTCTGGGTAACAGGACACCCACGTAATGTACATTTACAGGGAGACAATTATTGGTTATTTACATCTGATGCAACAAAGATATTTCGCCTTGCCTGTACCAAGCAAAACTGTCAACATGGTATAAAACACGTTATTAACATTCTGTTATTGAGCATGAAAAAAAGCAGTTGCCTCTTTCTTAAGAGTAGATTAACTAGAATGTGCATACCCACCTGCCATGACAGCGAGTATCTTAGCAGCCCGATAGTCTTTAGTTTTTGGAGCTACAAACATGCAGTGTTCCTTGTTACATTCCACAATCTTCCTCTTGGCATGGGAGCAGGCAATCCTCCCGATGGACACGTAAGTGTAGCACATGATTCCCAGGGGCACAAAGATGGCAAGAATGGGTATAACGATCGCCGTCACCACGTGGCTGTGGTAGTTTAGCAGACAGAAGGTGTACTGCGGAAGAAACGCGTAGGCCTCGTGTTCCTGTTCGGCAAAGGGGAAGGCAGCGTTCAGCGTTGCCCCGAGCCAGATCAGAGCAATGGCGATGATCGCCCGTCGACGGTCCACAAGTTGGTGATACTTTAATGGGCTGTTGATTGCCACGAAGCGCTCCAAGCTGATGCAGGCGAGGGTCCAGGTGGAAGCAAAGCACAGGAGGGTGTATAGGAAACCGAGCAGGGTGCAGGGGACGTGACCGTAGCTCAAGTTGGGGTTGAGAGTGCTGCCAGCTGCAAATGGGAGGAGGAATAAGCCGGCGGCCATGTCGGAGACGGCCAGATTGAGCAGGAACCCACTGGTGATGGTGCGGAGCTTGTGCGAGCGGACGATGACCGTGATGACCAGTGAGTTGCCAAGAGTGGTCAGCAGAATGGTCAGGATGTGCAAGAAGGCCAGAAAACTTACAAAGCTGGAGAGGTCGTTGTCCAAGTCTGGACTGAAGGATGCATTGCCATGCTGAGTCCGATTCATTGCAAGCAGGCCACGGTACCACGCAAAGATGGAATCTTTCCGAACCAATCGGTGCCGTCCCTCCAAATCACAGTGCGTGGATCTTAAAAAAGATACGAGGAAATCAATGAGATTGGAATGATACGTGTATGTCTGTTATAAGCTCTTGTTTGTTGTAAAAAGGTATTCTTTTAAAGTGTCTAAGTCATTGGTGACATAGCGTGCTGTAAGTATATTCCAAGCACAGTTCTTCAAAGTCACAAACCTACATGTATAAGGATGAAGTCAATCATTAATAATGGAATAAATGTGTGCTTGGCCAGTTTTAAACACTTTGTTTAAGACTGGTTGGAGTCTGGATGGTAATTATCAGCATCCAGACTCCAACCCGTCTTAAACATTGTGTTTAATACTGGCCAAGTTCTTTCCAATTCAGAAATACCTTTTAGGTCAAAAAATCAAAAACAAGTCAAAATTATATAGTTCCAACGATTTTGTAATTCTTCATGTTTTTTGGGACACCCCTCCAGCTACATGTATACAATGGTACATGTATGTCCAGTCTCGCGAGTAGTGGAAAACAACTCCTTATTATATGGAGATTGGCGCGCCCATTGCGCGTACTGCGCAATTAGGCGCAGAGCGCAGCTGTGCTGGTGTGTTGTGAATTAGGACTGGGATGTGCTGACTCACTGTTAGTGGGCACAAAAAGTGGGTCGCAGTTAAAGCGGTATTTGTCTTCCAGTTGATTGAACAGCATACTGTTACTGAAAGGCGGCTACTCGATACTGCATTGAAACTAAATTGGTTACAGGACAGGGTAAATAATCAACCAACTCTTATCCAGTTAGATTTTTGACATGAAAGCATCTGTCTTGCCGGCTCTGGAGGACAAAAGAACTTTGCCGATCGACCTGAAATTAGGCTAATGACAAAATGGGGAGGAAGGTTGTGATGAAAATCGTGACCAGAGCTCACAAAGCTTATCGAAGGATACTTGTACGTGCATTTCTCAAGAACTTGCTACTAATAATTGTATTAACAGCCCTCCATTGCTCATTGTTGTCATTTTATTTTTAGACTGTCAAATGCTCTCAACATCCAACAGGATTTTCAAAATTTGTCCAATTTTTGAAAACTTGATATGCCAATAACAAATTTACAATATTTCTCGACTTCTTGTATTTATTATAAGATGGAATTTTTTTTGCGTCAGGGTGATATAAATCAAATTAGGTTTTGCCCTTCACCGACATTTAACAGACATGCATTTATACATGAATGCTATTTTTCAGCTCAAGCTGATGCAATATCGCACTGATTTTCCATGCTTCTGGGAGAAATACAACAGAATATGCTAAACAGTGTTTTTTTATACAAAGTGTACTCAACATTTAAAAACAAAATCTTGATAAACACAAAGTACTGTTTAAATTTATGTAATTTTAAAAATGTTTTTTTAATTATTATTTTTGTGTGAAATGGACCACAAATGAGTTTATGCTTAGTACGGTAGCTTGCGGATAGCCTTTAGTTCAATCTTAGAATTAGAGCACAGTTACGTATGCACATGAGGGTAAACATGGCTCAAGTTTAATCAGACTTCAAACAACAAGTCCTGGTAAAGAAGCGTTCCCTTTGCTCATCAACTAATTCATTTTTTTTCTCATAGCCTATTAAATTTCCAACTCGACTGTTTTATTCCAACAAAAAAAACTTATTTTCTGCTGTTTTGGATGTCTGCAACCCTCTGAAGAAAGGTTTTATTTGAGGCACAAACAAATCTGCCTTTGCGAGCAGACTGGCTGATTGTGGGGCTCAAGAACAGAAGTTATGTGAGGCCGCCAGTAATTCATAAGTCATAAAGTCGTGATTCAGTAACTAAACGTGGGCCGATTTTTTTTTTTATGGTTGATATCTCTTTCAAACTTGAGTAACCTTTGTATTACTAGAATAATCGCAATTTAGAAAAGGAATCTAAATTTTACGATGACAATTGAAAATTGCACGGGAATGCAACCTTAAATTGCTAAAGTCAATATTGCCTCTTTTAATAGCCAAGGCAAGAAAATATTAAGTAAAATTCTTCTTCTGTACTTGATAAAAAAAATACTGTGTTTCTAATGCGTTGCATTATTCTTAAATCTGTCCTCTGGAAGGACATGATCATCCAATGATACATAAGAATAGTTGTGATGATGTTGACAGTACCAGGTGCCAGTTGTCTAAAAAAAAAAAAAAAAGATTTTTAAAAAAGATATTATGTTTTCCTTATTTACTCTTTCAGTTGGTAATTCAATGACAGAATAAAAATAATGCCCTTTAACATTTCAAGTAAATACATTGGCTTATTGTCTCTAGAAGGTGCCATTTTGACCCAGTGTATTGACTCACCAAAGGCAATGAGTAAAATCACAGTAAATTCCCCTTTTTTGACTCCAAAAGTTCAGAATTGTTAGTGTTTGCACTATCTTTCACAGCACAGTCTCTGACTCAACAGTCTCTGACCATGTCTGTTGTGACATTTCTTAAACCCATCTGCCCCTGTACTGCCCAAAAGCGCCCTGCCAGTTACTCCTCATACCGCCCCAAACTACCCTGTATTCATCAAGAAGTAACTACATTGTAGTACAATGTAACACAAGTGCTAATGGGTTAACTAAAGGAATGTACAACTCACGAAACAAAATCATACTTGTAATGATAGCAGGCTTACCTGTTAGACGTCTGCAGAAACAGCGTACACCATATACATGTGTGACTTGGCCTTTGTCCGTTGGATTATGCAACAAGAACATCCCGCGAACCACAAATCCATGTGTTGATGAGTCAGCTTCCTACCGTAAACTCCACCAAAACTCCCTCCGTTCCCTCCTTTTTTGGGAGTTAAACGCAGGCAGTGTCATTAATCTACAATGTCATCCGCAGTTATGCACTAGCGGTAGGAGTTCCTGTGCCCTAATCCTCCGCGTTTGATCGCGGAGGTCCGCGGTTAATTATGGCACGAAGGCACACATCCTGCCCACTTTAGTGCCGCCTGAACCTTGGGTGCCAGCCAGTCAAATGTAATTTAATTTATTTGGGGTTGGATGTGCAAGTGGCAATGCGTGACTCTAATGATGGTTAAAATTGAACGATATACACATTGGAAAGCAGACACCCGATTGTTTCTATAACGGGGAAATTTAGGGTTCAATTACAGCTTTCTCCTAGTTCAAAATTAGATTCTCGTGAAAGAAGTTGACATCTTGAAATGCAGTAAATACTTCTTGTTTACTGTCACCATACTAATGCATGTAAATCATCAACACAGATGAATTACATGTATCATGTCTGAGAGTTCTTTGTCAAGTTAAATCTTTTTTGAAAGGTACATTCGCTCTTTTTGCATTTTTTTTTGAATCAGCAAATTACTAAAAATCTTAAGTAGGGTGCATAACAGCATAATCTTTGAAGTTTCAGCTGAGTGGCTCCTAAACATTTTGTGAAAACAGAAAGCAAATCCATAACTTTTTGTGCTGGCACAAGTTTCTAAAACCACCTTCAATTGTTGGTTTTTTTTTTATCAAAACAATTTCCGGCAGATTAATTCCACAGGGTATTAGGCACCATCTCTATCCTCCATGCTTAGAGCAAGGTTTTTCTGATAAATTTGGTAGACCACATTTCCAAGTAATTATCAATGTTCATATATTCAGTAGGGCACTAGTGGTGCACTGTCGTGGTGTCCGTGCGAAGTGGCAATTATTTGCATTGGAGGCTGTATCCACCTGTCATCCTAGGGGATTGTTGAGTGCCTTACCATGTTGTGACGAGGTGAATCCCTGGCTGTTTGGTGCTTGGCAACAGTCCCATGATCGACCCTGGTGTTGGACAGCCATGCCTCTCAATGGATGCTATTTGAAATAAGAGAATGGCTGAAGCTTGCAATGTTATGGCTCAGGGCTGTCTTCTGTGTTAATTACACGTGTATGGTTTCTAAATTATGTACAGTTGAATATACAGTGCATCTCTACATGATTCAGGATCAGCCCCCCTCCCCCCCCCAACCAACTATTCATCTCATCTCAATTGATGCAAAATATTGTCATTGTTTCATAAAACTTTTTATTTTAATTAAATCTTCTTCTTTTTAAAGTTTTCTTTCAACTATTTCTACGTGGTTAATAACCAGATTTTTTCAAAGCTTTTCAAAGAATTTGTGATAATTTCCTTTATTTAAATGAAATCTTTGAACAAATTCTTCTTAAAAAGAAACAAATTGAGAAAAGAAAAAACAAAACAAATACAAGCACCAAACACAGGTTGTGTATCAAAGTATGGAAAAGCGTACTTGGAAACGAAATTGTCAGAAAGTCTTGACGACGGGCAGAGTATGTATTGTCTGAAATGTTGAGTTTCCCCCGATTCTTTTCAGAACCTCACAAACTCACAAAAGAGATTTGTCACTCGGTGCTACCGTGAGTCTTATGTTATTTCTAACTTCAAACCTTCAAATCTTATCATTTAAGTCTTACTTTCTACTGTCAAGTTTCCTAAGGGCAATTCCATGGTTACTCACGTAGTCACGTTACATTTTTGATGTACCGGTACTTTTGAGTTTCCTTGGGTTGTAATTACCTTACTGAAAAGGTTTAATAACTGTTATCCCATGGTAGATAGAGTAGACCTAGACCTACCTAAGCACCAAAAATGACATTCAGAAAAATGTGTTATGTATGATAAACAAGACGCACAAAATTGGTTACTCACGTTACGAAAATGTAACGTGAGTAACCGTGGAATTGCCCCTAAGTATTTTTAGTTATCCAGAATTACAACTAGTCTGTGCACAAGGTTTGAAGCACTATGAGCGTTGCCTTGTACTCTCACTACGTCTGTATGGATGTAATGGATTTGGGGTTTTTTTTCTGGAGAGTGTGATGTCTCAGGTTTTTTTGGGGGGGGGGGGGTGGGGGGGGGGCATGTTTTGGGGGTGTTTTCCTCAGAATGTATGGTTTGAAGCTATGTGTACATGTACCGGTACATATAAGCTAGGCTGTAGTATCTGCAATGAATAAATCATGAGTCGATCGTGGAGCTCAGATCAGCCGATGTATTGTTTCTGTTTTGGTCAAGTGGGGCCAGTCCCGTCACATGAATTATTCACGAGTGAATTCAGCCGGCGGCAGCAATTGGATGGAATAAGCAGGCGTAAGATTTCACCGTTATGCGGATAATTGTAGCAGATCACTCTTGATGGAATTGTTGACAACCCACGCTGGTTGAGTGCGCATGAATTCCTTCCCTTCACTGTAGTTATGAAATCGATGCTGCTTCGGCACAAGGTTTTCAAGGACGATCAATCGGAATCTTTAACATGATATTTTACAATAATACTTCTTATCATTGATTTTCTTGAGTTCCTCTGCTGTCAAGAGAAAGTTATTTGTTTTTTTGTGGTCACAGGTACTTCCAGTGGAGGATAAAAACAAAATCTGCAATAAAATGGAAATGTGGTTGCACATAAGGTCAAGAAAAAAAGAAAAAAACCAGGTTCACATCCCCACCCAGGCGCCCACTTCCTCCTTCCCGTTCACCTCCTGTTTTTAAATCATCCATTTGCAATATGTTTTGTCATTTTATTTGTTTCCAGCAAGGGTGTAGCTTTGTATGCACTTAATCATTTTCTTTTCTGATTTGCTTAGTCATTATCAGTGTTGTAGTCGAGACCGGATAGTCCGAGACCGAGACCAAGACCGAGACCTGAAGATTCGAGACCGAGACCGAGACCGAGACCAGCCCCTTCAAGGCCGACCGAGACCGAGACCAATATGGTCCGAGACCGAGACCGAGACCGAGACCGCTGATAATAAATAACAATAGTCGAAATAAAAAAAACAAGACACGTTATTATAGTTGGAAAATGTAACCCTTCTATTCACAAAGAATACAGACCAAAATGTTGACCAGTGGCAGTGTTGACAAATTGATACATGACACCTTACTTGAGCAAAAAGTAGTTCCACTTAAGACATATGGGCTTTGACATGTTGTCTGCACCCAATCGTGACAAAAGTAAAAAGTTAAAGGTAGATGTTTCATCTGTTATAGGAACTCGGATCCTAAACTCCACAGTCACCCCTTGGTTTCAGCTATGACTTCTAACGGATATTTAAAGATGCAATTTTAATTTTACATTGTGCCTCTTTTTTCCTAAAATAAATATAGGACTTAACTTCTAACAAGACTTGTGTACTTGATTTTAAAAAATGGGAGCTAGAAAATGTTGAATTAATTTTTAAATTTCTGTCATAGAATGTGGACTTGTACATGTAGACCCACAAGTTGTGAGGTGGTAGCCAGAATGTGCCAGATATGGATTTTTAATTTTTTTTCTGAACGGGATTTTAATTTTTGAGGAATAATGGGGTACTTCAAAATGAGCAGCCAGAAAATGGGGTCTCATCATACACTCTCATGGCAACAGTGAGTGGTAACTGGTAAGAGTGTGTGAGTTCAATGCTGGAAAATCAGGTAGAAAAAATTACTTTTTCTTCAAAATACTGTCCCAAATTAAAGAGAACATTGTGTGGGGTCGAAAATATAACTAATTTGAAGCACCTCATTTATTATTAGAATACAAAATGCAAGTGATTACGCCCACAGGGGTGGGCTAAACTACACAATCCCCGAAAATGGTTGACCCTTATTGCATAAATTGTTACAAGTTCATACTTTGCTTTATGTGCCCGACTCAACAGATAAATGCCGAACTTGCTCCAAATCGTTCAGTGACTGGTACTGCTGCAGCTTTACATGTACTTTGGGGACTTTCCAACGTGCAGTCGAGTCCGGCAAACCGACCACGATATATAACAAGCTTGATCTACAGGCTAGCAAATGTTTTAACTAACAACGGTACTGAACGAAGTGAACACAAAGTAATCGATCGAGCTGTAAAAGCTACATATTGCCGGTCTCGACCCGAGACCAGCCAAAATATCGAGACCAAAGGGGACCGAGACCGAGACCAAGACCGAGACCACAGCTTCCGAGACCGAGACCGAGACCGAGACCAGCAAAAAGTGGTCTCGAGACCGGTCTCAAGACAGAGACCGGTCTCGAGACCTACAACACTGGTCATTATTTTACATATTGTACCGGGTCTCACTCTTAAACCTATTGTCCTGTCTTCGTCCGTGTGTGGTTCTTTTTGTCCTGTCCCAGGGAAAGGTACAAAACCAGTGCTTCACCTTTTCCCTTTATGTTGGCATCATTTAATAATGTTTACACTCAATTACATATCGTCTGTGAAGAATGTCTTGTATTTTTTCTTTATACATATATGAATTGTCACTGAGGATGTCAATGTGAAAATAAATGTCGAATTGATTTGATTTGATTTGAAATCTGCCATCCTAGGAGGATTTTAAAAGGGCCGCCTCTTTCTGTTTTTCAAAATGCTCTTGTGAGAAACTAGTGTGTTTTTCCTTGGCCTAAGTTGGAGCATAAGAAACTCTATTGGAAAACAGCACAGTTGAAATATTCTAAATTAGGAGCATACGGGTACATGTCCAAATGAAAACTTGTCTTCAATATTGTTAGTATAACCCGTTTAATTTTTGTACAATGGCTTGTGTATCCCTAAGTGAAAATAGTCGAATCCCGAGGTGCCTATGCCCAGGCAGAATTCCTCACTTCATTTGCATTTTTATTTGAAACTTTTGTTTCCTCTTTCAAGGCAAAATGAAAGTGTAACAATAAAATGTACAATAAAGGCATAATGAGGCTATTAGAAGATGGCCTTCCAAAATGTGAGCACTATACCCTGAAACTTGTGCTGGGGGAGACAGACAACATTAAAGTGTGCAAGCGACACCTTTAATGGTCCAATTTACATCTTCACCGTAAGGGGGATCAAGTCCCAGTGGTAATTGACGTTTTTATGACTTTGTAGAGAGCATGAGAGAGAGATGCAACGGTGATAGGGACTATTAGAAATGAGACGGGGATGGGAGACTTTTGCTTGCCTGTTATTGTTAAGTCACCATTTGCATGGTTAATTTAATGGATCCATGCGGCAATGCACATCTTGTATCAAAATGTTGAGATAGGCCTGATGAAATTACGTGTAAAGCATAGAAATGCTATTGGCAACATCTCCTGAGCTGCACACATGTGACCTGTTCTGTCAAAATCAGACTTTTCTGGGCATAAGGTCAAAAATGAGATTTTTGCATATTGTTAAAATATGTTCTGTTCTCTTTTAATAGGTGGTTAAATTTTTGAAACCGGTCATTCTTGCGCAAAGTTATGCTATTTTGAAGTTCATTGGGTCGAAAAGTAGAAAACAGGGAAAATGGACACGAACGTCACAAAACAGACATTTCTTTAACTGATATACCTTAACACATCATCAAAAATACTATAATTAGAGATCAAATTAGGGTTTCAAACTTTTATAGTATATTTTAGACATGCTCAGGATTACAAATATGCAAAAATTAGAAAATGGAAAAAAATCACCCCCACAGCATTTTTTGGCCCTATCTCAATTTCAACCTCTGCCCAGAAGCGTCTGCTTTTGACAGAACAGGTCACACATGTACTTATCCTGTATACACATCATATCTAATGGACCTTTTTGACTCCATGCACAAGTACCCCCTCAATGGTTACAGAGGGAGAGTTGGGGGAGACCATACACTGTGCATTACTGATGGGCTTTGTACAGATTCGGAAATTCAGTCGTGCCTACTTCATGCTGCACACATCAGTGGCATAACCAGGGGGGGGGGGGGGGGGTTGCAGAGTTGCAGATTACAATGGGTAAGAGATTTGAAGAGAAATCGGGACGCTGAGAGATGCAAAAGAAGGATGCCTAATCAGCCAAATCGGGATGTGTACCGGTATATCCGTCGGCAAATTTGCAGGGATGAAGAGTGCCACCTATTGTCTGATACTGTCAGTGACTGTCATCTGTTAACAATGCCCCCTATCAGAAGATGGTGCGAACAAGCTCCCCCCGCCCCCAGTACAGGCACACAGTGTGTCCCTCCCACTGGAACTCTCAGTGGTAACATAGCGCCCTCTACTGGCCATGCATGGAGTCCATTGTAAAACAGTTTAAGGAATTGTAACCACAAACTAAATGTGTTTCTTTTTTGTGTGTGTTTTGCAGCACAATGCACCTATCCCCCAGGGTGGCAGGGGCAGTATCCAGTTTGTCACCCAGTACCAGCACTCCAGTGGCCAGCGCCGAGTCCGTGTCACCACACTGGCAAGAAAGTACGTGTACAACCTTGTTATTTGTCACTGCACATATGAAGACTGTATTTCCAAAACGTGATATATAATGTACGCCACTTTGTTCACATTTTAGAATCCTCCTCTCTCCTGGCTACCCAAAGTCAGTTTTAAAGGGAATATACATCATTTGCTTTTGCTGTAATTTTCAGAAATGGATGGAATTGGGGGGGTTGGAAATATATAGCAAATATAGTTACACTGACTTTTTTGAGGTTTTGGGTTCGAAAATGCTATAAAAACCAAGAAAAACAATCATTTTCCATATAAGAAGAAACAGAGCAGTTTACATACATTGGGGAATTGTAAGGTGAGGGAACCAGTCTAGCTGGCTTGTACCCGTTCATAGGTGTGTAATCGATTGCAAACAAGTGCGATGGTCAATTGGGGCCAGTATTTGAAAAAAACCCAGTTTTTTCCAACGCTGGTCGGCTGACCAGCGTTGGAAATTGATACAAAAATACCACTTTTCTTGAGAATGACAGTATACCAGGTGCCATGATTTTACAGGATGCTTTACACTGTCATTCACTAACAGTCCAGCAAGGTATTTCAAAATGATTTGGTAGTTTTATTTTTTGATGTTTGCAAATGTTGTATTTTCCCTTTAACTGCTGTTTTATACTGGTACGGTACATGTAGTCGAACAAAATTTGAGAATAGAGTGACAAAAGGGAAGTTTAGAAACAGCTATTTTACTGATTTTTTTTCTATAAAAGTTTCATAACCATGCAATTGTTTTCCTTATTTTCAAATGGATATACATGTATTGCGCTTTGGATATAAACTCTTCATATGTAGCAAGGGGATTGCAGATCTGAATTTGCAAGTGCAATGCCATTGTTTGGTTTGTCATTTTTTTTTATGTGCACTTTTTTTAACATTTAAAATGTTCCAGTGCTGTTCCTGACAAATGAGGGCGCTATTGCTGTAAGGTCACTTCAAGCACACACTCTACAGTGTAGGGAAAGTGCACAAATTATGAACCCGAAATGTGGCCCATTGGAAATTCATGTATCTGAATCAAATGTTTGCTAAATAACTTACTGTCATGTACTGATAAAAAGTTAAAACACCAAAACCAGAAAGTTGACCCAAACCCCAAAATGCCGTCACTTTTGGTACTATTAAAAGCAGCTGTAACAGGAAGCTTTGAATGTCATCATGGTTGAATATGCAAATGTGTATTGGCATACCAACCAAAATGGACCCAAAAACTCTTAAAACTAGGCTAGACAAAAATTGACAAAGTTAACGTTGAACACAAGGATGCATTAGAAGGATTACACTAAAAATTATATTACATTCGCCCTTGAAAATAGTCAGATGTTTCAAAATTTTACCAGAAATTCCGTTCGTCGTAGTCTTTTTGTGACTAAATCCTGTTCTCTGATTGCCACTCCTATGTATAGCTGGGCCGATGCAGCTGTCAACATCCAGCACATAGCAGCCGGTTTTGACCAGGAAGCCGCTGCCGTACTGATGGCCCGCATCGCCGTCTACCGGGCCGAGAATGAGGAAGGGCCTGATGTACTGCGCTGGCTGGACCGCATGCTGATCAGGCTCTGCCAGAAGTTTGGCGAGTATCACAAGGACGATCCCAACTCCTTCCGGTTTGCTGAGAACTTCACCATGTACCCGCAGGTTGGAGTCTTAGAGACACTTCATTTATATTTCAGCAACTGTGTAGAGATCTTGACTGTGGACTTCTTGAACAAGTACCTAGTGTTGTAGTCGAGTACATTTCCATGAGTATGAGTACTTTGCCATGAGTACGAGTACTTTGCCATGAGTACGAGTACTTCGCCATGAGTACGAGTATGAGTATGAGTACTTTGTCACGAGTACCAGTACTTTGTCACGAGTACGAGTACAATGCAATCTTTTTCCATGAGTACGAGTCAAGTACCAAAAATGTCCTCGAGTACGAGTACGAGTACAAATATCAAATAGCAAATTTCAATGGTTCGCGTGCTTTCAAAGGCTTTTTGCTGTCAAACCAGGCATTAAACAAATTTATGCAGAAGCCTCCCAAACAGTAGAAAACTGGTTCTTTTCCTGCATGTAGCTCAAACTCATTTAAATTCCTGCTGGAGAACATTTGCAAGAGTGCAAGTACGAGAACGATTACTTGTCATGAGTATGAGTACGAGAACGGGTAATTTTTTTCTTGCGAGTATGTGTACGAGTACGAGTACATTTTCATGAGTACCAGTATCAAAATATCGATTTCCAACTAGTGTTGGCCAACCATCATTGGAAAAACTGACTTTTTTTCTAATACTGCCCCAAATTTACTAGATTTAGTTAGTTTAGTGTAACATCATTGCTATAAAATACTAACCCCGAAATCTGTCTATTACTGAAAATTACAGCAAAAGCAAATGTTGTATATTACTTTTAAAGTGTAAAAAAACGAGTAAATATTAACCCTGAAAGTACAGATGTACCAGTACATTATGCAGATTCCCCCTTGTAAGTTTTAAATAAACATTGCATTGTTGGGAAAAAGTTATTTTAAAAAAAAGTCAAACTAATTTCAATAATTGAAACGAAAAAAAAATAACTAGAGCAGGAATTAAACCTGCAACCTTCAGAATAGCTGTCAGCGCTCTACCCCACTGAGCTAAATAGTCATTGCTGGTGGTTTCCAAGTTTCCCTTCGTGATTTATTTGTTAATAAAAAAAATCGCTAATTAAAAAAACTATACAACCTGCTGTGATGATTTCCACCGCAGTTCATGTTCCACCTGCGCCGCTCCCAGTTCCTGCAAGTCTTCAACAACAGTCCTGACGAGACATCCTACTACCGACTGATGCTGATGAGAGAAGACTTGACTCAGAGCTTGATCATGGTGCAGCCAGTGCTCTTCTCTTACTCCTTTGAGAAGACTGAGGTAAACAAAAACACCCTCCATGTCACCCTGCACCCTCCATGTCACCCTGTACCTCGATCAGGAATGCCAGTTTTCCGGCTACAGCCGGAATTCCTGCATTGAATCCCTTTGCCAGAAAAATCAATCCTGATCTTGCACGTACATGGAGAAGGGAAAAAAATATTTGGCTACCTGTCGGCGTTCGGCCAATAGGAAAATTCCTTGCATGTTGTTTGATAGTCACTTGTGAACCAATAAGAAAATGGGTTACGTGTTACATGTTGCTAGATTCATATGGTGATTTTCATGCTAGTGCCATACACCAAGGCATGTTCTAGAGCTGTCCTGAATATACTGAATATTCCAATATCATCATCCGAATATTTGAATAGCTTATTGCTGGTTCGAATGTTAAAAAAAAACCTACGCACATACACACATGACTGTTGAGTAATTTTAATCGTAAAGTTGCGGGGCTTTATTGCAAGATGCAACTTTTTTGTCAACGACGGTTCATTGTTTCCATCCTTTTTATAGCCCTTGGCAGTTATAAAATACTATCTAGGCCTATGGGCCTTATTCACGAGTTGGCCATTTTTGTCGAGTTCCCTGAATGCATTTCATTAATTGTTCACTGTTGAGTGGGATGGTGCCAGACTGTTTATGCAGGCACAATGCAGCCTTATTTTACTGTCATTTTTTTTTTTAAATATGATTTTAAACATTAGGGAATGTTTAATTACAAATTTTAAATTATTCATTGAAGCAGGCTGGCATTTGTTATACATGAAGTTGCTTTCATTTCTCTTCACAAGTTCCAAAATTTAAGATTTTACCTAACTTTCAATTCAATATGGCCGACTCGTGAATAAGGCCCATTGCAAAACTCTCCAGCTGCCCATAATATCGACGCAGCACACACAGCTTAACTGGCTTTTGACCGGCACGACACACTGTTGCAGCTGGCAAGTGTAAAACTTGGCCAGTGAGTTTTGAAAATTGGAATAATCGGTCAAATGCAGTTTCAAATAATCAAATACTACTTAATTCGGAAATGGGCAGCCGTAATACGTTCATTGTCGACGTACTTAAAATGTGTGTGGTTTTGTGACATGAGTTTGTATGGTGTATTGCAATTGTGTCAAATTTTTCCAGCCCCGTAGCAAAAACGCAATGGCATCCCTCCTTGATACATCTAAGTTTTTTTCTGGATGAACAAAGCATGGAAGTCTTCAACTTGACATTGCTTAAAAATATTTTTGACCTTTGTTGAAAAGTTTGAGTGCATTTTCCCCCTCCCCAAAGTTGGTTTCTACAGTGAGACTTCTTGAACAGTCAGAATTGCTCGCTTTTCCATATGGTCATTTAGCCTTCGGCTTTGGTCATTCTCTGCAACTGCAGGCCGATTTCATTGTACTGCTTAACAGTTAGCAGAAAAGTTGTGCTCACTATAGCAGTAAATTGTGCTAACCTTAAGTACTATTTCATGGCGTTGGATGTGCTAATGGTTGCACATGCATAGAGACTTTTATTATTAGATCACTCATTTGAGCAACCCTTTGCTCTGAGGTATTAAGCATGCTTTTGCTGTGCTTACTGTTTAGGGTCGCCACAAAATAGAGGCTCTGTAAGCAGATAAGGGTGTGCTTAGTAGCGGCATGATATTTAAACCAAACATGTGTAACTGCTCCACATGATTATTCACTTTTTTTCAACATTTTTGGTGGCCTACTATTTCCTGGATTAGCTGAGTTTTCATGACAAGACTGAAGATAGTTTTGCTTGTTATTCTTTCCTTTTCCCAGCCTGTTCTCCTGGATACCAGCAGCATCCTGCCGGACCGCATCCTTCTCATGGACACCTTCTTCCAGATCGTCATTTTCCACGGAGAGGTCAGTAAATCATGAAAAAAATCCCGCCTGTTGTTTAATCGAATGACCCAATCCAATTCGTAAGTGACTTTGTCATATACACGCACACTCTACTAATTACAAACGCCCATTGGCAAAACACTCTACTTTGCACTACTTCCCGTTCCACTGGTTCCAATGCTACACTGTGTACAGTACGCATGGTTAAGTTGAAATGACATCACACTTACCAGATAGGTCAAAGGTCACAATAGGTCAAAGTTCATTTGTATAGACCATTCCAAGCACGCTATCACTACGCACAAGGAGGCCCCCTTCAATGGCCAAAGCATTGTGCTAGCTATTGTTTAGATATCATCCATCCCGGGGCATTTCTTGGTACAATAGCTGGCAATGCAGTCGCCATCGAAGGGGGCCTCCATGAACGTACAGTGACAGTGTGCTCGGATCGGTCTATAAAAGTTCTATAGAAAATTACAAGCTTGTTTGAGTGGGACTCGAACCCATGACCCATGAAAGGGTTGATTTTCGCATTAGATGACAAGGACTAACTTTTGTTTTGGAGATTCATTGCAGGCCTTTAAAGGAATTTGTGTTTGTGTGGTAGCACACAAACATTGCAATCAACAAATACTTTGAATTATAACACCTTGTACATTCATGAACCAAAACGCGCTTCTGTCATTGGTCGATGTACCAATGCATCAGGGAAGTAAAAGTAGCTACCCAGCATGCACGCATGCAGGACGCAGGTACTATCGCCCGACCGAATGATGCTACCAGAGAAGAAGTACCCTTGATTAGCTCCTGGACTCCCAATAGCGCAACAGTTGCGATTGCAAATGAGGTTGCTGGTGGTACCATACTAAAACCTTCACGACATAGGGATGATTAGGCACACAGATGGCATGGGTACTGCAGTGCGTAAAACGCTGCCTCTCACCACTATGTAGAGCTGCCAATTGGTAGTAATTTTCCGTATTTCGTACAGTAATTCATGCAAAAATACAGAAATACGGATTTTAGTGTATACATTTTGTAAAATCCGATCATAATCTTCAGGCATGCAACTTTTCTGCATTTTTAAAACTCCGGTCGTGAAAGAGAATGTGGTATTACCGCGCATCCGTCTTGTTTCCTGCTGCGGCACAGCTGAATCTTGCACGGATATCGCTAGCGTATAGATTAAAAGAAGAACATCGCCTCGCTCGGTCTTTTGTATAGATATAAAAGTATTAAAAATTGTGCAGGACACGGACTCCGTACGCATTCTCCAGCATACATACAGTCCGGCCAAATGAGCAAGTCGCTATAGCGCCCTCTATCTACTTTGGGCTATTAGTCTGGTTCCAATATGTACTTTGAATGCTGCAGAATACAGACACCACTGCTCGGAAGTTCATAGCATGCCATAGTGATTAGTGAACAATCAATGGTTGAATTTGACATTGTAAAACTGCAAAGTAAACATCGATGGGAAAGAAGATTTCTGCAAGTTAATTCACAGAACTTGCTCTCTCTTGTCTTTGTCTGTGTGTGTATTTTCTGTGTTTATGAATTTATTGTGAAGTTGTACCGGCAGTTTTAAACGGAGGAGCATTATTGATCAATTTTGAAAAATACTGATTATGGAATGACTCGGACTTCTGGGTTTAGGAATACTGATTTTGGAATTTGGAGGTTGGCAGCTCTGCATTATGGCTTTGGCTCATTTCCCGGTTCAGATCATACGTGAGTAGAGTAGTGCCACAAGGGTTTTTCTCCGTGTTAAAAATCAACACGTTGTAGCTGCATCCTTCACAATTCAGCTTCTGCTGCGAGTAAGGAAGATTAGGCCGTGGAAGGGCTTTTTCTTCTGTATAATACAATATGTCAAAATTTGCTCCCATACCTGTCTGTTTTCAGACCATTGCCACCTGGAAGAAGGAAGGATACCAGGACCACCCAGAGCATGACATGTTCAGGCAGTTCCTGAAGGCACCGAGAGACGACTCGCAGGAGATTCTACAGAAGCGCTTCCCCATGCCGCGCTACATTGACTGCGATCAGAACAGCAGTCAGGTAAGGAACGCTGGCAACAGAGTGCTGGGTGCTATGTCATAGAGCTACAAAGCACAGAGAGGTGCTCAGATTAGGAAATATGTGAAGCACGCTGGCAAAATGAGACGGAACTGGAACAGGCCGTAGTGGAAAAAAAATGCAGAGAAACTGAAAAAGGGTTGATTTTTTTTTTCTATTTTTAAATTAATTGATATGTGATGCGATCAAGCTAAATGAGTCATTTGTCAGGAACTTTCATTTGGAAATTCAGGCCAAAATGGGGCCACTTCATCACATCACTTCATCACATCTCTTGGTGTTCCGACTTCCATAATTTTTGAACTAAAGATGGTATCAGCATGAGGTTTTCACAGCAGTAATGCTGAGATTGTGCTCTTTTCAAATCTGTAAAAAAAAATTGACCAGGGTCGACAAACGACTCATTTAGCTTGATCGGATCACATATGTGTAATCTTTGATATGTCTACTACATTTGTTTTAAAAGAAAAGTATAAGAATCGTGGAATAAAAGTGTTTGTTAGGAAAAACAATTGTCGTCTTTCATTTTCACGACTACAGAACAGTCGAACCTTTTAAAGGCCTTTTTCTCAGTATTTAAACTTTTTTGGAAATGTCGATCAATGCAAACATTAAACAGCCATAACTTGTCAACGGAATGTCTGATTGCAGTGCAACAATCAGTATTGTAATGAGAATTTTATTCTCTTTCCTAGTACCTACAAACCCTCATTTCGATCTCTGCCCAGTTCAGTCTTGTTTTGCCATAACGCCTCGCATATTGGATGAGCAGAAAGGGGTTACCAACCAAATGTTAATGCAGTTTGTACTTATGGTGACTGGTTCACGGCTGATTTATGCTTAGCACATGTATGAATATGCTTAGCAATGTGTTCTGCATAGAAGCGCCCATGAAATTTTGCCTTTTTGACTTCATTCGTGTCTTTCAATAGAGAATGCCAAACCCTAAGGTTGAAAAAATGTTGCAACCTGACGCCACTTCAGCGGTTGTGTACAAAGTCTATGGAGAGCCAAGAATTTTTTTTAAACAAAATTGGAAATGTTTCTCAGTCCCAACCCTTCATTGAGATGATATATGAAGAAAGTTATTAACTCTAACACCCATGAGTGATTGACTAAGATCCTTCCTCACTCTTGCAAAATCCAACAACATATGTGAACTCTACACTAGACTGTTGCACTCCGATTATGGTGGTATGCCTGACCCCATGTAAAGCATAATCAGTTGACTAGTGCATTCCTAACTCCACAGAATCAAACAAAACACGCAGTTGGATTGTGAAGGGTTAGAGTGGTTAGGGTTAACCTAAATTATATTCACTGCGTCATATTTTCTTTTAAAAGTCACTAGCAGCATCAATATAATTGAAAAACCTTTTTGGATTATTTCCCTGATGCAGGCCCGTTTCCTGTTGTGCCGAGTCAACCCCTCACAGACGCACAACAACATGTATGCTTGGGGACAGGTAAGCTATACATCCTGTGTTTCATTGTAACAGGACCTTCATCTCATGAAATATCTGGGACAAAGTTTTCTGCAAGAGTCCCATTGTATTTGTGCAGGATTCGGAACTTTCTGGACAACTTCATTGACTAAACTGATAACTTGGTTGCGGGAATATTCAGATGTTCAGGGCCCATTTTCGTGTTTATGATGACCATTCTTTGCTAACAGCGCTAGCAGAAAAATTCTGTGCTAACCCTGTAAGCACAGAATCCTTAGTTACTGATTGTACTCATACGCATCAGGCAAAATTCCTTGCTATGCTAACCACAAGCATGGAATTTTCTAATGAATCGGTCTATCGCCTAATGAACCAGTCTATCGACATGAAGAGTTATCATTGGAATGTCGCTCATAGATTCGGATGCCGAAGTAAGAATAACAATTGTTAATCCAATTGTCCATTGTACAGGAGGGCGGGGCACCAGTCTTGACAGACGATGTAAGCTTGCAGGTCTTCATGGATCACTTGAAGAAGCTTGCCGTCTCCAGCTCCTCTTAATGTCAGTGATGGCTCCTCTTGTGATAGATGACTCCTCTTAATGACAGGGATGACTCGTTTTAATGATAGGAATGGCTTTTCTTAAAATTAGGGATGGCTCTTCTTACAGACAGGATTGGCTCTCAGTAATAGGGATGGCTCCTCTTAAAATATAATGACTCCTCTTAATGACAGTGATGGCTCGTTCAGTGATTGGGATGCCTTTCTTAGTGATTAAGGATGGCTCCTAGTTGAATCTGGTATGAGCTTGACTCTGCTCTGCTGGTATTTTACACAAAAGCGTGCCACTGTCTTTATGGTCCCGTTAGAAAATCTCCTTCAATTTACCCTTAAACATATGCATGTACATGTATGGGAACTCCAAAACAAAGTGTCATACCTGTAGGCTAATCCAAGCACATGCTACCGTTGCACCTGTGAGACACCACAGCTTTGGCAGTACAGTGGAATGTCGCTATACCGAACACTGCCGATCATTCGGCTGTACCGATCATCGTCTTTGGCTCCTGATTTTTGTGTACAAAACGTACCAAACATCGTTGTTAAAAAATGTCAACAACAAAGTGACAAGTGGCTGTTATTTCCCCAAGGAATAGCAGGGGAAAGCCACCCATTGCTGTAGGTGGTAAGCTTAAAAAACTGTGTACATGTAATTACATAATTCAGTAGTCGGCACGTGTTGTAAGTTGTCTTTCAGTAACTACCAGGGCGTAACTACCACGTCTTTATTAAAAAGTGAGTTACCAGAGCACCGGCAGTTTAAAACCACTATACCGAACGATAGCTATTACGAACAATTACCAAGGACGCGGTGTTCGTTGTAGTGGCGTTCCACTGTAGTAGTTGTTGGTACTTGTTTTAAACAATAGCTACATGTACTACATTAATGCAGTCTAGTAGCGTGCGGTAGTCATGTGCTTGGATTGATGTACCAATGCCACATTTTGGACTCATTGAATAAATTCAACAAGACTGTTCCGAATTGAATAGAAGTAAATTCACTTGTATGGAAGTAAATATGCCCAAGCTGACTTGAATTTGTTTCATTGTAGATGGAGAAAATAAAATGTAACTGCATTTATAACCAGTAATTTAATAAATTGGCAGTTCAAAATACAGTACATTATTGCCCTTTATTACCATAATACATGTATTTATATTAAAGACTTTTTAAGTAGTGCTGTTTCTTGTTCTGTTTTTCAGTAGTTTGTTTATTTTTGGCCCATAACTTGTCTCATTATCTCTGCCATGATTGATCCCATTTTTATGGCACCTCTTGCTTGGAAATATTTTTGTTTAATTAAAATCAGCTTGGGAGCAGTCTGTACTTGGTATCTCAATGAAATTGGCCACAAATTATTAAACATCGGTCCAAAATCCGATGTTCTCAGCACGACTCGAGTTGCTGAACGTTGAAACAAATTTCACGCACAATCTCTGTGATTTTTTAACTGTACTCTTGGAACCTAAGATCAAGGGAATCCCTGCCAAATAGCAAAGGATTTTGAGCACGATTTTCATAAAATTCTTATGCTAAAGTAATTTCAATCATTTCAAAAACTACATAGCTTTATGCTTGGCCAGTCGCTTTTTTTTTCACAATCTTCACTCTTCATTGCTCCAGCGGTGCCAATAATCTGAGTTTAAAGTTATCAAATAAAAGAACCACCATACAAAACTGAACATGAATCAAGTGTTATTTTTCCTTTCGTGTGTAATCTTGGCCTTTAATGACACTAATTATTGAAGTATATTTGGCAGTAGAATGTTGGACAAGACAATTACACAAGTGAGTAGAGGAAACATTACATAAGGAATGGTACACTGTAAAGCACATGTATATTCCATGATTTACATAATATGCGGAATTACGCATTTACATAAATATGCATATTTTAGTCAGTTTTGATCAGCTTTTCCATAAAAAAAATAGAAGTACATGTACAGTGAACTCCTTTGCATGATGGTCTGTTTCATCACCTTCACCGTGTGGAAATAGACCTAGGACATAATAACCGTTGACGTCACGCTTTGTTTACATGTGCGCTTTCCAATGGGAGTCGGGTGGGAACGATTGGCTCTCGTGCCCACCTGCTGGGGCCAATTACACGGCGCTGCTAAGCACAAAACATTTGCTTAGTACAAAAAAATCTGGCTTATAAAAGCAGGTTGCCAGCCAAAACTCCATGTGATGTATATTGCTCGTGATTAGTATTCAGCTGTTGTTCGCTTAGCATGAAAATCACATGGAGTTTTGATTGATAACCTGCTTTCATAAGCCAGACTTTTTTGTGCTAAGCAAATTTTTGTGCTGAGCAGTGCCGTGAAATTGGGCCCGGCGTGAGCGTGATGTCGTTATGTCTTGGGTCTATTAACCCAACCAACATTTGAAGGATGTCATATAAACAAGCCCTATATACTGTACATTTGTAATGGTTACTTGTACCTGATCATCTTTAGCTTTAGACAAGCATTTTTTTAAATTAAAATACACGCGCAAGCATTTAAAAAAGCCCAAATACATGGTTCTGGTATAAACGTTTATGAAACGTGAATGCATAAATAATACAAAAATAATTGCTTAAACCAATACCAGCTAGGTTATTGTTCCTTACTTCCTTACACCAAAAACAAAACCAACATATTTTTCCAGTAAATACAAAGGTAATATACAACATTTGCTTGTGGTGTAATTTTCAGAATTGGATGGATTTTGGGGTTAGTGTTTTATAGCAAATGTGATGCGATCAGGTTAAATGAGTCGTTTGTCGGGAATTTTCATTTGGAGATTCAGGCCAAAATAGGGCCACTTCATCACATCACTTCATCACATTTCTTGGTGTTCCAACTTCCATAAATGTCAAACTAAAGATGGCACCAGCATGCGGTTTTCACAGTAGTAATGCTGAGATTGTGCTCTTTTTAAATCTGTGAAAAAAACCCAAATTGACCAGGGTCGACAAACGACTCATTTAGCTTGATCGCATCACAAATATTGTTACACCGACCTGTTTAAAGTTTTGTGTCCATAGATGTTGGAAAAACCAAGAAAAAAAATGCTGTTCTTGTAGTCTAGCTCCCTGACCCTACTTCAGACAAAACACAGCAATTTATAGACGTCAGGGAACTAGCACTAGACTAGCTAGCTTGTACCCGTTCATGGATGTGTAACCCATTGCAAACAAAATGTGGACTAACTAAATTTTGTTAATTGGGGGGCAGTAATGCATTTGAAAAAAAGTCAGTTTTGGAAATTAATACAAAAATTCCACTTTTTCTTGAGAACGACAGCACACCAGGTGCCATGATTTCACAAGATGCTTGAGACTATTATTCACTTAGTCAAGTAAGGTATTTCATAATAATTTGGTAATTTTGTTTGATGTTTGCAAATGTTGCATAATGTTTATTACTTTTAAGTAACAGCACCCTGGCATAAAAATGTTGCATGCCAAATCACTGCTCATGCACGGGAGTCAAATTTTCAAGTAAGCTGTCATGTCTATATATCATGTCTATATATTTTGGTATGCAGTATCAATCCTTTTCAGTTCTTGGTTGGGTCCAAAGGTACATAACATTGCAGTTAACATCACATAACACCTCCCACCTCAGTAATCATCCAGCTCTATAAATACAACCTCATCTACTCTGTCCGGCTTTCTTCTGAAGACGATCACAGCATACTGATCGGAATGTCGAGTTCACAACCAACCCGTTTTTTTCAGAACCAAACATCTTCTCAACAGGGGATTCTTCCACATGGTGTTACTGCAAACCCTCACTAGATCACATAAGTTACAAGTTATGGGCTCCGTGCACAAGTACCCCATCAACGGCCAGAAAAGGAGAGTTGGGGGTGACCTAGACTGGTTCCCGATCCATCCACTGCGTATTTCGAATATCTCCATTATTGGAGGCGGGAATTAGTCTCGGAGACCATCGCAAGTTTTTGCGCGCCGATGATGCCTTGACGCTCACGCGAAGACGCGGTGGCTATAGCTTTTGCACATTCAGGAAGTCGTTCGTACTTCGTGCGTGAACCAGTACAGTACAGAATGGGCACTGTGTGTGTCCCGTCCAAGGAGCTCTCAAAAGAGGTAAAAACGCGCTCTCTTTTGTTGGTGCACAGAGCCCATACTTGTATGGCTGTAAGCTTCAGAACAGAAATGTAAAACATTCTTCAACTTTGTACTTTTTTTTGCACCTCAATTATAATACTGTATCAAAAATAACACAAAAGTTCGACAAGTAGAGCTCGTTAGTACTTGGTAGAAATGTGCATTCTAAACATCAAAACATAACATGATTGTGACAAGACAACAGGCATTTGCAGAGGCTGGATACATCATACAATAGAAGCATACATAAAATGTGACACAACAAAGGCTTGACAATTATCACATCTTTTGCCTGAAGTTGCACACCTTTAGTGTAGAATCTCTGCTTTTAGTTAAAGATATTTTTTGTAGAATCCTGCACAAACCCATACTCCAAAGGGGGTCCGCTCATAAGTCCGACCCCTCATAGGTCCGACGCCTCGTAAGTCCGACAAACTCGCATCCCCCAACCAAATAAAGGCCCATCAAGTCTGATGTCTCATAGGTCCGATGCCTCATAAGTCCGACGCCTCATAGCTCCGACGCCTCATAACTCCGACACCTCATAGGTCCAACGCCTCGTACGCTTCGTTTTTCCGACGTCGGACTTACGAGGCGTCGGACTTATGAGGCGTCGGACTTATGATACGGCCCCATCCAAAGGATCCTGTGATTTATATTAATTCATCCCTGGGGGAGAACAAAGCATTTTGTTATCTCTTCCAGCATAAGTTTTAGGTAGCTCATATCATGTCATGTCTGATATCACGTGAAGAGAACTTCATCCATCTCCACTGGAGAGTAACGAATCTTATCTCCAAAATGATTGGGAGGTTTTAATCTAGGCCCCGCAGAGCACTTGGTGAAGAATATAACGGCAAAAACAAACAAGGACAAGATACCCAGAGCACCCAGAGACAGGAAAAATACAGCTACAGGGGGCACGGCGAGAGCATGGATTGGAGATGGATGAAGACTCTCGACTTCCAGGAGCTGGAAATCCCACAAGTCATTCAGGGCTCCGACTGATCCGTTCCTGGCGAGCCCTCCAAATAGGTAATAGGTGTTGTTCCTGGACCAGCTGGCGCAGTAAGCACGCGGTGGGGGCTGGCTGTGGGTGTCCTGCGACCACTCAAGGACATCCTCGCTTTGTGGGTTGTGGGTTTGGAAGCTGATCCATCTCATAAGTCTCAGGTCCAACATCCACAAATTGGATCGGGTTTGGGAGGTCTCCTCGCAGGTGCTGTCAGTCCCATTGCTGCTGTCCAACAACCAGAGGTTGCCGCTGGCATCAGGCCAGAAAGCAGCACTGGCGAGACAGCTGGGTTGCTCAACAACCCCAGCCGACTCACTGTCAGCTTTGGCATCCGTGCTTATATGCTCCCACTCGTTCGATAAACTGGAGTACCTCCACAGATCGCACTTGTTCTTGACCTCGCTAGTTTTGCCCTGGCACGACTTGCTGGCCAGAGGGGGATTCCTTCCTAAAATATAAAAGTGACTGTTCTTCACCACCCAGGCTGCGGTTTTCCAACGTCCAAGGTCTCTGAACTCCTCGGGGCTCCCTCTGTTGCCCGTATCACCACCGACTTCCGTCCAATCGAAGCTTTGAAAAGAAAACTTCCACATTGTCTGTGGAGCATTAGGGTCGGAGCTCGTGACTCCGTAAATCCACAAGGCATCATGGGTGCACCAGTGCACCATGTTGGCTCTTACACCAGGCTGCGAGCTGTCTGACAATAGCATCCACGACTGGTTGTGCAAATGGTAGAGCCAGGTGTCGCTTAGGAGATTTTCCGTTGACTGAGCTCCTCCGTAGACGACAACTGATGAGTTTGTGACCCCGCACACTGCTGCGCCGTAGCGAGGTTTGGGCCAGCTTTGCTCTTTCCCTCGTTGGATGTTTGTCCATTCCTGTGATGGCATGTCATACAGCCAGAGATCGTTGAGTGCCATTCCGCTGCCCTCCCTCCCACCGTACATCCAGACAACTCCGGCAGTTGGAGGCGTCCATATCCCACTCTCGGCCCTGCAGCCTGGGTACTGGCTACCAGCTGTTAGTGTGCTGGGCTGGTTGACAAGTGTTGTGCCATCCAACCAGGTCCACACTGAAAAACACAGAACCACCACAAAAGATTACAGTTACATGTACAACAAAATTGCACTTGAAATCAAAATGAATTTCAAAAACAAGGGAAGATAAAGACAAAACACAGTACCTGGCTTCCACAGAAATTGTGGCATGGATATTGGAGAACTGAGAAAATGTTATAATCGTGTACCTTAATTATCAATGAAATTCATTTACATGTAGTTCTGATGGTGTGTTCTGATTCATGTGTGATATTTGAAATATCTTATTTACCCGTCACATATTGCAAAGATTTCTTTAATTTAATAAACTAAACTGAATTCAAATCATGTACATGCGACTACAATTATCAGATTTTTATCACTAATAATACATGTAGCAATCAATTAAATTTGCTGGTACAACAGTTTATTCTGGTTATCATGTATGATATTATTTGCATCTGGTTGATGTAAATTTTAACCTTGGGTTCTGCCATTCATCGATGCAATATTAAGCCCTGTTATACCGGAGCTCAGGGCAGTCCTGTGACCTGTGAATGAGAATCTTTTTTTGTGTGTGCAAACTCTTGACATCACTGAGTATACATGTATGGTCACCGAGTCTACGGTTATAAATACAAATTACATCAGTGGCAGGAGAAACCAATTTCAAAATTCTATTTTCTTCTTGTGCGTGCATACAATGTACATGTAATGTAGTTTTTTTTAATCATGATTTCCTTATGTACATGTGTAAGCCCTTCGTATAGGCCTATTGCATATGATTTTGAAGTTGTATATGCACAGTGCCAGCATAGTGTACACTTTTTGTGGACATGAACAGGTTAGCAATCATCCTGTTCTGACTTATGTACATGTAATTCATCTTTACTTGATGTGCACATGTACAGCATGTACATTATACATGTACACTTTTTGTATTTACACGTAAGCCATGGCTGGAAAAGTCATCTATAGACTCTGACTATATTTTTGGGGGGTTAAATAAAACACAGAGATCGAAATTTGTTCAGGAAAAAAAAAAGAATTATGTGGGTTTTTGGACAGTACATTAAAGGTAGAGTCCATCATTTGTAATTTGTGCATTTTGTTCGTTTGAAGCAACAAAAGAGTTCAAAATCTAATGAAGGATACTGAGCAACTAACCTGATGAAGTTTCAGCTAAGCTTCAGCTGTACATTCTGAGAAAAACAGCATTCTAAGATCTCAATTTCAAATCAAAAATTGCTGAATCATGTTTTTGAATTGTTTTGAATTGCAACTATACGCGACGTCGCGCACTGATCCGACGAATTATAACAACCGCGCGCGCGTGTGTGTCGTTCGAATACTTGTGCACGCTGCGCTGAATAACAAAACGAACTACTAATTTAAATTTTCCTACGGTGCTTCTTAAGAATCACCGTTGGAAATGCCTTCTTTCGTTGATTACTTCAAAATGACAGCTTCCCAGAAAGAATAATTTCACAGGGAGTTTAGTCTCCTTACTATCTTTCAACCAAGTTAGTTTTTCAACAATAATTACGCCAGTTACTTTTCGGATGGCTGCAAATGATGGACTCTACCTTTAATTGTACTGGTACGTATAACGTAGTGGCGGTAAATGAGAACCACCAAGTTCTAATTGATAAAATATACTGTACGTGTACATGTATGTAAACAAAGTGTGATGCCAATTTACGTCTTGGATCTATTTTGAATGACATCGTTGTTTTTTACATACCTGGTATGCTCTTCTCATTAGCAGACACCGCCAACACAAACCAGAGACAAATAGGCAGGACTACGGCTATCCGGGCTACCACCAACCATGCCAACGATGCCATGCTGAAAGGAGGACATCACACCGACGCTACAGAGTAGCAGCTTGCTTCCATGGACGTCACTGTCAGTTCATGTGGATTGCGTGCTCGTTATGAGCTGGCTCATTCATTGAATCATCCGCAATCAGTTACACCTTATAACTAATTACTGCACCAATGCGGGCATGTGCGTCACACCATGCATCCTCATTAATTCATTCCTCTCAACACCATGTTCAGGAATTCGTACCAGCAGAAAGTGGCTATCATGCCTTCATGCCAATGTAGAGGATGCATGGAGCTGGACACATCCACATCATTTCCATTCCATCTGACTGCCCTCATGAATGTCTCAAATAGGAGTTTGTTACCCCTCCTGACTTCTTTGTGAAATCGTGACGAGGTGTATCACACTGTTGACAGATGAAAACAGAAAAAAGACAGCAGTCAGGGTTGCATTTCTGACAAAAATGAAATCATAAAATGTTGAGGTATTTCAGGCAATCTGCCCACTTTCTCTGCAATTTTTGTCTCTCAAACGAGTTTTGCCCTTGACCCTCAATCCAGGGCACTTATTGCCAGGGCGTTTTCCCCCAAATTCATCCACTGTGCAGGAACGACAAAATCTTTTGCTGGGTCAACTGAGCAGTCATTCATATTTGACGAAAAATCCAAGTACAAAAATCACCTGTGGCTCTTTACTTTTTCACAACTAAGAATTTTGTTACGGGTCAGCAGTTCTTAAGAAAATGGATACCCAACTGCTTTGTGCACACTCATGCACATTGTACTGTAGTAACCAACACCAAGATCACACTCTACTGATGTATGTGTAAGTATTGTACATATGTACGGCAGAAATATAAAGTTTTTATGTTTGTGAGTGAACAGTGTGAGACTTTGCACAGTTGTACTTGTACGTACATTGTACATGTACATTTGATATACATGTATGTGTACATTTGTATGTACATGTGGGCTCAACAATATTCACTTCATTAAGGGAATAAATATGTGCTTTGCCAGTTTTAAACAAGTACATTTAAAACCAGCTACATGTACAGGGGCCTGGACACTGATCTGCAAACAGGCCCACCCCCAGCCGATTTTAAACGTACATGTACATGTACTTGTTTAATACTGCATGGGCAAGTATGATTTATTCCCATTCATAAAAACCCCTCAGTCAAAAATTCACAATTTGACCTCATGTTTTGTGAAACACCCCTCTTGCCATGTGCCTCACGCTTGTACATGTAACGTGTCAAAATCTCATTAAATTATGGACATTTGCGCATGCATGGCGCATGTACTGCGCGATGCTGAGCGGAACACACTGGTGTAGGAATAAAGTGTTTAACAGTTGGTGTTTTATCAACTGTTTAAAACCACCCACGTGACGGTCTCTTGACCAATAGGAATGGGTAAACTCATGTGTCTAAGGTATTTGATAACACTAAACAGATTTTACCTTCATGTTTATCAATGGTAATTACACACAAAAGGTGGGAACTGAACATGCAAAATTTCACATCATTGAAAATAATATACTGTTAACAATGTATTCAGTACAAATACAATGTACAATTTTTCCTGCACGTGTATATCATACTATTATTACGTACATGTGCATATGTACAATGTACACTGTACATGTATTCATGGTATGCATGTACATGCACACATGTTGGAAGGTTGATTTGGCCATGATATCATAACAAACTGAGTGCAAAGGTTACAAATTGTGTTTATTTTAATATTTTTTCCCTCATGCAGTGCTCTGTAAAAAAAGACAACGGCCGACTAGCATTTTGCCTCTTGAAATTCAAGAATTTTATTGCTTGAAGTTCAACAATTTTTACATCAATTGTTGGATAATACAAACTCTGTTCATTTACAAATTTTAGTTATCATAGTGAGCATAATACAGCCTGAGTCCGGACTGTGCATGTGCATACCGTGTATTTATGTGCACAATAAATGGGGCCGCGGTGCTCCTAACTCAAAGTTCTGATATGACAAACATTTTTGGCTAGATCCAGCAGAGTTTGCATTAACAGGAGTCAACTGTGCAAACAAATCTTAACCAGTGAATCTAAAAGCCGGCTCTGAGGTAGGTACACATGTGTTTAAGATCATGACAGTAGGTTATTTGACCTCTGACAAAACTTCAGTATCAGTTCTCAACATTTTGCACAAGTGAGAAATGAAGAGATTGTCCCTCCCTTGTCTTCATGGAACATGTACCCAAAAATGTAGAATTTTTCAGTCGTTTATTTTTTATGCAATTCCCAGGTTTGTTTGCACAAGTTTGCGTATGTAAATTCAAACACAAAATTACACACAAAAAATTGATGTTTGAAAAGTGCCGAACTTCTTTTTTATAGCTATAACTAGAGGTTGAGTCAATCTGCTTCTAAAGCATAAATAAACTACAAGAAAAAATGTTGCAACCTGACGCATATTCTGGTGTTTCAAAGGCAACAGTGACGCGGGTTCGAGCCCGCCAGCGGACACTTGTGGTCTTAAGCAAGGCACTTAACCATTATTGCTTCGTTCTTCGGATGAGATGCAAAGCCGTAGGTCCCGTGTGTTGTATAATGCACGTAAAAGAACCCAGTAAACACTTATCGCTAAGAGTAAGAAAAGGGGTTTGCCCCGGTGTTTCTGGCCTCCTGTATAAACTCCCACATGGAGTATTTAGGAGAAAAACCAACCAAAAACCAAGAACCAACAACTTGGCGATCGTGTAGTGTAGGGCCCCTGTTTTGTTTTGATCAAATTAGAGTCAAAGATGTTTTTTATTGCTCAAAAATCACCTTTACAATCAAAAGCAGACTTTTCTCAATTCTAATGACACCCGTTTTGCTAGCCCCATTTGTGTGGCCTCCGTATTGCTGTGCTGTACGTTAGGCCACACACCTGGTTTCCAAACCTACTGAGGAGTTTAGACTTTAGTCCCAAACTGGCGCATATGGACTCCAGAAAGATGTCTGAATTTCTCAAAAAAATTTGAAGAAATATCACCTAATCTACCCCGGGGGCAAAAGATAAGAAATCATAGAATACAACCATATCAGTGGTATGTAAAAAAAAAATGCCAAAAAAGGGTGCGCCAGTGTTTGGAATAAACTCCTCAGTAGGTTGGAAAACCAGGCGTGTGGCCAAACGTACAGCGCAGCAAAATGGAGGCCACACAAGTGGGGCTACCGTTTTGCAATTTTGAACAGTTTCTTGGGGTAGAAATCACGATTTTCCTGCGCGGTTAGTGCCTTGCGATTCAGCGCACAGTGCTAGTCCGAAAATTTGGAACTCTCAATACTGTGTATGAGAGTCCCAAAACTTAAGGTATCCATATCGAATACAGGTCAGCTCGTACGCGGGCCAACTCGTACGCGTGATAACTCGTACGCGGACCTACTCGTACGCGAGCCAACTCGTACGCGTGAGTATAGACTAGACTGAAACCGTTGGTTCGGGCGTGTAGGAAAGTAGGGTCGGTCAGTTGTCCGGCACATTCTTTTTTTCTTAAGTTAAGGGGATAATTTTGTGTTACTGAGTGGTCCCAATTAGTTCAGTTTTAAATCAGCTTTTTTTGCTCATAACAAAAAAATTATGATTTGTTTTCCCGGACAACTCGCACACTGTCGATGTCTGATCCTGGCTCACACCGTACGCTATACGACAAGATATTGCCACGTAGTGAGAATTTAAATCGTATAATGTCCGCTGCATTTGTAGACTTCCAACAATACATTGCTATAGTGGCCCCGCGCTATGTGTAAATCAAATCGTTGTACGTCTTGACAAATTCTCCACACTAGCTGCGTGGTTGGAAGCGCATGCCGCAGCACTGCACTACACATCGGTCGCAAAAAAATGGATCATGTTTTTTTGTATCATTGAAACTTTTGAACTTGACATCGTTGCATTTATGGAATTTAACTGTTGAAAATACATATGGCTACAATCATAGTTATTCAGTCATACAATCGTACTGTGTTCTGTGATAAATCGATAACTTTGGCGTGTGTTTTGGGGTAAACTTTTGGCGATCGTAAACATCGTTCAATTTAAATTTGCTTATTTCGGTCCGCGTACGAGTTGCCTGGCGTACGAGTTGGTTCGCGTACGAGTTGGTCCACGTACGAGTTGTCTTGCGTACGAGTTGGCTGGCGTACGAGTTGTCTCGCGTACGAGTTGACCTTCCTCCATATCGTGCAAAAGTTTGTGCTGCATAATAAAACCAGTGTGAATCAAATTTGCAAGCTTCTTACTCACTACAGTGTCTTCAATAATCCCTGAAACTTTTGCCTCGCAAAGTTGCTGTTGTGAGCATTGCATCACCAAAAATTCAGCTTTTAAATCTAATTTTACAGAGAGTTATCGAAATCCAAACGTGAGACATCATGTTGATGTGTACTGCAATGCATTGTGCAAAAAGACTCCTCAGCTATAACATTTTCATCGTGTAGATAAAACAGCGCCCTCTTGTTGATCTGAGTAAATGCCAAATGTTTCATTTTTTAACAGAGGGCGCTATGTTCATTTGGCCATCGATTAAAAACAAGTAAGCTGCAAGGTTCTTCTTACACCTACCCAGAATACATTGGGAATCACACACACATTTCCAGAGCATGGAGATTGACGTGGATGGTGTTTGAACTGCCAAAAACTTGCCTTAAAATTGGATTTAAGGTATCAAATTTCGCAGGTGACATGCTTGCAACTATATATCATTTTGATGTATGTGTTGTGTGGGCATTAATTAGCCTGATGGTGAGTAAAAAATGTCAGTAGTAATTTTGCACGTTTTTATGCACTCATCACCTGCTCATGGTCCCAGTCTGGCACAGTGCATGCTCACAGTACATCGCACGGTGTTTCGCCATCTCCAATATTTTCAGGTTGCGTGTTGTCACCGCGCTGTCATCGTCATTGTACCCCCTAATTTTCCACAAAAATCAAAATCCTGCCCTCTATCTATGATATATCCTCGACCCTCCATTATCTGTGCAGGTAACGCTTGCTTACGCGTGCGCGTTGTCACACACAAATTGAAGGTAAATGCGTAGGAAAAGGACTGCGTAGCTTTAGGGGGTCTGACGTCGTGACGATACCTGTTTATTGAGAATGTCACCAACTAGTTTGGTCGGTCTAGTAATAATTTTAAGTAGATTTTGTTCCCTTATAGGAACCGGGCCCTGCACTACACAATCGCCAAGAAGTGGAACTCAAATGTTTCTTAGTCCCAGATTCATGTCTTAATAATTTTTTGCAATGACTGACCTAATAAGTACTTAAGGTCAGTCATTGCAAAAAATGATTAAGACATGAATCTTGGACTGAGAAACATTTCCAATTTTGTTAGGAAATAGGCCTACTTAGAAAATGTTCTTGACTCTCCCATCGACTTTGTACACAACCGCTGAAGTAGCGTCAGGTTGGAACTTTTTTTCCTAAAAAGGAATGTTGTCAATACAATGTCAATTGTCGACTTACCTGGCTCCGAGTCCGAGCTCCAACCTCCAATTCGTTGGAATACACACTGTACGTACGGACGAACCCGTACATCGACGTGTACGTGTATGATATCGTACGTGAGATGCCATCACTGATCTCTATATGTCATGCATGTGGGGAAAAAAGAAAAAAACATGCAGCTTAGTTAGGGCGCCCTCTCACATCCTTCGTTCTGAGATAAACAAAACAAGATGAGCACAGCTAGCTGGGCTCATAATAATAATCGTGAATTCATGCAAACTGAAAATGGGCAGGGCCAGGGCCGCATCCCGCGTACGAGCAACATGGCCGGCCGATGTCGTTATTCATCTCCGCCTCACTGTTTGAATTAAAACAAATTGAAGAGAGACCGTCGATAAAAGGCCTTCGGTAACGTGTTTTTCCCATTTTGGTTGTACATGGTTGTCATAATTTTTGTATCCATCACTGATTGCTCACAGCACTGTATTATTTTCTTGTTTCACAAATTTCACATTATTAATATAATAAGAAACGAGTGTTGCATATGACTGTGTTGTATTTACATTTTATTTAATAACGATTTACGAAAAACTGTCATAATGTTTCGATTTGGTAATTACTTATAATATAGTTATAGGCCTAATAATTTCACAGGTAGGCCTATTGTTTATTGAACTTGCTTCTTGTTTTTTACAATTTGAATAAAGACAGTAAATGCATGATCAAAAAAATAAGTCACGTAAATACACCCCCTCCCCCAAGCCGAGGTCCGTGGTCCCAGGATATCCCCCCCCCATTTTAAAACCTTGAATTGCACATAAACAGTAATTTTAGTTGCCTGCAGTGCACTCCCACCCTTGAAAAATCATGGTGCATCCTAAGAGAGGCCGCTACAGTTAAACACAGTTAGCCCGCTGCAGCGAGCTGATATTTGTATATCATACTCTTTGCTTTTGTAGCGTATGTTTCATTTAGTCTGTGGGTGACATTTCCCCCTCAATCACGGTTTCATTTGTATTGCAAGTCTTCCTTTCCTGGTTTTTTTTCGTTTAAAAAATGTTATTGAGATGTATTAATAATGGGTGAGTAAAAAACAAACGAAACCCAAATATCGGGACCATTGTTTTAGTGAAGTTCTGCATGTAGCGCTTTCAAACTCACAAAAAAGGTGTGCGTTCTTTCACTTTCAGCAAAACGATAACAATTCACACACATCCCTTTCGTTTTGCTGAAAGAAACTGAACTTTTTGTAATCCGTGGACAGAACCTTAAAACGGTGGTTGTGTTTAAAATTCTGTAACTTAACAAGTACGTGAGTGATTTGAATGGTTTTTGTACTAAAAGAAAGCTTATGAATTGGGCTTTCATATCCTAGAGATTGCAAGCGCTACATGCAGAACTTCACTAAAACAATGATCCCAAAATTTGGGTTTCGTTTTTTTACTCACCCTGTATTACGTAGTCGGAAACACACAAACTGTAAAATAATATACGCCTTACTTAAAATTCAGACTTATCGTTTATTATTTTTTTGTTCTACGAAAGATGTAATTATTACTGCTGATGACGGGCCTATACAAAGTCATGGATGTCACCATGGAAACTTACGCTCATTCCCGTTGGGATGATACCTGCATTGTTGACCAACGGAACATCGCGCCATCCGATCACAAGAAAAGTGGAGTGTCATGGCCTAGCGGTTAAGAGCACCGGACTCTGTGTTCTGGTGTTTCAGAGGCAACAGTGACGTGGGTTCGAGCCCAGGCGCGGATACTTGTGCCCTTAAGCAAGGCACTTAACCATTCTTGCTTCGTCCTTCGGATGGGACGCAAAGCCGTAGGTCCCGTGTGTTGTTTATTGGCCTAACGCACGTAAAAGAACCCAGTAACGCTTATCGCTATGAGAAGGGGTTCGCCCCGGCCGTGTTTCTGGCAGGAAGGATATATATATACCCTGCCCGTGTGACCTCTGAGAAGGGGTGTTGGTGCAGTATTTATCAAGACAAAAAAGACCAGACAAAAAAGAAAAATCATACCGAAACAGAAAAATTACCGAATGAAGAAAATAACCAAAAGACCGATGAAGCTTATAGTATATGACGTTTAAGCTGTGCACGTTGGAGTAGTGCAGTGGGGCATCAAGGTGCGCGTGATTTAAACGTCGTGGACTAGGTTGAGGATCAGACCAGTGGCGTTACCAAAAAAAAATTGCGGGGTACTGTACTAGTGTGAGTACCCGTCGGACTCGTCTGGTTCGGCACAGTAAGGACCTACTGCGCACTGCAGAATGTATTGCCAGTGCCAGCACCACGTACGGGGCCATGCACAGGGAAACTGCCCAACCAGTCAATCTATAAAAAAAGGGATCGATCACTTTTAAGTAATTATCGCATATCCCTCACCTGCACCGTGTGCAAACTAGCACACTCATTTCACAGTAACGTCATGAGACATCTAAAAAAAACATTCCCTACTTTGTGATCGACAACGGGCTTTAGAAGTGGGAGGTATTGTGAAACTCTGGTTTGCTGAACGACCTTTAATTGCGAAGATCCTCGATAATTGTGGCCGAGCTGATCTCTGTATTATGGATTTTTAGCAAGGCACGTGACTGGTGCCACACCAACGCCTCCCACAAAGACTGACCATCTTGTATTGGCGTCAGAGGAAGTCATGGATCAGGACTTCCTAACCACTCGTCAGCAAAGAGTCGTCGTTGATGGACAATCATCCTCCTGTTGAGTCCCCTGTAATATCTGGCGTCCCACATATTCTTGACATGTAACGATCTACCGGACTGCATTAAGCCAGACGTTAGATTATTTGCAGATGACCTGATTCTGTATATATAGTCACCCATTGAATCTCCAGAAGACTGTAACATACTCCAGAGGGACATCAGTTCTCTTTGTAAGTGGGAAAAAAACTGGCAGATGAAATTTAATACATCAAAATGTTTCATCATGCTCGACACTGATCATCAAAAAGATCCAGCTCAACAGCACACTATGGGAAATTCCATTCTAGAGAAAGTTGATCATCATCCCTATACCGTGGAGTTGAACTGTCCTGGAGTAAACACATCACCCAAAGTGTCAACAAAGCAAACAGCATCTTATGATTCTTAAAGCGGAACCTCTGGAATTGCTCATCTCTAACACCAATGACATCGCCTATAAAAACTTCTCAGACCAAGACTTGAATATTGCGGTCCACTTTGGACCCTCACCAGAAAGTCTATATGGAAAATCTGGAAAAAGTTCAAAGGAGGGCGGGAAGGTTCGTCAAGAATAACTACTGGCGTGAAAGCAGCGTCACCGACATGCTTCACGACCTGAACTGGGAATCACTATAGATATAAGGGAAAAGGCTCGGCTTAACATCTACAAGGAGACTCATCACATCATCTCAACAAGAATAACCGTTTGAAAACCAAGAACTCGTCAGACACACGAATTCATTTATGTAGTCATCCGGTCAAACAAAGACTGCCATAGATATTCACTGTATCCAAGAACTATTCCAGTTTGGAATGCACTCTTGCCTAGAAGCATAAAGGATGATGTGATCAACGGGTAGTTGAAAAATTAGAATTTATTGATGCGATGCATGATGGACTGTACGTTGATAGCCACCTGAGGCGTTTTGTGCAGTACCACTACCAGACAAGACAAGACCAACTTGACCGTTTGAGTGGAGGAGCAAGGTCAGCCTCTCGGTAAAAACTCCGATTCTACCGTACGTGCCTGCCGCCTATATGGGGTGCGCTCGCTGCCTCTCGGCTCTTTATTTCTGGCTCCGAGAGCTGGACGTTACGTAACAACAGCGTATTCAGGCAATGTCTTCGTTGCACCGTCAACCCCCAAAATGGTCAACCCCCAAAATGGGTTATGTAATTATGTTGTCTCAGAAACCTCTCAGAGACGGCCTGAAGTTCCTCTAAACTCCAGCCCAAGTTTCATCACAGTCTTTCTCGGCTTACCTAGCAAAAGCATGCAGGTTGTTACTGTCGACTGTCCAGTTGTCTCAAGCGATTCTGTCCCTTGCCTCTGATCAGAGATGTTACACGGAGGTACAGCCCGTCGTGACGAAGTCCCAAACCGGGGGGAGCCTACAGCTAATTAATTTAAAAATGTGTGCATTTTTAGATTCATACAGCAATTTTCTTATCCCTAAAATTAGGTCCCAGGCGGAATAGCATGTCGTACCTGGGGCCACCGCCAGCACAACACGTCATCCTACTGGACAAGATCAGCCGCGCTTTGATAGCCGAAGACATCCCGAGGTTCAAGAACAGGTGCCTTGCTGAAGGGGTGCGGCCGGGCGAAGTGGAGAGGCACAGTGTTCTAGAATTGCTTCAGTTGTTGGACCGACGACGGGTCATTGCTCCAGGGAAGTATGACAAACTTGTGCAGGTACTGACTGACATCGGCAGGGGTGATTTGGTTCAAGAATTCTTCCCCCTGAAAAGAGGACAAGGTATGGCAATTTTAAAAAAATATATATGACATATATTAATATTGTAATTTTTTGTAAATGGACGCGCGGCAACTGGGCAGTGGCGTATCCCCTCTGGCGATTCCCCCCCCAAAAAAAAAACATTACAATGCGCCCCCACTTGGAAGATAAAGCGCTCCCCCCCCCCCCTCCCCCCGCTTTTGGATTTAGCTCCATGATTTTACAGAGGCCAAGTGTCCGGAGAAAAAAACATGTCTACATGTCTACATTTCGGTGTGGATGTGCGGTTGCCCCCCCCCCCCCCCCGACATTAAAAGCTGGATAGCCTACTGCATCTGTGTAACACAAAGTAAAAAAACAGCCCCCCCCCCCCCAAAAAAAATCAAAGAGGCTTAACACTATTATTCTTATTGTTCATTATTTGAATAGTACAGGCCTATAAGGTGGAAACACTGGGGAAAACGAACACTTTGATCGGAATTTTATTCGGGAAAACAAAAATACCATTTGCAAAAACATAAGTTCCACAGACTTCAATCAAAATTTGTTGTTTTTTTTTTCCTTTTCGGGGGGGGGGGGGAGTACGGCAGGTGTGAATCAATGGAGCGTCAAGTTCATCATCCTCATAATTATTTGGCTACTATGACCGTTATGGGGCTGGGGGGGGGGGGGGGGGGGGGGGGTGCGCACCGGCCGCCGGCGCGGCGATCACGCGGCGGGTGTTGGCGCCCTCAAGAGCTCGAAAGCTGCAAGTGAAGGTGTGGTTCCGGGTTACAAGCATGCAAGCCGACGCCGAAACCGGTGAAACAGGTCCACCCGCCCCGATGATTTTCACATAAATTAACGGCATAGGCCTACTTACTTTCAGTCCTTTCAAGCTGAGTTTCAGTATCTGAAAACCTAGGTAGGTATTTTAAAGACCATAAAGGACTTACAACTGGACCATTTTTGTCATGTTTGTGGAGTCCGTTTTTAATTAGTCCGAGTAACTACAACCATGACAACCTCGTCCCCAGGGTGTCGAGCAGTACGCGCCCACCACTACCTGCTCTCTCACCCTGCTATTGGATCATTTGCATGTGCAAGATTTTTGCACACGTATGCAATTGAGGAACAGTCTGGTGCCTGGATTTTTGTATGCGGTGTCTGGGGTAAAAACAGAGTCAATTCGTAGCAGCGTGAGCACGGCGTGAGTTACGAAAACACGATTTTTGAAATCAAACTGTTACGATCTTATCCAGACAACATGCAGTATCATATTTCATTTTAATATGAGCAAATTGGAAAGGAAATTAGTATTTTTGAGAAGGCGTGGACGAATGATCGCGAAAACACGTACTGCACGTTTTGAATAATAGCACCAAGTACGCGATAAAAATCCATTACTAGCCAATTGCGGTATCCAATCAGGATACAGGAAGAAAGTTTCCTATCAAGGGTTTACTATTGGAAACGCGGTTGGAAATAAAGTAAGCACTGGGGACGAGGTTGGAGTAACTAGGACTCTACGGATCGCTTTTTACCCCTCAGCCGAGAGACTCGAGGGGTATTGTCATCGCCTAGGCGTCCGTCCGTCCGTCCGGATGCCGTGCTGTATGTCCGTCCGTCCGTCCGTCCGGGCAACTTAGTTTCCGGATGATAACTTGAGTTAGAAATGTTGTTTGGGGTTGTAACTTCGGAAGGGGGTTGCCCTTGGGAGGAGGGGATTGGTTTTGAGGTTAAAGGTCAAGGTCACCGTGGTGAGTTAAAGGGAATTGGTTTCCGGATGATAACTTGAGTTAGAAATGAGATTTTGGTGTCTAACTTTGGTAGAGCACTTGTGGAAACGAATCTGGAAATTTCACGAAAAATAGACATCTGACTAGCTGGAGTTACCCAGCCCTAAATTATATCATTGGGTTGTCATTAGGGCTGGAGGACATTTTTCATGTGAACCAGCAGAGTTGGCAGGTCCCCCAAAAAAGTTCGTTCTTGCCGGCTGCGCTGGCTGATGGCGCATGACGTCACGCGGAAGCGGATTACCCGACGACTGTTTCATGCACGATAACCGGCAAACTTTGGTTGCCGTCCAGTATCGCAGCTATGATGCGAGTGATAAACCTCAACAGTCGTCGGGTATTCCGCTTCCGCATTAGTGACGTCATGAGCCATTAGCCAGCGCAGCCGGCTAGAACGAACTGGTAAACGCGCTGTGCACAATTCCAATTGCGGGCCTCGCCATGACCGCACGGTTGTCGGTTTATGCCTCGTTTTTTCACTGCAATTGTAGGCTGAATCTGCATCGTGGATCGTTTTTTTTACCTGCCAACTCTGCTGGTTCACGTGAAAAATGTCCTCCAGCCCTAAATGACAACCCAATGATAAAATTAAGGGCTGGGTAACTCCAGCTAACATCTGACCAATCACACAAGGCCTGAAGACTGGTATCCTGAAATTAATTTACAATTATTTCGTATTTTTACTTCTAGAGTAGAAAAACTGAATGGTTGTGCGCTACAGTCGGTTGAGAGATTGTACAAGAAACAACCGTCGCATTGCAACTTACTCGCAGGAGCGCCAAGATCCATTTGCAAATAAACACAACGTTTGACTGAGGAAACTTTTTTTTTTCTTTCTCAGAAAACCAGTCAACAGCGTCTCCGATATCTTGCCAAAAGGAGACGGATAATCATCCTCCTCATCATCATTGCCGGCATCATTCTGCGACACCCACCATGAATTCCGTCGTAACCGAGAAAGCCCTCTCCTGGCTGGCTTCCAAGATGGGAGCAGACTGGGAACAAATTGGCATCCAGTGCTTGGGCATGTCCAAAAATGACATCTTCCAGTGTAAGGCGGACAATCCCTACACTGTGCAAAACCAGATCTTCAGCTTGTTGAACAAGTGGAGATGTCGCAGCGGCTACAATGTAACCTATGCGCAGCTGTTTGAAATGCTACTTCAGTTCCAGGAGTTTGACAAGAACATTTTGGAAGAAATGCAAACGAAGATACCAACGTTTTGAACCTGTGTGCGATGGTTCCTGGTAAAAAGCATGAACGACATGTACTTATGATGTTCTTGGACTACTGATTTTATTGGAGAAATGCTGAAGAAGAAAAACTGAACTTGTAGAAAAGACTGTATGATTAACAACACCGATTGAAAAGAACATTGAAATTGACGTTTATCCTGCTCAGGATGACATGTATAATATCTGAATCACCTTCCTTTTTAAATCATGATATCATAACTAGAGCAAAACATTTGTGTGAAAAATGCTAGCTGATTAGGCAGTGCAATCTTCACTGTCATTCATTTCAATCATGAATAAGGAATTGCTAAACTAGAAGGAATTTTGAAAAATTCAACAAGTTAAACCAGTTCAAGATTGAGCGATTTCATCCGGTGTTTTGGGGTTGGAATGATTGTATCATACATTACTTTCAACAAAACTGTTATCTCCTTTCTTTATAGACCTCTGACATTATGATGTCTTGATTATACACTATTCAATGTTTCATTGCAGTTGGTTTTAATCCTTAAATGTCTGTTTTCCAGACGAACAAATTTGGGGATCTGGATTCTGAAGCCCCACTGACTCGAGTGTGCCACAATGCTACAAGAAGAATAACTTTTTTTAATTATTAGACTAGGTGATATTTTAAAAAATGTTACACGAAGAGGTATTTTCGAGTAGAAGTTGGTAACATAGCTATTTTACCTAACTTCGGGGTGCTGAATCCAAAATGATGGTTACCAAGCTGTATTTTTAGTGGAAAATGCCTTATTTGCATAAATCTTTAACCCTAACTCCCTAGGCCTTTTTGCTAGGATGTAGCCTCAATCCTGCAAAATCCTCCAATTGGCCTCATGGAAAAATAGCATATAGCCTCAATCCTGCAAATTCCTCCGTTATTTCTTGAATATGGTCCATGGAGGGATGACCACTGCCTGAATCCTGCAAAATCCTCCGGCTATGTCTGTCAATAGGCTGAGGCAGAGGCAGTGACATCCTGGAGCAGTGCGGAGGATGTCAAGTATAATCAAGGACTAAATTTATGCACGGCTGAGCATAAACAACACAAGGTCCGGCCCAAGACCTTGACACAGTGCGTACTCCGAAATCAGCAACGCACTTTTGCCATGTAACCTCAATCCTGCAAATTCCTCCAATTTGCAAAAAGGATTTTGGAGGATTCAGGGCGGTTAGGGTTAATACCCGTTGTTTTATATATTTGTTCCCAAATTTGGGTATATTTTTTATTATTTTATTTTTTGAAAAGTTTATTTCGGTGATTCTACTTATATTTCCTTATTTCAATAACATTTTCTAAAGCATGTACAAGTGACTGAATAATTATGAGGACATATTAACAATCCAAAATGGCTACTATTACACCCTAAAGATGCGCGTATTTACCTTGTCTCCGGATATCAAGTAGTCTTGCCAAACCTCAGTATTGATGAACTTCAAATTCACCATGTTGCTTACTGTCACAGTTACCATTGAAAATCATGTGAACAATGACAACATTGTGATATTTAGCCCAGCAAACAATGGGGAAAAAGCGAGGTGCCCGTAAATTGGGTTAAAAAGTTGTTGAAGGGTTGCCTAACTTGGGAGACTTGAACAAGTTCAAGAATATACCCAAAATTATTGGTAAGGAAACTTTTGATGTTAACATAATCTTTGTAAGCAACTTAACAATAATCTTTTATTTTGGGGGATTTCCTTGAAGTTGTTCAAGTCCCCCACGTTAGGCAACCCTTCGCCTAATTTTTAGCCCAATTTACGGACACCTCATTTCCCCCCTGTTTTCTTTTTTCAGCCTAAATATCGAAATGTTTCATTTTTCACATAATGTCCCATTTATTTTTGGTAGGGTAACTGTGCCAGTGAGTAACTTTGTGAATTTGAAGCTCATCAATACTGACGTTTGGCGAGACAACTTGATGATATCTGAGGAAAAGTAACATGTGTGCAACCTTAGGGTATAATAGTAGCCATTTTGGATTGTGTTTATGTCCTCATAATTATTCAGTCACGTATATGCTTTAGAAAATGTTATTGAAGGAAGGAAGTGTAAGTATAATCCCCAAAATAAACTTTTCAAAAAATGAAATAATAAAGAACATACCCAGATATGGGAACAAAATTACACGACAGGTATTAAAGATTTATGCAAATTAGGCATATTTCCACTAAAAATCCAGCTTGGTAACCATCATTTTCGGATTCATCACCCCGAAATGAGGTAAAATAGCCATGTTACCAACTTCTACTAAAAAAAATGCCTCTTCTTGCCCTTAATAAGCCTTTTTTTTTTAAATATCGCCTAGACTATATCTGTAGAAATATTTGTAGAAATGTTTTCATGTACATGTAATGGTTTGGCAATAATGAGAGACCTCTCTGCCTTTCATTCAACAAAGAATTGCTTAATTTTACTCCTTGAATTTATTATAATACATATCTACTATGTATTATGTATGTATTCTTGTACTTGATAGCTGTAGACCGAAAATGTTACAAAAAAAAAGAAATAGATCATACTGCAGTAGTTTTAGATGAAGGTGGCTGACTGACTGGTTGCCCTGTACTCTTATGCTGAAATAATAAAGAGATAAGATACGATACCAGACCCAAAATAGACCTTGCCATCGAAGTAGTTTTGTTAATCTAGTAGCAATTCTACAGTTACACTTTTGTTGGTCACCCTTTTTTCAACTTAAAAATTGACATATTGGGGAACCAACAACCAAGGGCTGGAAGGCTCAGTTGGTAGGAACCGGAACGGTATTCCGGAGGTCGGAGGTTGAAATCCAGCTCCAGTCAATTTCTTTGTTCAACTTTCATATTGTTTTTTTTACCTCAATTTTCAGTGCTTTTCACTTTTTGTAAAAACTAAACCAATATTAAAGTCCAGCGGATATGTGCTAAAATATTAAATTATAAAGTTTGCGGGTAACACCATGTGGAAATATATCTCTTCTTGGAAGAAGTGTGGCTCTGAAAAGAACCGGTTGGTTGAGTGTGGAACTCGACGTTTCGGACAGTGTGCTCTGTCCGTCCTCAGGTGGTTGAGGGGTTGCTAAAATATTGATGAATTGTGCACTTCTTTACAAAAGCTTGAAACTTTGCACAGATGTTTATTTTTATGAGAAAACATGTTTTAGATCAGAGATTTGATATACCATCTTTTGATCTTGATTTTTTTTCTCATGAATATAAACGTGTGTGAATTTCGTGCTTTTATGAAAGGTTGGCATTTTTTTTTCAAGTTGGGCATAATGACTCTCCACATTTTTGAAATGGCTGCCAGGCCCCTAAAAGGTTGAGTCTGCGAAGGCTTCGCATCTAAAACATTAATTTTGTTTTCATGAATATAAACATCCGTGCAAACTTTCATGCTTTTATGAAAAAAAGGCACAATTTGTTCACATATCCGCTGGACTATGTTTGGGTCACGAGTGACAATCACATGGGCATGAAGAGGAGTAGAGGACACTAGGCTAGCCCTCTGCGTCCAGCAACCGCAAAAAAAAGAGTTCAGCATTGTGTAATCAGACTGACCTTTTCAAATCGAAAGCGTCCTAAAAACAGCCAAACTATGAAACTATGACATGAGTTTATTTATTGATTCCTGGATATCTACCAAAATGAAGAACATTACTTATGGTAATAAATAAAATCACGAACAAAGCAACTTCTCTGAAAAAAAAGAAAAGTAGGCTATCAGCTTCGGTCCAAAATTGGGCCACCGGTATCACAATAATAGTCGAAAGGAACAATGGTCATAGCGATTTTTGGCATGGTATGCACATCTAGAGTTGGGAAATGTGTGATAGCTTTGCAGTGTGAGCGGTGGCAGTTTTTTGGGTGTTATAAAATATCATTTTTTTCCCCAAAATGGCCGCCAATATGCTTGAACCGGATTAATTATATTCGGTAACAAGCATATGTTTTGGCCGCCATTTTTATTTAAAAAAAAAAGCGATAGCACCTAAAAAGCTGCCACCGCTTCAACGCTGTCACATAATTTTCCAACTACGGGGGTGCATTCCTTGCCAAAAATCACAACGGCCATTATTCCCCTAATTTGATACCGGTACCGACCAAACCCCCAGGCTGATGGCCTTAAGGCATTCACTGCACGATGTATTCAAAGTCACGGCGTTTATTTCTAAGGATAGCCTGCTAGGCCGCGCCGTTCTTCATCGTTCAGTGATTTGAATGTTGGTCAAAATAGGCCTTTTCGCCTGCAGGGGGACAATGAAATGGTACCATAATGGTGTCACTCCACGAAAAGGGTATAATGGCGTTTGATTAAAGGATACTTTGGAGAGAATGCGCCCGTTTGGGAATGAAAATGAGTTTTTGCTGTTACCCTGACCTTTGAAATAAGGTAAAACAAGTGAATTTAAGACATGAAATTTTGGCGAAATGTTGCCGCTGCCGCTGACCACGTCCTTCATATAGGGCTTACGGCTACCTGACATTTGGCGTCTTAGCTTGGCTAAGTTAGATATGGAGTTATCCCCTTGCACAGTGCAAGGAGAGGCTCCGTTGGACAAGGGACTAGGCCATAGGCTTGTGCTTTGTGCACTGGTTGTCGGGTGAGGCGAATTTCTGCCGTTATATTCTGGAGAGGCCTCAGTAGGCCTATAGGCTCTTCATTCGGTAAGTATACAGCAATATTTTTTTTTTGGAGGGGGTGAAAAATAAATTGGGGAACCGCCAACTTACAAAACTTCAGTTGACTTAAAAGCGTGCAAAAAACAATATCAATACACGGGTCTGAAGATTATTGTATAAATATCTGAAGTTATACATCCAATAAAAGGCGTCATCATTCGTACCGAATCATCCACTGACCGACTTCATACAGACTTTACATTCTCATGTTATGAGGCCCTGCTATGTGGTAAAACTAAAGGAAGACATACGAAATAGACGTAAGACCACTCATCCATATTTTTACTTACAATAAAGTCGTATGTGAATAATGCTACGTACATTACTTGACGCTGAGTTTTCTTCAACCTAAGCCATCTCACGATGGACGCCATGCATAGGACTAGACTGGCACCAGTCGTACCACCATGCCCTATGACGTCCTATAGCACAGTTACTGCCCAACCAGTCTGTGGACCAATAATTTAAGTTCTTATCTTCGGTTGGGAACAAAATTGTGATGGAATGTCGGTGAGTCTCCCGCGCTGCTGTCATTATATGAGTCGATGGTGAGCTGATAGTTGTCCCCAGAAATGTGACTCTCCGTATTCTCAATCTGCGTAGACTCTGTAGGTGTAGACTCGGATGTCCCAGTCCTCTAAATTCACGCGTAGCTGCCAAGCTTTCTTCTAGAAATTAGATTGTGGAAGATTTCATTTCCGATCCAGAACTCATCTGACAAACCTACCTCGTAGTCAGCCCAGTTGCGGTAGAAAGTAGAGATATAGTGTCGACGTAGCCGTCTTGACGCCTCTGGAGTATTATAACGATCCATCCTCCACTGTTACTAGTCTCCATATCGCAGTGGACTTGGAGGCCACGGCTGAATCTAGCCTCTGGATGGGGGGGGGGGGGCCCTTTTTTCACTGGGGGAACGGCCCCGGACCCCCACTCTTGGTAGGTCCCACAATAGCGTATACCCTTGGAAAAGAAAGTGGAAAAAGGCGCCCCTATTAATGAATGAGGTCTAGCCCCCGGCCCCCATACTAGACACTGGCGGTGCTTTGCCCCCCCCCCCCCACTTTCAAAAGTGTTCCGCTGATAATTCGTTCGCTAATTAATAAATAGTGTTCCGCTGATTCGTTCGCTAATTAATAAATAGTATTTGAAGCTTGTCCACGAAGACGGTTGGCAATGCTGCATGGGAAAGTCGGAGGAAACGTAGCCTTGTTCAATGCGGTCTCTCGGCTTTTTGTCGAAGGGAGATAATCGGGCCCTAGCACCCACAATCAACGCGGTTACGTGCGTGTACCACCGACCCTTGTCCGTGCGTGTACCACCGACCCTTGTCCGTACGAACGGTTCGGTACTAACACAACCAGCAAGCACACACACGTGAGTACGGACTGTACGCATGGTGTAATAAGGCAGTAAATGTAGGCCTACTATGTTCTGCGTGTGGGTGTACGTACGTACGTGTGGGGGATATACGCGCCGCGTGGCCTGTCGTACGCGGACTAGCTCATGCATGTACATGTACTTGTACATGTACATGTACATGTACTGTGTGTGCATGGCTGTTGTACGAGTACGTGTGTGATGTACGTGCGTACGTACATGTACATGTACAAGCATAGCCTTGCTGTATGGTACAAGTTACTTTCTCACTAGAAGCGTACGGGCATCGATATGTGCACGCAATTATGCCTTGCCAAGTTGATTAGGGATTTTGTTATCGGCGATTTTTTTTTATCGGCGAATCGATAAGCCCGCAACGCCTTGGTCAAGGCTAGAGGAAACGTCGAAGTGCGCTAGGTTAAGCCGGTGTCACGGTCTCACTTCTCCGGCGTGCTAGCTTCTCCGGCTGGATTCGGCGGATATTTGAGCACGTTACAGGGCACGTTGCATGAGCACGATACATGCTCAAGTGTCCGCTGTGCTTACTTTTCTTGGGGCTGTTCTCAAGTCCATAAATAACACAGTGAGGAACACCAAATAATGTGTTATATAACACTTCCTGTGGGTCTTGCAACTAGCATTCTGATTTGTGATACCAGCGTCATGTACGTGTGCGTGTTCATTGAGGAATAATTAAGAACGAAATCCTTGGTCTGTGTTCCTTGCTCGTTCGCGGTCCATCACATGTCCAATTTGTCTTTATTTTTGCAACCACGGTTTAAACAAATGTGCATCAAGTCTTTTTGGTTATTGGGAGTTGCGAGCGGGCGCGCCGCGCTACCAAAATTCTGGATTCGACTGGTACCCAGTAACGTGTACATACAATATCTTAAGATCTTACGTGCACCATCCCAAAGAACTCAGCACACAAATAAAGTTGGCAAAAATGTACACTACTGCGCAATTTTGTGCATGCGTGTTGCAGCGAAATTTCCCTCTTGGAGAAGCTAGCACGCCGGAGAAATGAGACCGTGACACCGGGGACTCTATATAAACATGATGACCTAACCTGTGCCAGTACCTGAATACGTACACCCTCGGCCTCGTGCGACGTACGTACCTGTGACGTGAGCGCGCGCGATACCGTTATGTGCTGCACTGAAAACTTTATTTAGTCAATCGCGGTGAAAAATTCGTCAAACAGCGGGAAAAGAATTATAGTAATGCAAACGATAAGTCAAGTGACGATTTATTATCGGGGTATGACCAATCAAAGTCCATGAAATACAAATTATATAAATTGCTGGACAAATTAAAATCAGTGAAAGACTAATTTCAATCAGTGAAAGACTAATTTCAATGACGGACTAATCTACCGAGCGTCAACTGACAAATCTGCTTAGTCATGTAAATCAGATGTATGATTTTTAAGGTTGGGGCAAGTCAGTGCGGACATTGGTTTTTTGTATGGTGAAAAAAGATATTGCTTAAAATTCTTGTGTCTGTTTTCCATATTATATACTATATTTACAGCTTCCAGAGATGCTCAGTTAATCAAAAAATACAGCAATTTCTTTCAAACTTGAACTTTGTGATTGGAGGTTTTAAACCTTTTACATAAGTTCCAAACAAATTTCAGATGGGAATAATTAGTAAAAAGTTCTGTGTGGTGTTTTCATTCAATAGAAGTTGTGTTTTTGCTACTATAGCTTACCTGAAAATTCATCAAACTAAAATGGCAAAAACCAAGCAGTTCAACTTTTATTGTCTGAGATGACATTAGTTTTGGTAGTCAGATATGTTCAGCAAGTTTCATGATAATAAGCTTTTGATGCAAATTAATACCAGGAAATCTGACTGATTCGAGATTTGAACTGGTGACCCCTGGATTGCAAAGTTTGAATCCTGCTTAATAAGTTTGATTCTTCTCTCACTTGTCTAGATACCGAGTACTAATGGCAGCCTTTTCAAATAGTTGACATTTACATGACTAATTAAGTGCCGTGGCATGACTTATTAAATGCCTTGGCATTAGGCCAAAAAAAAAATAAGTCGGTCTCTGGTCAGCGCGCGCGTCGATTTGAATCTTGCGCGTCGATCTTTTTTTTCCCAAAATGTTCCGCGGTATAGCTCCAACAGCGCCCTCTATTTCCGCACCTCCTCATTTTTTTTGTTTTACCAAAGAGCACCAAGGAATGGGAAATTGCACCAAGGCAAATGATCGAAAGCACCAAGGCAAATTATGGAGGACACCAATGTACATGAGGACACCAAAAAAGCAAAATAGTACCCACCTTGTCTGTACAATCCAAGCTTGAAGAAAAAAAAAAAATCCGCGTGCCCGCGTCAATTCCGGAACTTTGGTCTGACCAGAGACCGAATATTATTATTTTTTTTTGGCCTTACTAATTCATTTTCTTGCATTACTAATTAATTTTCTTGCATTACTAATCATTTGAGAAGTTAGTCAAATAAGACACTTTTTCATGACTATAATTAGTCAAAATGACCCACACATGACAAACTATCAATAAGTCAAAATAAGACAGTGTTAATGACTAATTGTTGTTAGTCAATTAACTAAATAAAATGTTCAGTGTGAGTACTGACCTTTATCTATGACCTTCGAAAGACAGCCATGCACAATTACTGTCGATTATATACGGGATAAATAAAAAAGAAAGTTAGTTAGTAAAAACATGGCATCCAAATAACCAATCAACAGCTTAGTCCTCATTTCTGATTGAAATGACGTCACAGTTTCTAAAGTCGATTCCGATTGGCTGTCGCCGCGCTGAGTCGCATTCGGTGCATGTTATCATACGTTCGACTGCGGCTCTGCATATCATACACGTGTATGGGGCCGATGTACTGCAACATGGCACGGTCGGAAGATCTTTCACAAACGGTCAAAATGTTTTTTATCTCACCTCTTGGCATACTGTGTACAAACCAACGGGGTCCTGACCAATATTGACCCAAGTAATAAATAACAAGGCTCACAATGCATCCCCCATAGATCATATTTCACTTCATAAATCCAAAAATGTTTGTAAGTACAGTGTATTTAGTAATTAATACATGTTGTAATTAAGTTGAATTATCTTTTACTGTAATATAGTTGCCTGCATGTAACGGAGAGAATCATACCGAACAACACTATATAATCCTAGATTTGATTTCTAACTGATTTCAATAAAGGTAGAGTTGTTAATTCTGCAGCCGATTTCACCCCTGAAAAAAACCTTGATAAGTTGTGCTTTAACGGACTCCACGACAGTCCCGATTTGCTGGTAAAATGTCGATCATTTCAGTCACTACGCTTACGCAAAAATGATCGCGCAAGTTGCGTAGTTGCATAACTAAATTTTAAGTATCATGACACTCGTGATTTTGTCGTGAAATAGTGCGCAGCTAGCGAGCGTGAAAAGTTGCGCAACCCGAGAGTTACGCCATTGCGCGTGCGTACGGTTTCGTGAAATGGCTGTGCTGACTGGTACCCTGTTATTTTCTTCAATTTGCAAAACCATACCTTGCTAGCGATTGTTACCAGCGACGTTCTGACTTCGATACAAGTACATGCAGCGTACGTGCGTACTCCATATGCTATGATTTTGGTCCAGAACAAGGAAATTTGTAAGTCAAAAACACTCTAATTGCACTTAAATTTAGGATTTTTAACTTGTTTAAGCTGAAAGAGTGATATATAAGGAACTTATAGTTGATACATTTTGTCTTATTTGTGCAGAAATAACTGGAACAAGAAGCCTTTTTCTTGTGCGAGGCGTCGACAATTTCAGGCAGGGTTTGGCAAAACGTGGTTTGCAAAGAAAGGAGATTCCTACGAGTAGGAGCATCTCAACGAAGCTTTTCGCCTGTATAAACAGTCCAACGCAGTGCAGTGACTTGAGCGCTGTCTTCTCGTCTTAATTTTTGCAAAAACTCCAAAGTGTTTATGTCTTTTTGCAGTTGTAACGGTGAGTATAACTCCTGGGGCTCTTTTACTAGAAAGTATCCTGAATCTGCCGAAATCCACCAATTTTGTCACGCAAAAAATACTGGTATCCTGAGTCCATCAGAATCCCCCAGCATAGATGCTGGAGGTATCCTGAATCTGCCAAAGTCCACCAGCAAAAGTCTTCATGGATTCTGGCAAATTCAGGATACCATGGTGGCATAAAAAAATACAGCATGTTTTTCCATTGGGTCTTCAAAATCCATCACCTAAATTTCTGGTGCCAGTGGTCATGGTCATGGTGGTGGATTTTGACAGATTCAGGATACCATGTTGCTCGCATGTCAATTGTAATGTGTGTTGTTGCATAGGATCCATGGAAAAAGCCAATGCATGGTTCAACTGCTGGTGGATATGATGTGGGTTGTTTTTCCTTTTAACTTGGGCTGTAGTTAATTATGTATACTATGATGTTTGCATTGTCTGGAAGGGCTATTTCAATGAGCAGGTGAGCAATTGTCCCACCCCGGCAATCCAGCATTGCTTTGTCTGGATGGGTTATGTACATAATCCATTGTTTATGCCGAGGCCTAATATTAAGCCACAGTCACAAGCTCCCAACCGCCCAGTACATACATTTTTGTACAGCATGTGACAGACCTGGCAGGGCTACAAGCAGTATTTCATGACCACAAACATAGCCAAAGAGTTGCTCTGTTGAGATCCTGAATCCACCAAAGTCCCCCGCCCAACAGCTCAATATGGAGGTATCCTGAATCCATCAAAATCCTGCAGTTCCGCTAGGCTTACAATCCCAAATCCATAAAAATCCCCCAGTTTGTGCAATATGGAGGTATCCTGAATCCGCCGAAATCCCCCGAAACAGGGGAGTGGATTTTGATTCAGGTATGTTAGGGTTAATACAATAAAAAAGATAAGAATGTAGTATCCAGCCAGAAGACACTTTGGTTGTCAGGTTGTGTACAAAGTCAAGTGCATTTCAAAGTATTTTCTAACAAAATTGGAAATGTTTCTCAGTCCCAGAAAGAATGTTGCATCATGACAGAACTTTTTCCTTCAAATATCATCTCAATCATTTGTCAATAAAGGAAGCTATGGTCAGTTATTGCAAATATGTTGAAAAGACAATAGCCCGACTGCCTCTGGCCGTACACTACACAAGCTCTGCTCAGTCAGTAGCCGTGTCTAGCACACAGCCCTGTTTGACCTCAGTTTCTCGTCCCGAGGTCAAGCACGCATTGCCCAAAAGCGTACGCGAGATTTTATGAGATTTATTCGAGACTACAGAAAAAACGAATAGTGCCTCAATACATGCACTGTTTGGCCAAGATGGCTAAATAAGTGAAAAGTTGAAATCGTGTGCTTTATTTTGATAACAAAAATAACTGCTTTTGACAAATTATATAGTGTTGTTATGGCCTGTCAAACAAAATCATATTTTTGTCAACAAAATCGAGGGCCGATAGTTTTTAGGTGTACATTCGATTCTTACAAAAGGCCGAAACAAATGGCAAGGCTTAGAAGACAGAGGAGAAAGTATACGCTTCATTTTCATGCAGGAGACTTCTAATGTTTGGTCCAAATCGTCGGTTGAAAAATGAAGACTTTTGCGAGATTACATGATTTGCAATCACAATGTAGGCGTGTAAACGTACGCCGACGTACGTTGGCCTGAAAACATTGTGAATAGCACGCGCTATTCGCGCAATGAATGACTTATGAATATTAAGCAGGCCATGCGCGAGCTCGACCAATCAGTGGGCGTTTGGGTCACAAGGTCACACCGTGTTTGGGTTCCTCGCTCTATGCTTTACAATGGCGATGATCTTTTCGCGTTGTGAAAAATGGAAGTTGTTGGAAACATTAGGTGTACATCGAATTCTTAAAATATTAACGACATCACGTTCACGATTTTTGTAGATGAAGGTTCACTCTTTCGTTTGATTACCTCAACATTTGGGAGACTTTCGTTGTTCTCGAAAAAAAACGGATATTTCATGACCTAATTTTTAGTCGATTTGTCCGTGAAATAATATCATCAAAATGCATCGAAATCCTTTTTTTTTGTTGAAAAAAATACCTTGAAAGATGTATGAAGTAGGTCTTTAACTACCTAAAACAATTTTGTTTGTTTGTTTGGATCGGTTGTGGTTTGCCATACCCGCTGCTATGTACATCAGATTCGAACCAGCCAACTGATCCCGTTTGCTCGGTGGTGGAGTGGTAAGACATCTGCACTAGAAAACAGGAGGTCTTGGGTTCGAGTCCCACCCGAGTGATTTTTTTTCCAACTTTCACTTGGGAGGTAACACACTGAGTATAGGCCTACAGTGTTTAAACTTCGGTGAATATTCACTTTTGTTAGAAAAAAACTTTTTTATTAAGATCATTTTTTTATAACTACACATTTACTCTGTACAGAGCCACCCCAGGGTACAGGTGGACTTGCAATGCGTGCAAAGTAACAGGGTGGGAGAGTCCCACCCGAGTGATTTTTTTCCAACTTTCACTCGGGAGGTAACACACTGAGTATACATTGTTTAAACGTCGGTGAAGGGCAAAACCTAATTTGATTTATATTACCCCGACGCAAAATTTCATCTTATAAAAGTGAATATTGTTTCTATTTTCCAATTTTGTGTTCAACATACATTTGCGATGACTGACCATCGTTAAGGACATAGATTTAGGCGGGCAGTTGCTTTGTCAAGTAATGGAAGCTCATATACAATGTACATGTACATGTTCACAGGGCAAATTTTTACTGGCCCTTGTGGGCCTTGTCCAAATCTACCCATAGAGAAAGGACACACCGGAGTAAAACAATTTTAAGTTGGGGGCTTTTTGTATAGTGTCATAATTTTTGGATTTGTAGGGAAGCACAAGATGGTTGTCAAAATCGTCCATCTGCAGTCAGGTATGACTCCTTAGCCACAGAGACAAGGTGTATAAACCTGTGGTTAGTGGTACTAGGTGGTACGTGTATGTAGGTATTAGTGGTTTCAGTATGACTCGTGTTCCTTTACCCCCTATAACGGAACTTCATTTGGCACTTTACGTGTGCCCCAACGTCATTCACCGCGCAGTTGTATTGTCACCTTGTACAAGTTTACATGTAGTCTTAAGTGGCATCTAATAATATATGATACACTTGGCAGCATTACTTCATTAAGTCTTTGTGCCTCATAATCAGTTATAAATTGATGAGTAGGTTAAATCCTGGTATGTGTAATTTGTCTGACGACATTGTGTGTTTATTTCGCAATGTCTAAATCATATAAAAATCGGTTACGCACCAGTTTCTGTTCAGAGTAATGAAGGCGAGCTTCGTTTCCCGTATTCCTGTAAGGTGTTTGAGATAGATTTCATTTGAATGTGTTCTGGACCATGTTCATTACTTTGAAGATGCACATCTACATTTTATAATATCGTAGAAAAGATATTTTGATTTCACCAGCAACATTGATGTTTTAGGACATCTCGGAATTGTAAGTAAAAGTAACCTTGTTAGTTTTGTGAACATCTTTTTATGATTGATGTAAATTATGTTTTAGCTGTAAATCATTCTCATTTGCGTTTGCAGGAAAAAGAGATATAAAACTAGCATGTCGGTCTGAGCCTCGTCATACATGTATGCTGCATGCTGGTTATGAATAACAGGTTTTGGAATGTTCAAGAAATGGTCAAAGTTATAACAATCAGATAAATACTGCTAACCTGGGCCTAATTGCTTGGCTCTACTAACCACAGAATTCCGTGCTTACGTTAACAAATTTTGTGCTAACCGTGCAAGCAGAAAAATTCTGTGCTAACCCTTAAGCACAGAGTCCTTAGTTATGGGATGTACGCATGTGCAGAAGCAAAAATTCCTCGCTAACGCGTGACATACACTAACCGTAAGCACGGAATTTTCTGCTACAGTAAGCAGGGATTTTTCGCTAACTGTAAGCAGAGCCAAGAAATTGGGCCCTGACAGTAAACTACTGGTCCCTGTTGCTGATTTGTGTTGTCGGATGAATTAGTTTTACATGTAGAACTCCTTGTAAACTACAGTTACTGCTACATTTGTGTACATGTACATGTACACGTGTGGGGAGTGTGGTCTAGTGGTTAGGGTTCGTAACTCTTGCCTCTCTCCACCCATTTATACTCATGTATGCTGGGGTTGGCTCTACTGGCAATAGCGGGAGAGTAACCTATGATTGGACTGGCATGCCATCCAGGGGGAATTGAAATATCATTTGTTTCATGCCACTGAGACTGGAGATAAACACCGGCCTGAAGGGTCATATTGGCTCATGACAGAATTGTTTTACATGGACATGTACCGGTACATGTAAATGGAGTAAAGATTGAAAGGGAAAGCCTGACTAGTAGTACTAACTTTGGTGACTACCCAGGAAAATGAGACATTATCTCTAGAGGTCATAAGTTCCCCATTTCCTGTGTAAGGTCAATGTGCACTGTCCTGAGGATCCATCGTGTGCAGTAGCTAACAGCATTGAGTGTATGATGTTTACTTTGCTTTTATAATCTTTGCAATCTTCTTGCAATCGTTTTTCAATGGATTGATTGAAAGGGAGAAGTGAGTGTCATATCTCAGGTGGTCTATTGACACATACCGTTACCTGATCTTCCTTGAATGTTAAGTTGGATGATGTGCAAGTGTGCTCTGATGCTGAACATGCATTGTATGTTCAGAAAGATTATACTTGTTTTTGAACGAAGAGGCGACACTAGAACCTAATGTCATTTTGTGTACATTGTAATGCATCTTTAACTACCTTTATAGTACATGTACTTGGAATATTGTAATTTTTTCAGGTTTCAAATGTGTAGGTTAAACATTAATATACATTGTTTGAATATTACAGTAAATGCAGAATACTGTTAGTCGTGTTCGTGATGCAAAATAAAAAAGTGTAGACTTTTCTTTTCTCCTTTTCTTGTTGGATTCATATGATTACATGTCCATACAATAGTTTGATTATGTGACTTGTTTTGTGTGCACAGATATTTTGGTGAGGGTAGCCAGTGCTAAACGCCCACCGTGCCGTCCATGCACAAAGCAGCATCCACACATACATCGGCATCCACCCGACGATTTTATGTCTTCTATACCGAACTGTCCGAGTCATCCCTTAAATCACAACAAAAGATTCAAGTGGAGTAAAGACAGACAAGACAACAGTGACAACACCAGGAGGCAGTCAGGATGGCGCTCAACGTCAACCGCAATGTCACCGACCAGTTCTACCGCTACAAAATGCCACGGCTCATAGCAAAGGTTTCATGACATTTGTTGTCTTTCTGCTGGTTACAGAGGGCCAGTCTAGGGTCCTCTTCGCACCTATCTCACTGACGGACTCACTGAGTGTCACTTAAGACTTGGACTGATTGTAGGCTGGTGAAGAGAGTCGGGCAGTGCTATTGTATAGGGTTTCCCTATGATGCCAATTAATCTGCCAAATCCAGCTCACTTTGTAGACCTGGGCCCAATTTCATGGCTCTGCTTACCGTTGGCCAAAAATCCCTGCTAACTGTGGCAGAAAATTCCATGCTTACGGTAAGCGTATTTCACGGTTTAGCGAGGAATTTTGGCTTCTGCGCATGGGTACATCCCATTACTAAGGACTCTGTCCTTACAGGGTTAGTGCAGAAATTTTTCTGCTTGCGAAGTCAGTGCCAAATGGTGATCGTAAGCACAGAATTCTGTGGTTAGCAGAGCCATGAAATTAGGCCCAGATGCTTGGAATAACCATTCTGAATCGATCGAATTCAATTTTGTGCACTCTGGATCTGACTAGTCTGGGACTAGCTTTACTAGTCCTACCCTGTCTGGTCTAGTTATAAAATTAAAAGAGTCCATATCAGATAGTCCTGGCAACAGGGGAGTATTCTGTATTATCTGTTGGTCTTCAGAATCAACGCATCGTTTTTCTGTAGCTGCTACAGTGACAGCGACTGAATGTGGATGAGGATGATCGGGAGAAAAAAACGAAGAGTGGAAAGAGACTTCAGATCATGACGCAGAAGAATACATTTTCAAACTGTGAATTTAGATTTGAAGTACTTATTTTTGTGTTTGTAGGTCGAGGGCAAAGGCAATGGAATCAAGACAGTCATTTCCAACATGGTGGAGGTTGGCAAGTGCCTGTCTAGACCACCAACATGTGAGTATCAAGAAATGTCAAGAGTTAAAAGGCAGGAGGGAAAAGCCCTGTACTGTTACATTACTGACTTTATATACAATTCTGATCAAGTGTGAGCTTGCTTTTCTCTTACAGTTGTGAAATTACAGAGGTAGTACAACTTACTGAAAATAAGACACTAGAAGATAAGGAAGATAATGAAAATGTTCATCCTGGGATGGAATTGGCCACTTACTCCTTGATCACAGAGACCTTGTTCAGGATTGATTTCTGGTGTTTTGCCGTTTTCAATCCCTGCAGATCCAACCAAGTTCTTTGGCTGTGAGCTCGGAGCTCAGACTCAATTTGACTTCAAGAACGAGCGCTTTATCGTGAACGGCTCCCATGACGTGTCCAAGTTGCAAGATCTCCTGGACGTCTTCATCAGGAAGTATGTGCTGTGTCCCGAGTGCGACAACCCAGAAACTAACTTGGTAAGACCATATCAAAACGTGCAATAAGAGTGCCTTGTGAGTTCAGAGGGGAAATTTACCAGCTGGCAGGTGACAGGCAGAAAAGTGAAGTGGGCAAAGTGAAGTGGGTGAGGTGAAGCAGGCGAAGCAAAGCCCTGTTTATTATTTATATATAGTCGGCTGTATCATTGGTAATGCTGTTTTTTTCCTCATGCCTGTGTCCTCTTCATACTGAAGATTGCTAGTCATCAGAAGGACTTTCTTAACATTTTTTCTCAAGATCATATACTAATGATTCCATTTTAAAGTGAAACGATTTACAGGTTAAGCAGAAGTTGGAGAAATTCCCTCAGTAGCTTATCTTCCAATATTGAGTATAATACTCTGTAATGTGGTGTGTTCGGTCAACAGATTGTAAAAAGATCAACCATTGGGCAACACTGCGTTGCCTGTGGTCACCAGGGCATGATAGACATGCGCCACAAACTCACCACCTTCATCACCAAGAACCCACCGGAGCACGACCCGACCACCATCGGCTCCAGCAAGACTGAGCGTAAGTCCCGCAAGAAGGATGCCAATTCCAACCAGAACGGGGACGGGGACGCCAATGATGGCGTGGATGCGCTGGCAATGGTGAGATGGACTACCTGATCACACCAAACTCTTATGGAAGAAAAAGTTATAAAGTTCCAAATGAGACTCGAAAAGTTTGGCCAAAGTTGAACATTTCAGATAGGAACTCCAGAAGGGTTGTAAAGCCTTGTAGTTTGAGAGATTGGACTGTTTATGTGGAAGTAAAGAAACTAAGCGTAATTTGTGTTCATCCATTCTGGTTTCTCTATTTTTCGGATACATTGACCTGGTAATGTCAAAACCAGTTAAATGTTATAGATGCTTCTTAAAGCCAGTCTGAATTTCTTACCAGGATTTTTATTTGGCTTACCTGTTAGGTTATATGTCTAAATTCTTTTGCGTGAGGATGACAATGTTTAATCGATTTTGAAAATTTGACTTGGTAATGTATTAAAAATAATTGGCAGATATTAAAGGGACACTGGGTCCTGGAACAGCCCAATTGGGCTACAAAACGCGCTATGAACGAGATGATGTAAATCCGAAATAACATTTAAAAGTAGGATATAAACATCCACACAACTATCCTTTCAAAACTGGGCGTTTTTGTGTTATTCCTGTATTAAGCGTGCGAGAACAAATTTCGGGGTCCACTTTTGCGACCCCATAAATTCGAGCTGTTTGGGTGCTAGTTGAGATTTCATTTGTAAAGTTTCGCCTTTTGCGGATGTTGAAGAAACCCTTTTTTTTGCATTGGTGATTGGTCACCGCTGTTCCTGAGACACACAACGTGTATATTGTACACTGACACGAAAAACGTATTCGTACTCCGTCGTGTCCGATGTAAACATGTAGGTTTTTTCGTCTTTTCTCGGGAACGGTAAGACATTAGGTTGGTTTCCTTTCAACCAGATGTTTGAAATAGGCTAAGTACACAATCCAAAACATGACATTTTCGGGGATTTCAGGACCTAGTGCACCTTTTAAGTGTCCATGCAATGAACTCAAGGTACTTTCTCATTGCAAAATTAAAAGTCTGAGAGTCAATGCAAGAGTTAGTAAAGCTGAAATAAATCTGTACATTGTGTCTTGGTATTCATTGTGCAGAAGGATGCTGATGATGATTGGTCCGTGGATACCAGTGAAGATGCTGTGCTGGAACGCATGCAGAGCCTGACCAGTGGGGCCAAGGGGATCACACTCAATGACGATCTCAGTAAGACCTCCCAAGAACGACTGGATATCTTCTATATGTTTGTCAAGGTAACGTTCTAGTCATCCTTAACATATTTTGACCGCTCCAAAATTTGATCCGCACATTTATCAGCTGTGTAATTTAACATAACAGCAATATCAGTCAGTAATGTTTAGGCTATTAACCCCTGCTCTGGTGGTGTAATTTAATAGGGCTCGTTCAGTGACGTCCATTTCTGTAGGAGAAGTGCAACTGTGTATTTTATGCAATCAAGGACGCATTGCGCAGTGTTGAAAATGTTCCAAACACGCGTGCTGGTTGTTCAAAATGTGTTCGAAATACGATGCAGCTGATGCGCGTCATGCAAGTTGACGCTCAAAATGCCGATAGGAAATGACGTCATTTGAACGAGACCTATAGTGCAGGTCAACTGGACATGCCAGTGCACACTAGCTGACGTGTACTGGAGGGTTCTTTGACTCACTTGCCAGTTGAATTCTGGAGTGCAAAATGCCATTAGAAGGGTTATCTTTCAGTTAGCAATGGTTCAGATTTGGAGAGATTACTAAGGGCTTGGCAGCTCTGTACACAGGCATGCAACTTTTCCTCGGATCGGCTGATTTTCTTGTTTTTTTACTTCTCATGAATGACATTACAAATTGACAAATGATGTACAAAGTCTTGTGTGGTTTGGACTTCCTCCTCATTTTCCCCCTAATTTTCAGTTGCATGCCTGTTACAGATTTGTTTACTTTGTTCTGTGTATTGCCATTCGTACTATTGGAGTGCAGTGCAAAAAGCATAGGGTGGACGATCAGGTTGGCTTTGTCAAACATCAGGTTGGCTTGGTCATAGTGTCCTAACTCCCATCTCTAACGGTCTGTGTTAAAATACCTCATAAGCCTTGTTACCGATTTGGTGATACAATTGCGACCGCATCTCAAACATTTCCGTGAAGCGTTTTCAATAGTTTTTTCTTTTCATGCTAATTATCCAGCAGACACCCTTCATCACAAAAAAACTTAGGATCACAGTGATAATTGATTACTTTTCTTGAGATAACTATTCTCCCACCGCAAAACTAAAGTCCTGTTTTGAAAACTGCCTTAACAGAGCAAGAAAGAGCAAGGTAAGATGGCCGGGGCAGACAAGGAGATCCTGCTGGAGGCAGAGCGTCTGGACATCAAGGAGAAGGGTCCTCTCATTCTGGCTGAGCTCCTCCTGGATGGAGACATGATGAAACAGCTGTCCACCTATCGGCTGCACTTTCTTAGGGTGGGTACCGACAACTCAGGTCCACAAATCCTGCATTATCAATAAAAATCACTTTCCAAAACCACAAAACAGTATGGTACACTTACACGATGTTTTCACGAAGTGACAAAAACCGATTTTGAATTTTGCTGCCGAATTTATTGAATTTGACCAAAAGAACAATTTGACCAAGTTTCCAAGCAAAATATTGTTTACTTTTGAAATTATCGTAAACAAATATTTGCCAAAAAGCCTGAACTCAGTGTTTTTCTGTTTTAACAAAGTGACAAAAACTGACCTCGTTAGCAGGGCCAGAGGGATAATGCATTTCTCTTCACACGCTTTAGGATGGCAATAGACGCTCGCACTGTGAGCGATGTCGATAAAGAACAGACGCGCGCACGCGGCAGTGACGTATTACGCGCAAATGTAACAATTTGTCACAAGGTTTAATTATTTTCATGAAGTGATGAAGAGTGTGTACAAAGTAATGGGACAAAATAGTGAGGCCTCTGCGATTACCTTGGGATGACCTTTTTCCAGATATAGAGGTTTTTGTCACTTTGTGAAAACACCGTCTACTTGATTTCCCGATTTCAAACAGAAACTTGTTGTTTGGATGGTCTGCCTGATACAGATTCAGTTATCATAAGATTGTAATTGCAGGAGCCTTGGCAAGGAAATGCAACGTATCTATTTAAATGTTAAATGTGTGAAGTCCTTGCATGGGTATATGCGTGCATGTTTATGATGTAAATCAAGGACACACACGTGCAACATCATCGATGAATCGATGACAGGAACCAAATTGAGGACGACCTCGATTAGAAAACATGTACAAACCAATGAGAGCTGTTGCAAAAAATTTGGAGTATAAACAAAGGAAAAGAGAAGAGGAACAATAGAAACTCCTGAATTTACATATAAACAAACCTGTATTATCATGCGTCTACAATGTATGCACACTGGCTGTGAGAGTACTACTTTGTGCCCTGTGCGAAAGTTCCGTGATTGCTCAGTAAAAGACTATAGTGCAGATTACTTGTGATAGTTGACTGTTTTGACTCTATGTGTGTGGGCTTCTTATATAGCTAAACTACTGGCTGGCACGTGATGATGAATTGACCAGTTAGAATTTGGTTCTTGCTCATGAATATGTATGAGGTGGACTAATTCCGATTTCAGTTTAGCTCATTAAAGGTATAGTCCATCATTTGTAATTTGTGCATTTTGTTCGTTTGAAGCAACAAAATTGCTCAAGATCTAAAGAAGGGTGCTGAACAACTTACCTGATGAAGTTTCAGCTCAGCTTCAGCTGTGTATTTCAAGAAAAACAACATTCAAGGATCTCGCTTTCAAATCAAAAGTTGCTGAATCATGTTTTTAATGGGCCTGAATTCAGTGTCCGAGACACATTCTCGCTGAGCCGATTGCAGCTACGCGATGTCGCGCACTGATCCGACGAATTATAGCAACCGCACGCGTGTGCATCGTGCCAATGCTTGCGTGCACTTAGCCTATTGAAAAAAAAACGAACTACTAACGGAAATTTCCAACGGTGTGTCTTAAGACGCACCGTTGGAAAGGCCTTCTTTCGCTGATTTCTTCAAAATGACAGCTTGCCAGAAAGAACAATTTCACAGGGAGTTTAGTCCCCTTACTATCTATCAACCAAGTATGTTTTTCAACAATAATTATGCCAGTTACTTTTTGGATAGCTGCAAATGATGGACTGTGGCTTTAAACAAATTACAGCCATCTTTAGTACCATTTCTAGAAGGTTTCCGTGACAGTGTGATCTAGCTGTTGAATTGTTTATGTCCTATCCCTCCACAGTTCACCAATGATTCCCACAAGGCTCAGAAGTACCTGCTGGGTGCCTTTGAGCAGCTGTGTAAGACTTACGAGGACAAGCTGATGCCCAAGGTTCCAAGCCTCCTCAAGAAGATGTACGACCTTGACTTGCTGGAGGAGGAGGTCCTCATTTCCTGGTCCAAAAAGGTAACTTTTTTTGAAAGTATGAATCCACTTGTAAGCTGGAAAGGACAATGTCAAATTTCCACTCTTGCTTGATTTCTTTTGCTGGTCCCAGAGGGCCAGCCTAGTGTCCTCATACCCATCTCACTGACTGATTGTCACTTGTGACTTAGACTGGTGAAGAGAGCCAGGCAGTGCTGTCGTACAGGATTACCCCTGAAGGCCAATGAAATTGGGCTAAATCTGGCCTGTTGTGTAGACTAGATGCATGAAAACACTTCCAGTAAAAAGCCACTGTTAATCAACTGAATAGAATTTTATGTGCTGTGTGACCAGCTTTACTAGGCATCCAAGCCATTATTGGGCAATACTTCATGGTCGTTATGTACATTTTTTTTCTAAGGGCCAGCGGTTTTAAAGGAAAGTGATATTTTGACTTATCAGCGTGTTCCAATGACAGCATTGTGGAGCCAAATGTTCAAGAGCAATATTCTGTGAAAGATTCTATGAAATAATCCAGTGTGTGTATTTGCTCATTCTCGCCCAGCCGTCCAAGAAGTATGTGTCCAAGGAAATCATGAAGCTGATCCAGGAGAAAGCGGCGCCGTTCATCAAGTGGCTGGAGGAGGCAGAGGAAGATGACTCCAGCGATGATGAAGGAGTTGAGGTGGGTCCAACGAACCTGTGTGTGATACTGTCATTGTGGGGTTATGTCCAGGGTGGAGTGGGGCATGACATAAACAAATCTCATCCGAATGATAACAATCATCCACGTCTTTGATCGGTTGCATCTCATCAGTGGGTGAATCTCATCAGTGGCATTCAAGTGTTTTTCAATAGTTAATGGAAATTCCTCAGAACATTACAGGGAATTTTTTATTTGCCTGTCATTTTTTTTTCTGGGACAAGTTGCCTGTTTATTGTCGCCTCATGTGACATGGCCATATTGGCATAGACCCCTTGCACGTGAACTCTCACAGAGGGTAGATTTTGTCACTTGTGACCCTCCAGCACCAAACCAGTTAGAAGTTGCAAGGCTGTAGTTTGAGATTCAGCCAATAATTAAGCATAAACTATCAATGCAAATTAGGACTTGAAAATACCTATAACTCCATTAGATTTTGTCGGATTCTCCATATTCTGTGCAGCATTGGAAAGCTTATTCACTGTCCTTTCCAATGAGTCCAAAATTCCCAGTTTTTGCAAAAATTGGTCCAATTTTGCAGGTTTTGTGCTGGAGGATCACATTGAAGTTTAGTGACAATAGAGGTAAAGTGTATCTCATAGGTGTCGAAGAGGAGCAAAGACCTGCCCTTGGATGCATGTTCAGAAATGAGAGGTCCATGGTACCAAGATTTGTTTTTTAATTGCTGCGTCTGTCTTGGTTCCTTATTAACAGGTTGCATTGGTTCCTTATTAACAGGTTGCATTCACCAGAGACGGCAGAGACAGTAAGCCAAAAGCGGTGACCATCTCTCCACCTGCCAAGACGTCATCGGCACCAGCACCGGCGGACGATGACATTGACATTGACGACATCTGAAGACAGGGGAGATGGAACCAACCGGGAGCTTTTACTCCTGTCCTTGTAACTTTATAGGTTAACTCTGGCAACTGTGATTACACTAGGTTTGGGATTACGCACTGTGTATATCAAATGTGTATAGACAAACCAGGTTGAGGATATAAACACGTGTATAGCTATAGCTTCTAGTGATTCCTCTTCTCTGATTTATCTTAAATCTAAACATTTTCAATTGTATTTTTAAAAATGCCAATTTTGGGGGGTCTTGGGCAGTGATACTTTGTAGATGCAGGAAGAACTACATGTGGCTGTTCAATTGCGTGTACAAAATGCCCCTTAAAAAGGGAAAAAGAAAAACCTTGAAACATTTGATTTGTTGTGGTAGTAGCGAATGTCTCTTCCATAACTTGGTACCCCCCATCAATCGTTAAGTGATATGGAATAGGTGCAAGTGCTGCCACATTTTGAATCTGTCCTACGTTGGTAGCTCTGTGATATTTTTGTATCGTGCACAGTTGTTTTTTCCCCTTCTTAGGGATTCTGCTGAAAGATTCTACCAAATTTTGTTCATCTCTGCTCTACGTTCATGAAGCAAGCTTCATTAATTTCATGTCTTAAAAAAAGATTTTCTCTTTTTTTTTGCTTGTATAAGCGTTTCAAATCTTTGTTTTTCCGAAAATTGAAGGTAAAGCCTTGATATGAGTTTAATGGTTGGGAAAAGTTAACATTGTTTATAATTACGCAAAGTTTAACTGATGTTTGTCTGTGTAAAGTTAAATTGTTTCAAGTCACAAAATAATATTGATATACAAGTCCAGTTGGACCTCTATTGAAGTAAAAGTTCCTGCTTATCATTAAATTGACCTGATCAAAATTGGATTCTGTTGGATATTTCGCGATAGTTTCACTGTTGAGATATGGCCATTGTATTTTTTTAGTATTGCCCGTGAGTATACACATGAACATGCTGTTATAAATTTGCTGCACACCGACTTAATGGCTTGTTTCTTTCATCGTAGTTAATTCGTCCCGGAGCTTGCTAGATGTGTTGCTTAAGATGCTGTACAAAATGCAAAAATATTCCACTATTCAGATTCCGTGTTAAATGCTATGTAACTGGGTTATAATCTAACCGCACTTTACGATGTGACATTTTCGACAATTTAAAGTATACTTCTTTAAGCTTTGTCTTGAGAAATGTTAAGTTTAATCGCCATCTGTACAAACAGCGTATGGATGAACTTATGAGAAGAAAAAAAAAGGTGTATGAGTCAAATTTCTCGATTCTGATTACTTTCTGTTTGATTTGATTGATTCTTACTGTTTGATTTACATTTGAGGTCCTTGAAGGAAAAGAAATTCTTTTGAGGCGAGGAAATTTTGGTTTGGTTCGTTGGGTTCATTGAAGTACCAAATGGGAACTACAGTTAATAATAGTTAATGATTGGATACTACCTGATAAAGGTGTGAAAGGAGTAGCTGCGTTTCTTAAGATCAAGTGTGGATTTTAACACCGTTTTGTTCAATACAATTCTCATTGTTTCTGCATGTGTTACGGAATTGTATGAGTTGTGTTTATTTCTGTGTCCTGTGTGTTTCAGAGTAATAAACAGGAACCTCAAAAATACAGACTTTACATTTGTGAGTTTGGGAAAAGTTAGATGAATTTAAACGACGGGAAATATTGGTGAAAGCTCCGACCCCTGTGCCGTGGCCTCGTGGTCTGGAGTATTGAATTCGCGGTCTGCGGGTGATTCTGCAGGTTGTGGGTTCGAGTCCAGCCAGTGGTTACGGTGCGTGTGCCCTTGGGCAAGGTACTTTGTCACTCATTGCTTCTGTCTATCCAGGAGTAAATTGGGTACCTGTGGGGCAGAGATGGTTATTGTGGTTGATTTTGGCTGCTTTGCACCAAAATGGTAGCATCTAGCTGTATACTCCCAAGGAAGCTGAGATTGTCTTGGGCATGTTTCACTGGCCCAATGAGCAGGGTAATAATGATGTAGCGCCTTGAGCACGTACGTGCGCTTTATAAATACCAGGCTTTCAATTATTCCTTCTTTTCTCACCCTTTCCTTGTTTATTAATTAATTTTTTTTGCGTGGCTCCTACTTTTCCTACTTGTTTTCTTGAAATTTCCTACTTTTCCTTGAAATTTCTTACTTTGTTTTGGTCCCACAGCTCCGAAAAATAAAATCTCTGATTTCTGATAATTTGTTTCAAGAAAAAGCAAAAATTAGCTTCACTGGTGTCCATTTGTACAATAACATGAAAGTCTATGTCTTTTGAGAATTCTGACGTTTTAGAACAACACGACCATTATGGCTTTTTGTATATAAACGCGCTGAGATACGACGTTTTTCCGTACACGTTCAAGCATGTAATCCAGATACCACCTTATTACGTCATAATGGCGTAATATTCTTCATTGAAACTCTCCTGTAATAATATATGGGTATCTCGTAATGAAAATACACAAACACCTGAATTTAGGACCAATTTAACAGTTATAACGTTTTTACACACTGACACGACGAATTGTTGCCCACAGGAGATGGAAAAAAACCAGGCGCAAAACCCTTGCCGCTTCGATGACTGCTTGTTGATTGAACTATTTGAAAAAAAATGGTAGATATTCAACTTCAGATTGAATAAAATGCAATATGAAAGTCAGTTAAACAAAGAGAAGTTTTTATATTTGATCTAATACTGCGTGAATTCGAAAGCTTATCTTAAAACTCATTGAATTTGGTTTTAAAAACCAATGCTGTCTTGTGACATTTGCACAGGTTGTTTGTTTAAAATTGCGCTCAGGAGAGTTCTTCGAATTTTATCATGGGACAGAATAGTTCTTTTTAAATTATATAATTAAAAGTCAATAAAAAGGAAACGATCTCAATCAAAGAACGAGGAATTTTATGGTTTGCTAATGGAATGGTAGCAACAAGAAATATTACCAAAATATTGTTTCCTCCTTCTACCCTGGTATTAAGCGTTGGTTTCCTCGGTCCTTGAAAATGTAGACAGCTCCAGGCAGTTGTCATGGTGCTGTTATGGATGGATACCGTTAATCGAGTAAAAGGATGAGTTTTAACAGAGGGATTATTAACGTGTCGTTAAAGTGTCCGCTAGATGAAGCTGTAATTTTGCTTAATGATCAATCTACGACAGATATTGAGCCAAACATCGCTTTGGCAACTGCCTGGATCTGCCTGCAATGCCACACACCGACGAACCATGCACGTAATTCAAGGATAAATAGGAGAAACACAGTTAATTAGTAGCATATTGTTATATGCAGCCATACAGTGTTGTATAGACTACTGAATTTTGCTTTTTTTCATGGGAGCGCCAAATTGTGTACAGAGATAAGTTGTTGTAGGCCTTTCAAAAGTATCTTTTATGAACACGTTTACCACACGTAAGACCTATGTTTTTATAAACTAAGTTATGTATACCCTTATTTTAAAATTTTATTTTATTTTCATATGTGAATTGTTGTACTGCAGTACCTGCTTCTGTACATGTAGCTTGTACCATTGGATCCAAACAAGAGCCAGATATCTCAATTCAGCTTTGAAATGAAAATCTGCACAAGATTTTTTCACTTTTCTGAGACAGTTTTATTAAATAGCTGTGAGTCACCAAGCCTTTGCTTAATAAATTTGGCCATACAATTACAATATGTCAATGTCAGAGGATTACTATCGGTCCATTGGGTGAATTTTGATAATTTTGTCATTATTAAGGCAAGTTTAAGCTGATTGCCATCAACTTTGGTGACCTGTGCTAACTTGTTAATAGCGGTCAGCTTTTTACCTAAACTAGTTTTTGTGGGATGCCTATGACAACCGGTTTAAAAATCATATTCATAAATACCTGAGACAGTTTACCCATTCATATTTATCGAGAGCCGGCCCGCCTTGAAGTGGCCGCTTTTAAACGGATGATAAAGACCGACTGCATGGTCTTAAACACTTTTCCAGTGTCACATGAAATTTGGACTCCTATGAAACCCGGTGCATTTTGCCATTCTATTGGTTTGGTTGAACGGTATCCTCAGGTCACGTAGGCTAACGCAATACTACCAGTGAGTAAACATGCGCGTCGCCAGGATATTTTCTACAAGGGGGCAAAGTACATTATTTCCACAAATCCTTGTACTTTCTCGAGCATTGTTCTCATTTTATCTTCGTCTTTTTTTCGAGAGTGGGAGCGGGAATATTTGCCCACCCTACACCGGAAGGGCGCAACCCCCTCCATGTGCAAGTACACAAAGATCTGTTCCAAGACATTTTTCTTTGGTGAAATCCAAGCTTTAGGGAAACCTTCCGTTTTCGGTTGAGTTTTTTTTTTCTGTGGGGTTTTGAATTTTCAATTTTAACAGTACTTGCCTTTTTCTGAATAAATTTTAAAGGAAATCGACGCATAACTGACTGTCACACCATGGGTCTGTTTTTCCCATGGAGGACAGTAGTGGATATATTTGACAAATTAGCAGGACAGAAAATCAAACTCCGGACGGCAAAATGTGTATGATCAAGACAAAATACTATTTAATTACGACAAATAAATATATTAAACAAACGGAAATTTACTATGTACAAATTATTTCAATTGAATTATGCCACTATATGAATTACTTATACTTTGAGTGACGGATACTCAACTATATCATGGCATTATAAGGATCCTGTATTATGTGTTATACGGCCGTTTCCAATACCCCAAAACAAATGCAATCACCCCCCTAAACAGTCACTGTTCAAAACCTTTTGAAGGACTTGCCGTGTTCAAAGCTCACACTTGTGACACGGGTGGTCGATTTGGAGCACCAGTCACACACACAACATCCCTCCGGCGCTTTGACGATCCCACTAAGGCGGATGAACTCCGGGCTTGGGGAACTTGGGTGACCTCTCCGGGCCTTGGAATCTGGCTCGATGCCTGGTCCACACAGGACTCGGTTCCGAATCTTCCTCCTGACTCTCTCGGTAGACCGTGAGCTAGTCTTGGGAGTTGGCTAACTGTTGTTCACACAGAACAAGCTATCTGGTTCACCAAGAACCTAGGAATTCTCTATTCCCACAGGGAAAAGCCCTTTAAAAAAAGGTTAAACATAATTCACAGTGAAAATTAGAGTGCCTACCGACTTATGATCAAATTTACATTCGCTCCATGCTCAAGCTCAACCCAAATTTCTGGAATGAAAATGGCATTAAAAATCTTCAAAAATTCTTACAATTTATCCTACTTCATCAACTATATTAATTTTAATGAAAATAAACTTGATTACAAAAGGCAATTCTATACATCAATCTCTAAAGATTAACTTCAAAATGCACCATTTCTGGACTATCACTATTCTCCCAAAATATTCATAATTTCTGTACTATGCACTTCTATTACTGAATTATATTGTATAAAGCAGGATGAAATAAAACTTACAGTTTGCAGGATAAACTGGCTTTTTAAATCATGGGCCACGCCCTGGTACACACAGTACCACTGTATATACATGTACATGTACATGTACTCACACAGGACTGCACACAGCGAAGTCTAGAATAGCAGTGCCCTGGGGAATGCACATGGCATCCAAGTCCTAACAAAAGTACTCAACCATGACATTAATTTGCATACTGTCATTTGCATAAGAAAGATTTAGCTCTGCTGTACACTCTGGGTAGCCTCAATTCTGGATGGGGGAGAATTAAATTAACTTGTGCTAAAATAAATGTATAAGTGAAAATCCCATAATTAATTACATTAATAAACACAATGATAAATACAAAAATTGAAACATTATTTAAAAATATAAATCACACTTTGTGACACTGACATGAATAAAAGAAAACTTGCTAGGTGCATTATGATGGTGTGCTGGAACAGTTTTAAACGTTTAGTGTAAAAAAAAAACGGTTTGGGGGTTGGTCATTGATAATGGCCGGCCCGAGCCGAAGGTGAGGGATATTATTTTTTTTATTGGTTTATTGCATAAAATTCATATTGCAGAAAAATGCTTAATTACATGACATTTACAATGTTATATAAGAAGACAGCTAAAACAAATATTTATGAAAAAAAATGGAGATTACATTTACTGTTACAGCACCATTTTATTCCCATTCATAAATACCGTTTGGTCAAAAAGTCAAAAGAATTCAAATATTGACACGTTTCCAACCATTTTACTTCATGTCTTGCGAAAAACCAACCTGGCCATGTATATGGTATATGTGCCTCGCACCCGTAGTGCTAAACATCTCCTTATATGGGGAGTGGCGCGCGCACATGTCGTGTACCGCGCGATGTAGCGCAGCCAACGCATGTTTTACCAGCGTGTTTAAAACCACCCAGGTGATGAGCTTTCGACCAATAGGAATGGGTTAACTGTCTCAGGTATTTATGAATAAAATGGAAACCATAATTTGATCGAAGCTGAAAATCACGAGTTCCGTGTAAGAGACGGAGCACACGCATGTTCCACCAGGCTATACCCACGCATGCGCGAATCTGAAGAGCATTTCATTCCTAATGACTTGGTCGGAGCTGTCTGATTGGTTAAGAATTAAGAGAATATGAATATTTATATTACACCTATATCGTCCGCATCTGATAGAATGGAATATGGAGCATTCCCATTCTTGGAGGGGGTAACGCTGTTCCTAACAGTTTAGTTTTCCATAATTTTATTATTGGGAAAATCAGTAACTTGACATATTAGATTTTATAATTATATAATAATTATACCCTTCCGTTTAATATTCTAAAGGGAATCTTTTGAAAATTAAAAAAAAGATCATGCTAAAATAATAATATACACTGATCCAGGGACAGACATCTCAATCAAATAGTGGATGCTTCCTCATTGGTGCAGGTGAGCTATCATTATTAGCCCTTTCTCTGGAAACAAATGCACATACACCCCGTTGGGTTCATCAGTCCGAAATCATGCTAGTCAAGTCTCTAGATAAAACACGACTGTCTAGCGACTTGTCCACAAATCCAGACTGTGGGTAGCCGCAGACAGCCACAAACCCCTCCCTAGCCTCTGCACTGTGACACTACCGTTTGACTTGCAAACTATAACAGGTTTTACTAACGTGTTTGCAGCGGAACTTAGCGCGGTAGGCAAACCGTGGATGCGAAACGTAGGCTACTTGGAATACCGACGAAATTTTTTAAGAACTGTGTTTGGACTCCATTTTATAGTATCCTAGATTCTGAATACTCAGCTGACTGATGATGACTCCAATGTTAGGTGCCCTCATTTTGCTTGCTGTGGCACACTACTGCGTTCCAGCAATCGCAGGCGTCTGCCCAACAGGCTGGGAACGTTTTGGCGACTCATGCTACTTTGCCAAGAAGGAACGCATGACGTGGACAAATGCAGGCATGTTTTGCGAGCGGCTTGGCGGCAACCTGGCCGTGCCTAACTCGCAGGAAGAGCAAGATTTCCTGTGGATGACCGTCGAGGAGTACCTCGGTCCCTTCTCGAGCCCTCCCTGGGACTACGGGACGTTCATAGGCTGTGATGACGTTGCCATGGAGGGCTCATGGTACTGCAACTCACTGCCGTTACAGTATGAGAACTGGGCTCCGAACAAACCAGATAATTACCACAACGGGGAACATTGCGCAATAATCGTACCCTTCGAGGGGCAGTGGGACGACGGGTCGTGCGACTTGATTAGGTTCTCCGTTTGCGAGGTCCGTCTCTCCCGTGTGGCGTTTTGCGAGACATCCGCGGTCCGAAGCTTTACAGAAACCCAGTGTGCGTTGGATGGCAGTGCCGCGGAGCCACCACCGGTAGGGCACATCTTGTCCTGCGGTAAAGCTTGCCGATCCGAGCCTTACTGCCGCTCCTTCAACCTCATGCAGCTCAGCGCAGGTGAGATGTACTGCGAACTGCATGGGGCAAACTGAAACTCCGCCATTTACACCGTCTTTGATGAGGAAAACATTAAAGGAAAAGAGTGCGGCAAAACGTATAAGTATAAAGCGGTGGATCTCTTTGATCAACCGAACTGCAAAACACTCGAAACATTAGAGATTTTGCAGTTGGACATTTAGGACTGATTTTTACAGTCATTTTCGCTAAACGCTAATAATTTGCTATTCACTGATATATGGTGTAACCCTTTTCTCTAAAGTTTGTATTTAAGTTGAAAAAAATGCTACTTGTTTCACTCGTGGAGGTTATTCGCCTTATTACGACTTAAAATCGTCCTCATATTGCAATATTTTGCCGTATACATATCGCGCTATGAAAACAACATTTATAATATTCATAAGATGGAATCAATATTATCAATATTAGGTTTTGCCCTTCACCGACGTACAAACACTGCATACTCAGTAGGAGGTCGTGGGTTCGAGCCCCATCCGAGTGATTTTCTGCAACTTTCTTTCCAGAGGTAACACACTGAGTATACAGTGTTTATACGTCGGTGAAGGACAACACCTAATATTCATTAACATTTATATTATTGGTGAATAATTGATGTATGTGCGTGAAAATCTTTTTGAATTTCCTAGTTCATTCCTCTCAACATTTTTTGTATGATTTTTTTAGATGATAAAAATGCAAGTGCAAATTTTATGGCCAAGGGAGAGAGTAACGAATGGATAAAATGTTACGTCAGTTTTTTTTTACATTAATAATTAAATGCACAGTTTTCAAAAAAGACCTATACTGCCGAAAGCTCTGTTTTGAAAAATATCAGTTTTTGTTTGCCGTCTGTTCTAATGGAGAGAACAAGCTATTACGAAGAACAAACAACGCAACAAATGAAATTTCTTTATCTTTTTGACAAAGATTATGTTAGGATTGAAATGTTAGGCCGTATAATTTGCTATTTTTATACCAGGTCAATCCAGTCAGCAATCGATTTTCACTGTTGCGTTTCAAGGTTTTTTTTGGGGGGGGGGGGGGGGGCAAGGACGGCAACTTACCCTCGGCGACATTTTGCCAATTTGTGATGTTTTGGTTTTGCTTTTTTTTGGGGGGGGGGGGGTGGGGCGCCCGATGAATTGAAAAATTCGTGGTTACCTTCCACTTTTTTTTTTAGAAAAATTACCCATTTTGCGACCCTCCCCAGGATACTTTACTGAGTTTGCAGCAGTTTTATCATTTGCATATTTCTTTATTTTGTTAATACTTTCTGTCGGTGATACTAATTCAAATTGTTGAGGGAATAAATTAATTCACTTTCAAGTTTGTATTAGTTTATATAACTTTAAGGAATTGAACAAGTGTTGATATTCGTTGCTGGATGTGAAAAAGAGCTGTATGACTTGTGATTATTTCTGTTTGTGTGTGTATAGGGGTCTTGAATGGAACTCCAAACCCAGATTTGATGATTTCAAGAAAACTTATATGAATTTATTGAACTCAACTGACGATATTTGTCTTACATGTAAAAAACACCTGTTCGGCTAAATCTGTCCAATTCTTGATAGTTTTTTGCAATCCAGATGTATTCCCTGACACTTGGGGCGCTGTTCAATTGCCGATGGCATGGACATCGCGAGGGGGGGGGGGGGGGGGGGGGGGGGGCAAAGGGGGCAAAAAGAGGTGCGAAGCCATATTGCCGGTTAATTTGATGGGGGCGGGGGGGGGGGTAGGGCAAATGCTCCACTGCTCACGCTCGGAAAAATTATAAATTGAGAATATAATGAAAAAGTTAAGGAATTTTGGGGGAAAATTTGCTTGCCCCCCCCCCCTGGAAAAAAATCCTGGCGACGCCCATGGCCGATGGGACTGGACTCCATCTGGCTGTTCGCTTTTCATGGTGGCATGTAATCCTGACAGTGACACAATTTTGCCGACAAGAACGACGAAGTTGCCGACGAAACAAAGAATGGGCGGGTTTGTCCTCGTATCCCTCTAAGGGTGCAGACTAGTGAATAGACTGCCATAGACCTTAGCGGTAATTACGCGCACATAACAAAATTATTAAAAATACAGGTCGCTGAGGTGTTCAGTACACGCATCAAATTAAAGCTTATTTCATCATCTTCCATTTTCTGTTCAATTTTGTTGGGGTTAACCGATGACTTTTGGGAGAAAATTCCATCCAAAGATGATCACCCCTAACAGCAATCCTGAAGCCCATCGCCATTTTGAAAATGGACACCTTCGCTCCATTGCAAAATAGAGCCATTTTAGGGCCTAATTTCATCCACATTTCACAGAAATACGAGCTAGCAGTCCTCTGCACGGCTTCCAACCTTCTTCTTCTTTTTTTTTTTTTTTTTTTTTTTTTTACAAATCATCAAGTTCAAGGCCTTCACACTGCTGTAATACCAAAGAATTTGAGGGCAAATCGTGATTTGGCCAGCGCAGGCAATTTCGGACCGATTTACTGGCCTGCGCCCCTAACAAAGCCCTCGGATTTATTTTGAAAGGAAATATCTGCCACTTGGGGACGCTGTTCAAGGCAGACGGGACCGGCCACAATCTGACGCTCGTTTGCGTTCTTTATGGTCTAATTTATTGCCATTGGCCGCATGCGAGGAATCTGAAGAGCATTTGCATACCTAATGATTTGGTCGGAGCAGTCTAATTGGTTATATAAGAATTAAGAGATTAGAAATAGTTATATTACAGCTTTATATAGCGTACGTGTCTAGTGCACACACAATACTAGTCCACTGCCTGGACTGTTCTCGTGCGATCAATCGAGCGCCCGCCCCGATGCGCCCGACCCGAGCCACTGTACGCGCGCACACAGCGGACTCACAAAAAGTGTTTTTTTTCTCTGGGCGAGTGTTTGCTGGAGAGGGCGCCCTACTAGAATCTGGACTAAACACGTGTACGGTTCATGGGGGCATAGAACATGGGGCATGATTCCTAGTTGGGAACATTAGGCTATACCTTTCCGTTTAGTACGTATATACCAACTTTAATGTCGAAAAAAAAAACCAATTAATGTATACGTTTTGTCTTACAACTGCTACTAGACCAATGATTTTGGACTGCGTTTTGCTGTTTGAGATTTATGACTATAGTTATACATATCACGATGAGGTTGGATTTGATTTGAATTTGTACCACATCGATACTGATTGTGGGGCGGGAACCAGCCTATCCCGCGAGAACGGAATTATTGTCCGCCCGCAGCAGTGTGTATCGAAAAATAATGTGAATCGCTGTCGTTTTTATGGAATGGACATGAACTTTAGTGTTATTTTTGTGATCTAGCCGTTTGTGCATTATTTTGTATCATTAACATTTGTGGGCCCACATACTTTCTTGAGGATGTACATCGGTATGGTAGCGATAGAGGGATTTACTAAAAACAATTGGTTCGAACTTGTGATACGTGGCGTGGTCGTCGGCGGCGTGCGTAGCAACGGACTTCGGGGCAAAAACATGAGTATTATGTGTGTATGTTTAATGCTGTGTGGATTGCGCCGCGCGGAAATGTGAACGTTATAAACACTGCCTTATGAGGTACCGGAACAATGGGAGGTACCCCACAAGGAATGCCCACCGACTTGCGGGGTACCGTTTTGGTACCCACAAGTTTTCCACGAAATAGATATATGGATTTTAGTCATTTTACTCAAAAACTAGGAATTTCCAAGGTGGGTTGATCTGTCGCGCGCAAATGGAAGAGTTTTAGAAAAGGGATATTAAGTCAGAATTTCAGCGCAGGAAATTGATTCTGGTTAAAATAAGAGCATTTTGAAATTAGTGTGTGACATTGCAACATTTTAGTACACGAGAACAAAGGAAGTCCCCCACTTCTATGCCTGTGTAAGGGTGTGTGCGTGTGCGTTGGGTCTCTGCCCCGGGGCCGGTATACCGGGGGCAGGTGGTGTTTAAAGCTAGGCAGGAGGAACAGTGGAAGCTGGATGCGGGATTAAGGGTCCGGGGTCCAGACACACAGGTTCTTCACGAGACAGTGTTTTCCTGTTGTGCCAGGTGGAGCTTCGGGTTTATTCTGACCTGATGACCCCAAACCTGCACAGTCTGATAAAGACACGCAGGCGGTGAGGGTAAATACAAATACATTCAATTAATTCTTGGTTCACAATCAATAAACATTGAAAACTAAATATGTTACATGTATGCATGCAGGGTCATTTAAATTTCCTAATTATTCCTCAATCTTTAAAAAAAAAAAAAAAAACACGTAGGGCCTCTCAAAGTCTCAAATTCCTAAGTCGAGCCCGTGAGTACGCGGCAGGGGCGCAGCGGAGCGCACAGCACCCCCCCCCCCCCAACCGTCCGTCCCTAGAACAGCCCCTCTACGTAACACCGCAATAAATATCATGTTCTTATCACAAACGACGTCGAATAGACCCGATCTGAAATTCCTGTTGTATTGAGGTTTGCCCTGAATTATAGGACATCGAATAAAGGGTGGAGCTAGTAGACGCACTAAAGGCCATCGCATCCAGAATTGGAAGCTAGCAAGCTACTTGCTAACACCGATGTAATTAATGTTTCCCGACTTGAAAATAGGATAAAAACTCCCCTTCCTGACCATAGGCATATAATTATCCATGCTTAACATCTGAGGACCCACTACGGCTCTTCTGATCTTGTCACCCCCTCCCCCTCCCTCCCTTCTTTCCTCCTCCCTCCTCACCACAAGGGTGCCAAATACGCCTCCTAAACTACTGAGGACACACCATCTGTTGATAAAAAATAGACGAGTGAGCAATCGCGGGTACACACCGGTAAATCGATCCGCCAAGCTCATGAATAAAAGTTATACCCTCAAAATATTCTATATTAGAGAGTTCTGAGCGCCGTAAAATTGGGGAATTGAAGAGATATGGTAGTGAACCTCTGGCCCGGACTTGGGGCTTCCAATTCTGAGCATTTTGGATGCTATTGGGCTCGAAAGTGGCGCTATTTTGCCATGTTGTGGAGGGATCGTTTTTCAAGATGGCTACTTTTCCGCTTTGGGGAAAATAGGGGTCGTCTTCTTTGCGGGAAAATATCTCGAAAAGTCAATGGTCAACCCACCATAAATTGAAAAGAAAATGAAAGATGACACATTGATCATCATTTTTCTGTGCAGCTTGAATCCCTGTGAGAGTTTTGAATATTTTTAAAAGAATTTTGAAGTACGGGCATTTAGCACTAGTGTCTATGGGAGTTTATTTGCAGGTATGCACCCTCGCGCGCATGCTCGCTCCAGGACCCATTTGTTTGCTGCCACCAAGCGTCTGTAAAGGGGGTCATTGGCCTGTACGTAAAGAGTTCCTCAGATTAAAACCGGCGTCAGGACCAGACCTGTCAAAATGGTGCAGTAACGGTTGCCTCGATCTCATTTCAGCCTCGCAAGTACGCGCGAAATTAAAGCCGGTGTCATCG